TGCTGCGAAGGAGACACCAATAAGTGTGGTACCGATGCCACACTTATTTTTGCTCTGAAGTATTTAGACAATAGAGAAAATAGATAAAAAAATACCTGTGTCAGCTCAGATAATTTAGGTTTTTTCTTTCTCAATTTAGGTGGAGTAATGCGATGTTTTCGTCCGTTTGAAAGTTATGCTCTTTTTCTATCACAAAATTAAACATTACATTCATAACGTGCCCTATCTCAAGCCGCCTAGCTGAAAAAAATAACTCTTGCATGCTACGCATGCTTATGTTTTAATCTTGAGCCCTTGTGCCAACGCTCTTTACGATTTTTATTCGTGAACTGTCGATCCTTTTATTTTTATTCATTCGTTAAGTCAGTAAATTGCTACTGTGTTTTTTGGGATAAAATAATACATGGTAGCTGGAAGATATGAAGAAGATTCTGTATTACATCATCAACTTCTGGTTTTTCTGAAAATGCCACGCAATGGTAAAAACAATAGATCTATTATGATTTTCCATTACATGTTTATCATCAGCGTCACTCCGTTATTGAAGCATCATTACATATGATAAAAAAAAAAAAAACGTGCTATAGCCGCACTGTGGCGCCCATATCACTTCCGAGATCTGTTACCACTATTTGACGCCAGGCGGTTTGCGCACTCTCATTGCGTCGCATCATGGTCGTGAAACAAAAAGTTAGTCATTTGCATCCGTCGCGGTCGAGTGAACATCTTTGGTGGCAGCGAGAAATTTTCAGTTAACGCTCGTCATCCCCAGCTGGAAGCGTTGCTTTTGCGCTGTCGCTAGCTAAGTATCAGCAAAATAAAATTCACCAATTGAAAACTATAAAACAGAACAATTTGATTTTTCTATGTCGTGAGACCACCAGAAAAAGAGTGCCCTTTCGCTCATGTGACCCATCGAGCTACAGCATTTCAGTAGGATTACCTTTGAAATATTATCAAATTTGTCACTCAGATTGATCTTATGTTGATTCAAATTTTAAAAACGCTATAGCTATCTTATGACACACACACAAGGAAATATCCAATAGACTAGCTTATTGAGAAAGTACTTTCCCTTGCGTGATCTTGCGTGACACAATGTTCGGCGTGATCTAAAAACCGGAAGTTGACTAGCATAATTTCTCAGAAATAAAGCCAATGAAATATTTGCTAATTGCATTTGACGCTTTTATCCTGACGGACACCGTTCGTGTTAAGTCCCCTTCTGGAGAACTCATCAAATTATCTACGGTCTTTTAACATTTTACAAATTTAACAGGTTCTTAAGGACGAATTCAACGGTCCGTCTTTGACGAAACGTCGTTTTCAAGTGAGCTCTGAAATAATTTATAAAATGAAGTGGATTTTTGCCTCACCTACTCGTGTTCTTTTAGTAACATTACGAGTTTGCCAAATAAGAAAAACTTATTACATTGTAGAAAAAAAGACAATCTAGTATGAGGCATAAGGTCTTGGTTTCATACAGGCCTTTCAGTAGAGTGAAGCAGCAACGATACACCAGGCCAAATGACTGCAGACAAAAACAAATTGTAATAATGTTATCGATTTAAAGTGCCGTGACCCCGCTTTCTCTATTTTTTTTATCAGAATATTTAGTGAGAACCGAGAAACCTGAGTGCTACGAGATAATCTGAAACCCTTTTGGTTTTGATTTTGAATCAAATTACCGGCCACGTGTTATATCCTGTGCGCACTGTAGAATGGAAGGAGGAACCAGTTGCCACAAACACATGCTTTGAGTGGAAGATGTTGTGAACCACTCCTTGATTAATAACAAACATAAAACTTAGCAGGTATTTTCTATCAGAGAAAAATTTGAGGCGACAAATCAAAATACGAATTCTTTAACACATCATTTAACTTCTTTTGAGATAATATAGGGTTATTTAAGTCAGAAGCGTTATGGAATATTCATCAGCACACCAGTGGAAAATGCAAATAAGCTTAAATCCAACTCGCAGATAGATTTTCAAATAAATGATCATCTTCTTCATTTTTTTTGCCCCACATAAATTGACGAGTGAACCATATACTGCTCGTTCTTGTTCGTCATAGCTTGACTTTGAAACTTTACGCCAATTTGGAATAAAAGGTTGCCTAAATTGCATTAATTTTGTTTGTTCTACATATTATCATGAGAGCACTACTTGCTACCCGTTCTTGTTTTTCATTACAGGCATTTTGGGGGGCGAATATTTATCTCTTAATTTAGTTTTGAACGACAGAAGGAAATATTCCAATACGAAAAAAAGAAAAGAAAATTACCTTGTCGTTTTAAATAGAGTGAATTTTTACTCATTAATATGCAGTTTTTTAAAGAAACGATATTACTTGGGATGGACCATCAGAAAACAAATAAAGGGAGGCAGTAGGGGGAGGGGAGGGTTTACAGGTTTTTGGGGGGATTTGTTTATTTCTTTTTCCTTTTTTTTTGTCCCCTTTCTTTTAGAATGGTCCTTTCCTTGCCTAGTCTACTGATTGCAAATCTAAAAAAAAAGATATTTCATGAATTCTCGAGTAATTCGTGCGTGACTCATGTTGAAAGGTGGTCCTTATTAATAATAACAGAAGTAGGCCCTACAAAAAACAAAACAAAAAGAGTATAGTGTAAGCAATTTTATATCCAGTAATATGTACCCATTAAGAGTAATTTTTAATAGAGTGTCGAGGGTAATCTGGGATTGCATTGCTTTTGCTTTTTTCGCTCTGTGACTATTACAGAAACATCGCGCTATCCTCTCAACCGATCAGATGCAAAATTAAAACCAATCACGTCTTGGTCCCGCACTTTCCTGTGTTTTGGCAGTTCGATTGTTTCCACTTTGATTTCTTATTGGCCCTTAAGGGTATAAAGGCTTCCTAGATTTGGTTCTGATTTGAAGACTGTCAACAAACGTTCTTGAAATTCAGCTTTCCTTTTCAGGATGGACGAAGAAGGTCAAGAATACAATTCCAGCTCTGATGGCGACTCTGATACTCCCGTTTCCGACTCGGAAAACGGCAGAGGTGAAGACCACGACGGTGTAGAACTCTGTAAGAAAATATTTTTTTCGTCTAAGCGCTGAAAAATATGTTAGGCATTACTGATTTGTGCGTGTGTTTTTGGAGTATTTTACTATTGATGCAACCGAGCATTGCCAATGAATATTACTTTTCAGTCACAAAACACAGATGATCTCAGTGGTATTCATTACACGTAAACAGTGGGAGAATTTTAACCGATGAGAAGTAATAGTAGTCGACCGAAGTAGGCATCCATTTTTAATCATTGTGATACGAGATCCGATACATATCTTCAGAAAGAGCTCTCCGATTTTCTGAAAATTTTCGACTTGTGGCAGAAGCTTTTGGTAACTTTGGTTCGATTTGGCCGGTTACATAGTGGTCAGAGCTTTTTAAAAACTCCGCGAAAATCATCGTAATTACTCAGTGAATCAAACAGGTTTTACTCATGTCTCTTTGCTCTTGGGTTTGAAGTCTCAAGCTTCCTTTTCTTTAATACTTTCCTTTTTCTTTTTTTTAAAAGCGGATCAAGAAGACGAAGAGATTCAACACGAATATGAAAGTGTGGAGAGCGATGAAGAAGAGGAGGAACTGGAAAATGAAGAAGAATCATTATTCGATAAGAGTAAGTGCTACCTCAGAGTGACTTCTACGAAGAATTGCCGCGTTGTACAAAATAGGACTGAATACGAGAAGTAGTAGTATTAGTATAGTAATGTAATGGCATAATATAGTGTAGTAGTAGTATTATAGACGTATATAGCACTAGTGTTACGGTATAATCTAACCAACAGAAAAACACTACAGTCCTACAAACTCATCTACTTTATTACACAACGAGTAGTATTATTCATACGGAGCGACTCCTAAAGGCAGTACAGTACTTGTGCTCGATAAACTTACTTGAACGTTTCTTGAAATTAGCAATCTTCCACCGTAGCTCTCTCTCACAGTATAGCTTTCTAAACAGTCGGTCACTCCCGACAACAACAACAACAACTACTACTACTACATAACTGAGTTCTTATATACATTCACAAAGTGTTCTGGAACATTCCAGAAGCTTGAAAAAGAACTATTTTCATAGCGTTACATAATAACTTCGTGACTTGATGAAATGTTCAAGAAGCTTACATTTACAACATCAATTACTCATAATATTAGGGAGTTTCAGTATTAAGGACGTAGCTTGTATTTTTTAATGTGGGCGTTGAATACTATCTGACTGTCGTGTGTTCCAATAGAAGAGACGATTTAAGCCGGTTTCCATACTGCACACTTTAGAACGCAACTCTGGAGGAGGGGTCACAAGCACACAGCTGCTCCCACAAGCATTACGTTACGACAGGGGCGAACGACAAAAGTCAACTATGACTTTGCCCACTTTCCTTTGATTGTTCGAAAATCCATGCAGAAAAAGGGCGTAAAGGATGGTATTCAAAACAAATGAAAATATTCTCCCTTAATCGTACAAACAAGTTAAAGCAGACGTCGAGACACTCAATTTTAGCTCAACTTCACGGCAACTGCAAAATATCTGAGCTATGTATGCCTGACATTCTTCTGTTTTGTCTTGTCCATTTCTGACATAAAGCGCACAAATCAATTTATGATTTTGGACACTGGTCTGAATCTCAATTTAATAAAAAAAGATTACACCATTTGTGACAGATTCAAATACATGTGTTATGCTTCTGAGGGAAACATCATGATCTTTTATGGAAAAGCTGCCAATACAAAGTGATCACGCACTGTTGAAAGAGGTCAATACACAAACATATCCATTTCGATTGCAAGAAAAGAGCTATGAATTTCATTAAATTAAGTTGAAACCATTTTTGTTTCTCATGATATGATTAGTTGATTTTTTAGTAGGCCCAGCATTTAAAGAGGCATTGCGATTACCATGACGAATTTCCCCGATTTAAATACCTAACTTAATGGAGATCTTTTTTATTAAAGTTGCAGCCTCAGAAATGTCAACGACGGAAGATTCTGATGAAAATAATTCTAAACCGAGATTCAATATTGGCATGGATATGCGCCGTGTCAGTAAATTTTATGATGGTCCAAAAGTTAGGCCACAGTAAGTATGGCACCAGCAGTTAAGTCGATTTCTATATTTTTTTTTATAAAGGTGCTTTTTGAGCTTTTTCAACTCAGGTAAATTCGCATTCCTCTCTCTTTTCCTACATGCGAGTGAGACATGAGTAAATTAGTGACTTTCCTTCAACATCGGCGACACTGTAAGATCTCGAGGGCAGCCGTCGAACCACTTAGAGAAGAAAGTTTTTAAAACGAATTTGTTAATTGAGACAAATTAAAACAAATTTACGATTATCTGTGTAATGAACTACCACATCGGAACTCTAAACTGTTCATGATGCTGTACAATTTGATTCTGTTTTGACTCGGGGAATTCCTCGACGAGTCATGCCTTACGCATAGACAATGTAGTAGGTTTATCTACGTCACGAGTCGCGCATACTTAAATAGGCAATGTGTGTGACATTCACTACTCAGCCTTCTATGATTCCAAATTGGTAAACATATTTTTAATGCATTTATAGATATCTCAACATTCTGACAGACTTTGTTGATGCGGAGATTTTCCTGATTGATGGCGACTCTTTGCTGTTGGAGCTTCTTTGCCAAAAGAGCCTGGACTGGACACATGGCGGACAGTTTCTGCATCTCACCTATCTACTTGAACGCTTCCTCAAGCATTTTACAGATAAAGGTCAGTGCAGAAAACAAGTTTAGAAAATCATGATGTAAGTCAGTGTGCCAAAGAACGAGATGAGCTCAACTTGTCAAGCTACAGAAATGAGAAATGATAACCAAGTTATAGATAGAGAGATGTTAACGGTCCCTTAACAAGTAAGTATAGGATGATGAGAGTGTTTCCAGTGACCGTGAAGGTGTGAACTGAAACGATAGTACTTAGGTCGACGGGGGTTACCCAAAACCAGAGACTCAATAAATAGTGGTTGCTAAGATGAGACGACATTTCTTTGTCATCTGTTTTACTTATTTAGCAGGACCTATTGGTTTCGCAGATTGGTTGATCATTAACTCAGAGTATGTGATACCACCACCATTTACCTGTAAAATCGTTTTAGTTCTCACTATTTTTCTGCTAGATTTCCCTTCAATCATCTAACCACGTCATTTCTTGTTGAACAAGGTGGTGTTTTCCACGTTGTCTTTTTCGAAGAAATGGAGATCATCTGGAGGAGTCGACCATCCATGCTGTTGGCACGACAAGCTCTAATTCTTCATCTTCAGCACAACACACCTTTCACAATTGAGACATCAATAGCAAGTGTTTGGGACAAGCATTGGAAAGAGTACATCGATCGAAATGTTCCCGCATTTCTGTTATTAACTGACGCGGAAGATGTTCCATGGAAAACGAATGTAGAGACGAAAATGCTAGATGTGGCAGTGGAGTTTTTCTTCCGCTGTATTCTGTTACATTGTCTTGGACAAGGATTGAATTGTGTCTTTATCTCAGGCGTCCAGATGACCGCGACAAAAGTGATGGGATATTACAACGAGTCCACGTCAGAACATAAATTATTCCTTAGGAAGGTTAGACGGCGAGACTTTGTTAAGGAAAGTAAAACTATAAAACACCAATATTAGCGCCAGTGTTCTCGGCGTGAAGCAACATCCGGAAGCTTGAAATGTCTAATCAATGCAGAAGCTGCACCAAAATTAGTATTTCTAGACACTGTTTAATGTAATAGCTAAATTTTTTTACCTCAGGATTCTAAGCTATATTTCAAAGTGATACATACCCAGTTCCAAGTTTCACTTCCAACAACTCAAGAGCTTTTAAAGCTTTATAAAAAATGACGGCCTCATGAAAGAACATGGGGAATACAGATACCGTTAGTGTCACTCTAGATCTGGTGGGATAATGATTGCAGGGAATGAGAGAATGGCTATTTTAGAAAATCCCTAGATAATTAAAATAAAAATTTGTGTTTTTAAGGACTACAAGATTTGAAAGCAAAAAGTTGCATATCGTAAAAAGATGTTGTCTTCATTGAAATAGCTCATATTTGCATCATTTCTTATTCTTAGCATGGTGAAACAGTCCGTAACACATGGGATTGGTTAATGAGGTATTGGCGCCGTCAATGTACTCAAGAAAACATCGCCGGATGTGCAGCAACAAGCAATCAGGTGTGTAGTGTGTTTAACCCTTTACACCCTAACATCAGTATGCATATTCTCCGTACTGTTCTCTACACATTTCCCATGGTTCTGACAAGAAGAATTTGTTTAACAATCAGGAGCTTCTTAAGTTAGTGATGATTTCCTTTATTCTCCTACCTTAATGTATGATTCAGTGGCGATATTGTTAGGAGAAATTAGATGCAAGTCACTTCTAGGTATCAAAGGGTCTAAGATATATTCATTTGCCGCCTTACATATCCAAATCTAATTTATCTTACTTTCTTTTCGTTGTTTGCCTTACATCAGATTGATGTCCAGTCGGAAGTTCAAGTTGCTCTTCAATCTCCACTGCAAGGTGGATGCCGGGAGGTTGCCACAGTCCTTGCTTGTGTGCAAGTCCTCTTACAACTACTTCACGACGATAAAATTAGTAAGGTAAGTAACATACGCTTGACATGTGTTTTAAACTTCTAACGTATTACAGGGGTTTGTGCACGAATACATCCACAATCTCTGTTTAATTTTGGCTACATGCAGGATGCGATGAAGATTGCTGAGGATAAGGTCAAACTTTTCCTTCTTCAATCTGCACTTCTAAAGAAACTTCCGTTGAAGTACAGAGCCCATGCCGTAAACAGTTCTTTATTGGACGAATTCTGCAAAGCGAAAGATGGCAAAGTTTATCCCTTTCACGAAGTAAGTAAATTAAATTTTTTAACTTAACCTTACGTGGAATTCACGTGATGATCCTTCCTGTACTTTGGAAACAGGTATTGCGTTTTACAATGGCTTGACCATTATGTATTTAATAAAAAAAAATAACAGTCACAGAGATCTGATTATGAAATTCAAACATTTCCATTGCCCTAACACCCTCCCATACAGAAAGAGTAGAAAGGGTATATTAGTCATTATTAGTCGGTTCTGAGAGCCTAAATTTTTGTAATAGTGTTTGAGATGTATTAGTTAAAGACAGCTTGTTTATATCGTCTGACAGATCCACACAAGTTTATGGCAGATTTTAAGGATGATACAATCAGCTTTGAGAGATGCTTATAAAGGAGACAGTGCCGCGAATGTACTAGACATGACTTCAGTGGCAGATTTAATGGACGGACGCCTAGTCCATACTCTCTTCTGGCATGTCTTGAAACAGATGTCCCAGGGATCAAAAGGTCTGTTGTCAGATTGAGTCTAAAAATTACTGACAAATTCTTAAAACAGGCTGGTAGAAATGATGGAGGTCTCATTAATTTTTTCTTTTCTTGGCGTCACCTTTCAGCTATGTAGCAAACTGTATAACACTTCTAATTTAGTATTATCAACCGAGTTCATAACGTAAACTGGCAACTGTAAAGAGTTTCAAAGCTGATATTTCAAGCATTGGCCCTTCGTCAGGGCGATTGGAGGAATTGTGGGTTGAGCGTGTATTTATATGCGTCATTCAATCCTTCGTCACCATATTCCCACCAATAGTACATATAATCAGCTAAATATAAACTTCTATGAATACGAAAACATACTGATCTGTCGCCCTTGTCATTAACCGTTCTTTCAAAGACTTCGACGCAACAATAACCTTACGTACTTACACCACGTGTTTTGTCATATGCATCAGACTTCAGTCTACCCCAGGATGTTAAACGAGATGTCGAGTTTGCATGGGAGAAAGTTGTCGCTCTTGTGAATGGATCAAGTCATTCAGATTCTCTACAGAGTCAATTTTTTCCATTGTTTGACGGAAGTTCTACAAGCCTTCATCAGGAGGAAGGTAAGTAACATTCGAGTTAGTTTTTCCACGGTGGCTTTCTATTCATTAAATACAATCACTTGGATGTGAATGGTTCCTACACTGTTTCTTGTCCCTTTCTTGTCCAAAAGAAAGTTTTCAACTTCTCTCTTTCGGGAACAAAACAGTTTGCAATTCAAAACGGAAAGGGAAACAAAGTGTGAAACTTGCAAGTTGCAAGTTTCAATTAATCTAGTTAGTTCATTTTGTTAGAAAGGGATAGTTTTAAAGGTACCGTCTGACTCTGACAGAATCTTTCTCAATGTCATTGATGGCCATCTAGTAAAATTATCGGAGTTTGTTTCAGGAACAAGTTCCGATCAAGTCTCCGGCGCGAAGCTCAAAAGGCTACTTTACGTTAGAAGTGCTCTTGTGAATGAGTATGTTGATGATGTTCGATCAAGAATTAACGCCATGGCAGGGTAAGACCTTGCAACAATGTTTATGTCGTTCGAAGTACCCTGTATGTTTCACGGAATTGCGTGAGAAAGTACTCTCTTCTGAGAGGGCTGTTCAATTTTCCCCTTTTAGAGAGGAGACTGAAGACGAAGTGTTACTGATTGGCAAAGAATTTGATGAGAAGTACCACTGGCATTCTCTCAGGCAACTATCTGATGATTACGACAGAACAAAGAAGACTTTTACAGGTGAGACCCTTAAGGCCAAATGTGGGAACCAGCACTGTAAAAGTTATTCTATACTGTACTAAAAACTTGTCGTTCCTGATTGGTCGATGAAGAATGGATAAATAGATTATACGGTGCACTACGTGATTTCCGCCTTGCACTCTTCCAAAATTTCAGCTTTCAAAGATGAACAAAAAATTTTCATTTCTCAACTATTTCGAAATAAATTAGACTTGGTTTGGAAGTTGCAATAGTTATGTAAAAGCATCAATTCAAAAACTAACAAGCACGTGCTGAACAGTGCCCCCAAAGACGTACAAACTAAAATAGCGTCTGGCTTTTCGTTGCTGTTGGTCAATCATGTTGCTTTGATGGGTTTTCAATTGCATTCGCTGACAGTTCGTGAAATTACGATCGCTCACGCCTATAAACCAAGAAATGCATTCGCGTTCATACGAATTCTTATGTTATACTTAAAAAACCAAGGTCACCGGATTTAACAACATGACAGTTTTACTTGTCGTTCAGAGCTTTATATTTTACTTGTTACATCCAACTTAAGGAGTTTTTTTGGTGGAGAAAACCTTTCTAAAGTACCGTAAGCCATGTGTTATAAACCATGAACTCAAAATTTCACCAATTCGTTATTCAGATAAGCCTCCGACTGATCCCAAAGAAGCAAAGTGGTATTCTAAACAAAAGATGAAGTACTTTCGCTATCAAAGATTGTACGGAGACTCACTTGTTGGTGGTGTAGACAAAGCGAAACCTATAATCGTCAAGGAAGAGGTCCCAAAGAAGAAAAAAGGAAAGAACAAGGATGGAAAGATGGTGGGAATCTTTGTTATTGTCAAACTTGAACTTGTTTAAATCTTTGCACCAATAGCTTTTTATGTGATCAACCAGATTCAACTCAGGAAAAATGATCTTTTGCAGGGAGAAAAAGCGAAACGAATTATCGAACAGAACGATAAAAAACGCAAAGGTTTGTCCTTTACATGATAAATGTTAACATCACTTACCTCTCGCAAAATAAAGGTTTCCATTTATGGAGGTAGATCATAAAAATGTTCTGAGCACTTCTAAAGTACCGTAATTGGGCAACATCGTGAGAATTTCACGGCATGTAGTATATCATGGTATCCTTAACACGGTCTTAGAGCATAATATGAAAGTTGACGTGGCTAACCATGGGCCGGGGTTGAACAATTTATTGAGTTCTTCAATCATATGTCATTAGCAGTGGTACTTCTTTAGTACCCGGATAAGGAATCACTTACACATGGTTTGTCGAGTACCGTATTTCCTCGAATAAGCGCCTAAGCACTTGTTAAAAATTTCGGCTTGGAGAAGGAGCGCTTGTTAACAGGAGGGCGCTTAATCGAGGGGATGCAGCAATAGAACAAAAATTAAAGAAAACATAACGCACATTAAGAACTTTGAAGGCACATAAAGATAGAAATAACTGGGACTGAAAAGAAAGTATTGTCCTTAACCGTTTCCGCTGTAGTTGAAGCTTAAAAAATTATATAATAAAGTGACAGTAGAAAAGGTTTTTCTTGTATCCCTACTATTTAAGTAAGTGAGGAAGGAGAGGGGGGGGGGCACTTGTTTGAAACGATGGCTCCCTAGTGTGAGTGCTTATTTGGCTGAGGGCGCTTATTGGAGATGGATACTTATTCAAGGAAGTACCTTGCGGTATTTGTCAAATGTGAAAGGTTTAACTTAGTTATTCAGGTTTCAATGAGGCGAACCACTGATGTTTAGCATAAGTTGTAATTAGAAAAAGCAGGGTATAGAAGGCAAAATTTTGGTAAAAGGTTCTACATAAGGAGTTGTTCATCTGCTTCAAAATTACTGTTGGGACACTATCGAAAACATGTCCTTTTCTACTTAAATTTTCCGCAGATGAAGAGAGACTAAAAGATCAAGAAAAATGGGACCACTTTCTTAGAGACATTGACAAAAACTTCAAGATGGATAACTTCAGCACTGTTTTGCAGTTAGTCGATAAGTATCTCGCAGATTGCAAAACTCCCGAACTTCATCTTCAAGCGCTGATGAAAAAGGCACAAAGTTGCTTTGTAGCTTGGCAGCAGAAAAGTAAGTGAAAAAGAGAAAAGTGAATCGCTTTTATTATCTGTTGATGTTTCTCCCTAGACTTTGTCGCCTAGATAAAGTACAGTAAGCGTCCATGCTTCGGGAATTTTGATTTCGTCATCTCTTTTGATGTTATTAGGATGAAGTTTTTAGTGGATGGGTTATTTGACACTACGTGTGTACCAGTAAGAGTCATGACCAATAAAGTTAATATGATCCCAAACAGGAACGTGTCCTGTTTCATTGGCGTGTTCTGAAACCGCCGAATTCTGAGTACAAGCAGGATGTATTTCTTATTCGTGTTTTTTAATTCTCTGTTTCATCGCCCTCCCATTTTGCCCAATGTGTATATCGCGATTACTTTCATTTTTCAAGTATGGGATTGTAACAAAATTATCCAAACCAAACTGCCGCCATTTGTATTTTGTAGGAGCTGCTAACGCTGAATCTAATGACATGAAATATCCTGTGCTGCTGCTAAAGAGTGTCCAGAAAATGGCTGAAGACTTCCACGGCCTTCTCACTGACAAAGACAAAAAGAAACTGGCTGGATTTATGCGGAAGCTGGGATTCGATGACATCGCAGCCACGCTTTACGACCTACCTGAAGAAAGTGAAAGAAAAGTACGTATTGTCAGATCAAACGAGCTTGGCTTTAAGCTGTTTCCTTCCCAGTATCTAATAACCAGGTGGTAAATAGTTTGCTCAGTGCTACAACACCCTCATATACACAAACATATTTCAATATGATTTCCTCTTCTGTTGCACATTTTTACTTGTCAGCGAGTAACATCTCATTTGTACCCAATTTATCACCTAAGGCTAAACAGCTATCGGTCCACACCACAAGTGCAAGATTCCAACTTGACTGCATGGGTCATTTACTCAAGCGGGAAACAAGAACTGATCGTGACTCGAGGGTTGATCACTTCATTCCAGATACATGGCAGGTATTATAACATTTTTTTTCATAATGAAAAATGTCTTTTTTTCGTCTTGTCACGAGCGTGGAACAAAGAGAAAAGTCTGAGTCCCCATAAGGAATCGAACCTCAAATCTTCGGATTCCGCGCTTCGATACTATAACCACTGAGCCACAGAGACTCCACGGTGAGCGAGGTCTATTACGTAGTTCATATGACACGCGTCCTGCATACTGCTAGGATCAGCAATGTCGATAGCGTAATGTTTGTAGGTATAAATAAGAGAGATGGTAAGTTTTGAGCTCGGTAGAGAAATAGAGAAAGGTGTTTTTTTTTGTCTTGTCACAGCGTGGGACAAAGAGAAAATTCTGAGTCCCCATGAGGAATCGAACCTCATACTTTCGGATTCCGCGCTCCGATGCATATAAATACGACTTAACATCTCTCGTGAAAAACAGTTGAGGAGAAGAGGAGGTGGTTAAGTTCAGTGAAGAAAAGCAGTTCAAATACTTAAATACTTGAATTTCAGTGGCGGCATATTCTCGAAAAAGGACCAACAAAATCTGCCTCGTGTGAATTTTGCTTCCATCTCGTCGCAGTTTTCTCTTCATTTTTTTTTTATTTTGTGGTTATTCAAATATTTTTTAGCGTGAACTTCTCGACGCTGTGGATAAGAACGAGTCAGCGGTAATAGTGGCACCCACCTCGTCGGGAAAGACTTTTGCCTCATACTACTGCATGGAGAAAGTGCTGACTCAAGACAATGATGGTGTGGTGGTCTATGTTTCTCCAACAAAGGTAAAGCTACCAGTTACAGCCATTTAGTTTACCAAGTTCTTTTGAATTGATCCCTAGGAAAGGTTGTCAATAATTTTCAAGAATCCGGCGACAGAAGCAAAAATTCAACTTTTTTTTCATTTGCTCCAAAAGACCCTTTTGGTAAACTATTTTCAAAAATAATATTCAAAAGTTCCACCGAGTTTTTATTTTGGAAAAAAATACGAAAGTTCGAGATCGGCCAAACGTACCTAATTTGCATAATTTCTATCGGGCTTTCAGTGCATTTTCACAACGCTCGTACAAGACAAAGAAAGATTATCTCGGATTATTTTTTCATGAGTTGTTTTTCATCCCTTGGAGTAGCTTTGTAACTATATTTCATCTCCAACTGAACTTTCTTTCGTCCACCCGCGTAAAGTACACTATATTTTCTATTCCGTTTGTGCGCTGAATTTTGCCATATTTCAGACGACCATAACATCGGGGATATACAAATGTACATGATATAAAATAGCTCTTTTCAACGAGCAATTCTTTATGTTTATCATGTAAAGACATTATCTTTGGCCCGTGAAAAGCGAGCGCGCCAGACCAAATTATATAGCGTGCTTTTTCAAGATTCGGCCATTTTCTTGCTGTACTCCTACTGCAAATCTCACGCTATTAGGACAAAACTCTACGTGTTTGGTCTCTTCTTCTGTTTGATTTGTTTAAATATATCAATTTTAACTTAAAAATTACCCTACCTTTATTGTTAAGTGAACAAACCTTCGATTTAGGTAAAGTTTTTGAGTTTATTTTTCTCGAGTGCTAAATAAACAAATCGCAGTTACAAAGATACCAGCTCTGTCGACGTGATTTTAGCTGAAATTGGTCTGTCGCTTATATTGTTCTTTAATTTACAACCTATCCCACTGGCATAACGTTTGAGTAAATTACATGTAACTATAAATCTTGTTGTAAATACGTGAGCGTGAGCTAAATAAAATCTTCGCACACATAAAATATTCGAAACATGTAGTTGTCGCAAGAAAATATCGCATGTGCATGAACCTCGTGTATACATTCGGTGTTTGGCTCAGTTGCTTTTAACAGATTTCTACCACTGTCACTGTAATTAAAATAGCATGTTTGTGTAGTCCACCTGTTTAGATACATTTTCAAATCAACTCTAGGTTAGAATTCTGCTCGTAAAAATTTTCGAAGAAATCTGAGAAGTAATGCAACATATTCTTTCTCTGACACTCTGATTTATGGATTACCGTAGTACACCACTTTCTAACCCTGCTGAGAAATTATTCTCATACAACATATAGAGAAATGCACTCACGTATGTATAGTCTATGTTTTTGAAGTAGATTATACCTGCAGACCTCAGATTCCCCAGCTAAAGGTATCCTGAATTAGTTTCTACAACGCAAATACAGTCAGCATGCTTATTGCGTGACAAATGAAATTTGATGCACCAGCCAAAAACACAAGGAATATGTTGCATTATTTCCAGTAGTTAGATAGCGGCGTAATATGCGACTAACACAGTCTATAGACTGTACGATTTTACGCCACTATTTGCGGCGGTGTATATACTGTAAGATTTTAAGCCGTTAGCTAACGGCGTAAAATCTTACAGTATATAATATATCGACTGGAAGAAATTACGCCGTTAGTTACTGGCGTTAAATCTTGCACATAAAGAAAACTGACTGGAAGAAATTACGCCGTTAGTTACTGGCGTAAAATCTTGCGTATAAAAGCAACCGAAAGGAAAAAATTACGCCGTTAGTTACTGGCGTAAAATCTTACAGTATATATATCACCGACGTACGTACGTATGAAGTTTTAAGCCGTAGTAAAAGCGTGAATCGTTATCCCTTGTCAGCTTTTGTGCGGTCAATTTACCAGATCAAATCTTTTGGTCGCCCCAAATTATTTGTTCTACATTAGTGGAGGGGGGTGATTACCGTTAATGGCATCTCGTCTAAAACTTGTTAAAGGGCGCGACGTCTGTATGAATGGTGGTATGGTGACAAATGTCCATTACTTATCTTAAAGCTATTCTGGCTTTTGGATTGTGTAGGTATTGATAACTGATACATTGATCATTTAGGCCTTAGTAAATCAAGTTGCAGCAACAGTATACGCTCGCTTTCGTCGTAAACAGCTTCCAGAGGGAAGGGCAGTGTATGGTGTTTTCACGAGGGATTATCGATTAAACACGTTGAACTCTCAGGTAAGCAGACGTGACAAGCAGCCCTCAAGATAAGAAGGAATCTCATAAGTCATTTCTAAGCAAACAAAATACACACGGACGACGAAAAACAACATTTATGATAAGTGATCTTAACGGAATATAATTGACATAAATTCTATCATGGAATTATCCTCTGATTGATAACTCGTTCAGTTAATTGATATTCCTTTTGAAATTTTTCACTATTTGGCGCGTGGATTTGAGTATAAATTGGATATATAGAGTAACTTATTTGAGTTCTGACTTTTGATTCCCGGCAGATCCTTGTTACAGTTCCTCAATGTTTGGAGATACTTTTTCTCTCGCCTCGTAGACAGGATTGGACAAAGAATGTTAGATACGTAATCTTCGATGAGGTAAAACAACTGAGAACTTTTCTGAAAGTAATTTTCGCATAATTACTTTTAATTTTTCTCAGTGAAGTTGCGCTTGGAAAAGACAGAATCAAAGGCAAGAAGTTACTACGATATTGACTTTGTGCAGTGTTACCTCCTTGAATAATGTAGTTATATCGCTTATACTTAAGTTATTTAACTGAGTTCCTAGTAGTAGCATTATACGTTGGAATATGCAGTAGCATTACACGTTGGAATATGGATGGTTGAAAGGTCAATTCTGCCTAAAGATAGATACAAGGGAGAAACAGTAAGAGTTGCTCTGAAGTCGTAAAACGTTTTTTCTGGGAATCGAAGTAACAAATCTTACCATTCAGGCTGAAGCCAAAGCCAATGAACAAGTTTACTACTTCACCTGCGCACTCACGTAGGCTATACTTTGGCCGAAATTTCTCCCATACCTTAACTCTCCAGGTTCACTGTCTTGGAGAAGAGATTGGAGCTGAAGTGTGGGAGCATCTTCTTCTTCTCATTCGCTGTCCCTTTCTGGCGCTCTCAGCAACCATTGGAAATCCAGATGACCTTACAAGGTTAGAATTGTTGCAAAGTGTACAAAATAAAATGTGATATATTGAATCTTACGAAATTTTCTGTTACGCCGATGTTAAAACGATGTTAACGTATACAAGTTAGTCATGCATTTTCAAATAAAATCATGAGGAGAATCATACGTCTTTTGTTTTGTAGGTGGTTGCAAGCCGCTCAAAACTTTCGGGAGCAGCAAGACAAACAAGAAAATGGCCAGTTGAGAAAGTCCTACAGAATCAGACTAGGTGAAGCGAAGAAATAAATCTGTTACCACAAAGAGTCATAGAGGGGTCTTTCGATGGTCTTCGAATCTGTAATGCTTGAGTTTATGCACTAGGGTTGACTCAACGCAAATCGAAAGTCAATTTAAACCTTATCTAGATAATTAGGTTTGCGAAACGACCTATGAGACGTAGCAAACTGACCTGAGACGTTGGCAAAACGACTAAGACGTTAGCAAACTGGTCGTTAGCAAAACGACCGCAGTTGTTAAAACATATTTCTATTGTAGAGAGAAATTCTTTTTTGGTTATTCCTGAGAGTGAGAGGGTCAACGAAGGGTCATCCCCATGCCACAGTTGTCTGTTAACATATTTCTGGTGTATTTTTTTAGTTAACTTTCATGAAAGATACTCAGATCTGGAAAAGAGCGTATATCTTCCAAGTCCTAGCAACGGTGGATTCTCTGAAGAGTCCAAGAATTACGAGGGTACTTACGATGTCAAGGCGACAGGAGAGTTTGTGAGACTTCATCCTTGTGCTCAGCTCGGAGTAAAACAGGTGAACAGTCAATAATAGAACTGCCCATAGTTCAGCTCTAAGAGAATATCCGTAAGTTTTACTAATATACTAAAGAGATCTACGAATTCGCAAAAAAACGTAAGGATTCTTGTGATATTGATTTTTATCATATAAACTACGGTGTTACACAAGGATTTCCAACCCTGAGAAAAGCCGTAACGACACACGTGAAATAATATCGTATTTTTCACGTGTGTTTGATATCGCCAATCAGCTGCTGACACGTCACTCGCCTTTCGCGCTACTCGGTCAGGTTGATGAATGAAGGGTGAAGCCTTCACCATTCTTAATCCAAGGTCGTCAGTCGGAATTTTTTCGGATCATGGCTGCTAAAACACCAACAGATCCGTAACGCTTACAGACAGTGACATTTAAACTTTCCTAATAAGGGAAGAAAACCCAAAAAAGGAAAAAAACCGAAGGTTACGTATTTAGTGGCTAAGGAAATTATATTTCTCGGGGCTGAGAAAGAAAATCGACAACTAGAAGACTTGCCACAGGCTGATTTTGGCCGTGTGCCTGAAAGATTTCTTCTGTCGGTAAGGACCGAGCCAGTAACTGAGAATTTTTCTATTGAAAATTACGCCCATTATTTGTATTAGTAGCGTTTCGACGCATTTTTCACCTTGAGCCCTAGCGCCAACGTACGTTTAGTTTGCTTATTTTGCTCTTCTTTGGTCTGTGATTGGTCTAGATAAGATAACACACACCAACTTCAAAACAAATCATATGTAGTACGAAAACCAATCGAGATTTGATCGCTCTCGTTTTCCCGCGCCTTAGTTTTCGTTTTTTCTTCGAATTTTCATCGGCTGGTGATGACGTTAATTTTGGCCAAATTGGCCAAAGTGATAACCTTGATTTAGGTTTTCGACCCTCAATTGAAACCGTCCCATGATTTCGACCGTCGTTAAAGAAGCTTCCAGTAACAAATTGTTGTTTTCAAATAGCTACAAGAGAATTCCTTCCCAGGAGATATGGATTTCACCCCTCAAGAATCTCTACAACTTTTTGACGTTATGACTATGCACTGGCCAGACAAAGAATCCTTGCAGGTAAGTACGAAGCTTTTAATTAAGGCTTCGATCTTACACATTACAGTTGCATGCCTGTCAGCTGTAGATATTGGTCGTAAGAAAGGTTAGGTCGTATCGTACTAGGCTATTCTTATCCTTGCAAAGCTGAAGTAAGACTAGATTCCACAAAGTCTCAAATAATGGTGTTTCCATACTGACAGTCCAGAGAATACCGCGACTTGGTAACTGAATCTTGTTATTTTGTGCTTTCTTTAAAGAAACTTTCCCCCGAGAGGTACTTTGAGAAAAATAAGTTCATTGGCAAGAGCTTCGCACGACAGTACGAGAAGGACCTGAAGAGGGAATTCAAGTCTTGGGCCGATGAAAAACATATTGAGAAGGTAAAGGGAATCTTGCCAAAGGATTTGATGCGAAGAGTTTGTGATGTGTTAGCGTTGTTTGCCATTGCATTGATAAATAAACAAATTTTATGACGCCGATAAAAGCCGTACAAACCCTAGCCTTTGGAATCCATGCTTTCTATTTATTTATTACTCCTCGTTATTATTTAAACGATAATTTAAAGGATTCGTGTCTCTGATAACAACAAGATTGTTTCACCTGAAGTCAGCGGCACGCAAATCTGTTGCGTTCTCTACATTATTTCTTCGTTGTCTTAGTGGTAAATTGTGCGGGAGCCCTACTGGGGCATTAGTCCATGAATGGTACGATGTTTAGATGAAATACCATTGTAAAGGGGTAAGCTGGTACTTTTTACAGGTCTTCATACCATTTGTATCTTTACGTTCTATTCTTGGGCTCGCAAAGTAACTGATTTACTACCTAAAGTATAATTTCTGCTGTTATTATAATTATTATTAAGTTATTTTTTTTGTTGCTCCAGGTTCAAGCCGTAATACAGTCGCTGAATTCTGTTTTGCTGGAGAAACAGGCCTCGACTGAAAAGGAATGGACTCAGCTAGGAATGCCTTCGTCGGGAAAAGTTTTCATTGAGAAAAATTTCCCAAAGCTTGTGGAACAGCTTAAGGCTCAAGAAAAACTGCCCGCTCTTGTTTTCAGGTAATATAGATACTGTTTCATCCAGGGAAAGGGATTGTCGTTCAGTGACATACGTAACAAGGGATTAAGCTTTAACTTTAATTCGGTTTTTATGTGTCAGCCACACTGAGAAAAAAAAAAAAAAAAAAAAAAGAGAACTAGAAAGAAAGAAAATAGCCGGCAAAAGGGAAATGAAGATCAGAATGCCAGTTGGGACGATCCACATAACTTGGACTCATTTTCCGAAAATAATAATGCGAACTTTCAAAACAAATCACATTGAGATGATGAAAATTCACGATATGTGGGAGGTATATGAACAAAAAATAACTGAGTAAATACCGAAAAAGCTATCTCGCTCAGCGGGCGTTATTAATGATATCACCCTGTCTTTATTAGCTTTGACCGTAAGTTTTGCGAAGTGTTGGCATTTGGTCTTGCTCAGCACTTTCGAAATAAAGAGGAGATTATTAAAGGCCAGAATGACGGGAAAGACTTGAAGCTTGCCCTAAAGAGGGTACAAAAGGCGAACAAGGAATCTAAAAGGCTGAGAGATGGAGAAGCAGAGAGTACAAAAGGAGAGAGGTAAACGGAAGAAATTTAAATAGTGACTGCTGTATCTCGTCGAGTGTCATTTAGATTCCATTCAATATGTATGCGACCGAATCCGTCATGCTATGATGACAAATGATATAAAACTTGAGGGCTTGTTCTCTTAACAGGTTGGACGAGCAAGGAAGTCAACAGTATGAGAAAGACTTTTCATTCTTAACTGATCCTTTACCAGGCTGCACATTAGCCTCTGTACACGAAATTGGAGTCAAGGTAGGGAGCATCCGATAACTATTTAATAATATTTTAACAATTATTCACCGAAGGCGCGGTGAATGATTGTGAAAAATACTTGAGACGAGGTCGAGGGGATCATTCCGTAATATTTAATGAACCTGAGGTGAATAATTGTTGTAGTATAATTGTCCAGGTGCTTTCAAATTCAGTTGTAAATTTGTTTTGTTGTTGAAAGCATTTGGTGAATAAAGAAAGCATTTTGCATACTTGGTATCAGTTGTTCTGATTACTTGTTTGGAGATAAGCAAGCAGCTTTCACTAAAGTTTAATGGGTTCTAATTAATTCAATTAACCAAAAATTCATATCTTATCTTTGAAAAGAGTTACACCAAATCTAGTAGCATCTCTTGTGCTCTTTAAAATTATAGTCTCTTCTATCGCGATTATCACTTCCTACGTAACATTGACAAAACGCGAGGTAGCCATTTGGAATATTAAGGACCCCTGCTACAATCACTTCGCGCGAGGTGATTAAAGCGAGATATGACGTGATCATTGACCAATCAGAGCGCGCGCATCACTATAGTCACCTGAGCAAAGGAAAAAGATAGACTACATTAAAAAGAATGATCAGACTACAAACTATGCGACAAAAAAACCCGGGTACAGACCTAACTGATAAATATTGCCTTAACTGAGGTTGGTCATTTACTCTGTAGGATCTCCAGGAGATCATGGATCGCCTTTGGTCTATGCCTAGCAACTCAAAATTTAAGGACGCTGTAAGACGTGGAATCAGTTACCATCATGCTGGACTGAAAAATGCATTTCGCGGCCCGGTGGAGATGTTATTTAGAAAGAAGTATCTTCAGGTATTATTTTAATGACTGCTCATTTCTAGAAAAGTAGGTGGACGTGTAAATAATGATGTGGAGTAATTTTTTTTTTCTAACCTCATCGTAAATAGCATTGAGGCATACCTTTTTCTTAAAATGATTGTTTCAAATTACTTGCAGAACAATATGATTTAAAATATGACTTAAAAAGATGTGTGACTCTTGCCTAAGCCAGAATGAAGTCTTTTGACATTTTGGTCAGTTTCTGTTTTCCCCTTTACTTTACCCTCCTATTGTTTTTTTTTCTTTTTACCTACAGCTAATCTGTGTACCTCACCAGTTGAGAACGTTTCGATACAAAAATATAGTAACGGAATAGTATATAAAAACTCTGAGTTTTCTTTTTTGGTTGTTCTTTTTAGGTCGTTGCAGCAACAGGAACCTTAGCCCTTGGTATTCATATGCCTTGTAAAACGGTCGTATTTGCTGGAGATTCGCCCTATTTAAACTCTCTGCAATACAGACAGGTGAGAGCACTTTTAAAACAAAGTTTGTATTCCTACAGAAAAACAAATCATTCCCACAGACAAGCGAACCCACTGAAACAGCAGGTGTCTGTAATATTATGGAATGCAAACGAATGAAGCAGGCAAGGGCGGCAACGTGTTTCCAACAAAATAGTAATAGTAAAGACCATTTTGCATGTAGCTCTCTTTGTCTGTAATAAATAACATATGAAAGAATGATCTGAGTGAGTACAGAGTATTTTCTAGTATCTCTCTTGCCTGAAAGTAGATATAACCGTGTCAAGGGATCTTTATCCCTTCAGTACTCTTATTAGACTTCTATATTCATTGAACCATTTCAATGATAATGACTACGTCGCTGTTCTACCAGATTCTGTTTTTTTTTTCCCCATATGTTTCTCTTTAGGCAGAAAGAGATGGTTTTTATCTACAACGAATTTAAATTTGGACTTAATCTCACTTTCTGATCTCTCACATTTCAGATGTCTGGCAGGGCAGGTCGCCGAGGTTTTGACCCTGTAGGAAATGTAGTGTTTTTTGGAGTTCCTTATCGCAAAGTTCAACGTCTCATCACAGCCAATGTTCCAAAGATTGTTGGGAACTTCCCCATTAACGTATCATTGGTGTTGCGCTTGCTTCTGATAACATCAAAAGGAAAAGATCAAAAGGATGCTCTCACGAAGGTTTGTAGGAAAAACACCACCATAATTCTTCTCGAATAATTCGCCTATTCCTTTTGCGCTAAATACTTTGTACGATTGTGGCCACTTTCTATCAGCTCTCTTCCCACCGAAGGCGATATGAATTGTGTCGCAGGATAACAGTTACAGCTTGTTTGGAGTCTTTCTTTCATATAAGTACTTTCCTTCTTCGTCCTCAGCTACTAAAAAGACGAGGAAATTTACCTCTAGAACTTATAAAAACCTACCGGAGAGATTTTACGAGATTTTCGTGAAATTTACTTAGTTACACAGTGATGTGCGAAATTCCAATAAATCGATTCTCAATCAGTTCATGAACACTCCAAGTTATGCACGTACTCTCATTTTCAGGCTCTCTCACTGCTGTCGCACCCTTTTATCTCCATTACTCACCCCGAAATGGAGAGCCAGATCAAGAAACATTTCTTATTCAGCGTCGAGCTTCTTACCAGATTGGTGAGTATCAAAATCAGATCCTTCCTACCGCAGAAATGAGAGGCAAGGTAGAAATGTTTTGCTAGTATCAGTTATCTTTATTTTCCTTGGTTACCAGTTTGTCTATTGGCTTCAAGTTAGGTCATCACATACTCGCTCTTGCAATTCAACAGTCTTACTATAAACTTTTAAGCTCGTTCAAATGCTTCAAATCTCTTATTTGCAGGGTCTTGTGAAACAAAAAGACGGCGCTCCTGAACATATGGCAGAACTGGCAGCACATCTTCACTATCATGAGCCCTCAAACTATGTGTTGGTCAGTTTTCTTCAACGCGGTCTCTTCCACAAGATTTGTGAGCGAGGAAAGAATGGTAAGAACTATTTATCTTCCTTTTATACAAAATATTCACAGCCTCCAACCAAAGGTTATGGAAGATTAGAATCCTTATGATATCATACTATTGATTGCTATCACAGGAGAATTCTCAGACGACGTGTTGAGAAAGATGGTTCTCGTTCTAAGCCACTTGTTCGGCAGACGATCCCTTCACGCCTCATACAAACGAACGGTCCATTTGTGCCCGACGTCGAAAGTATGTTTTTGTAAATCTTAAAAAATGCAAGGCTGTTTCATCACGCTTTGTTGAGCAAAACTGTGTTAGTTTTTTTCATTTGTTATTAATGATAACGTCTCATAATGACGAGTTTGGTCAATATTGTCACTCAATCTTGACGCCCGCCTTAATGCTCACCCAAAATATTTTTAATCATACCTTTCTTTAGTGCAGATAAATTTGGTTTTAGATGCATGGCCTGTATCGGGAGAGAGACAGTTCTTTCTTAAGTAGCACATACGTATTGCAAAAGAAAAGTACTTAGAAAAATCAAAGCTTGTCAGTATGTCCAGAAGACGCCCCCTCGTCTATCAGGCACCGGTTTTTCGATGGGTGGATAACGCTATCCGCTGGATAAATCTCTATCCGGCGGATAGCGCTGTAAATAGAAAGCGATTTATCGGTCGAATAGAGTTATCCATCATTTGAAAAACTGGGCTCAGTTTTTTATTGACTGGTCGTTGTAGAGAAGTTACTTGGCATTTATCGCGCACTTTCGTGACCGAAGTCGTCTCGGAGTGGCTTAATTAACTAGTAAGAGTAAGTGTCTGAACCGTCCGTCAAGACAAATTGAATACCGTACGTGTATGCTTTTTCTCGTTATCACAGCATAATTCAAGGGAATTAGCTGCATCTCAGTTGCGCCCGTTTCGTTACTTGACTATCATCAGCTTTCCTATGCTTTTCAAAATAGAGACTTCTCACTGCTTGTTTTTCGGTTTTTGTTTTTCTTCTATCTATCTCTTCCATTTCAAGGTAATTTTGGAGGATCTTCCAGATGAATTTGCTTCAGCTCTAAGAGAGTACAACCGCCAAGTCACAGATGTCTTCAGTCAGTACCTCACTACGGTGGCTGCAGACCTCGAAAAGGAAAGAGGAGAGGAGAACAAACTCCCTTTATCGGGCATAGGTAAAATACGATTCCTTATTATTTTATATTTGACATTTTCTTTTTTTTTTCACCAATGGTCGTCGTACCATGAGTTATTGGTTATTTTGGCGGGAAGTAAAATTTTTAAGTTGAGCCATGGCCAGTTCCATGGCATCGCAAGGCTCTGGTTTGCTTGTATCTCATGACTTTGATAAGAATAATACCTGAAATTTCTGTCAATGTTTGTCTGTTTGTTTGTTTGTTTTTTTGCAAGTGACACTGACGAGTCAAATCTGTTCAACGAAAAAAAGGAAAGCTTGGTGCTATTTTGGCAATTCTATTTCCAGATAATTCTTGGCAAATTTCTCATTCTGGGCTAAAAAGGCCCCTCCGCTTGGTTTACGTACTCCAGTCCACATTCCCATACGAAGTATATCGTACATTAGCCAATTGCTGTCCACTGTACCTACGTTAATGGTTCAAAAGAGAGAGACAAACTCGCGAGCAAGGCTAAGCTAAACACAAAACGTAGGTAAATTCAATTTTGAATTTAAAACGTTCATATTTACCAAAAATCGTAAACTCCTCTTGCAGAATTTCCAAAGCAAGCAAGTGTTGGTGACAATGACAAGTACGATATTATCGAAAGGCTCGTGTCCTCATCCATACCGTACTCCGCCTGCTCTTCCTTCGCTGCATTGTCTGGAAATTCAGACTTACAGTTGCATTCTTCGAGGAAGACCGCTGCTAGTTATCCGGAATCAGACGAAAGAGATGTCGACGTCGCCAACGAGAACGCGACAGTTGAGCTTGATGAAGAAGATAAGGAAGAAGAACCAATTGACCATCTCCTGGAGGTGAGGAAAGTTTCTCAATACCCCACGTCCATTAAAATTTTGAAAAATTTCTGTGACTTTCGACGTAATTTCGCTGGGTTGCATGCACTTTGTTCTTTCGTCAATTTAATTAGTTTACCTTTAAAAGCCTGTGGAAAGTGCCTGCATTTCATTTCGTGGAAGTTCTCTTAAACAACCTCATCGATCAAACACTGGTTAAATTTATTTACTGACACTTTTGATTCTGAGAAAGTTGCATGCTTAATATGAGTTTATGAGTTTTTTTACCCGACAGTTATTTCACCTTTGGAACTATATCCGTTAGAAAACAATCTCTCCATTCTTTTTTTGTAATTTATATGTTTCCACTTGCCCTTTTTACTCTTGACTTTATAATTACGTGAAGTATTGTCGAAACGTCATCAAAATACTTTACGAACAGTTTTTATAACTTTTTAAAAGTTTTTTGTGTATTTTAACAACGGTTTAGCGTTTTGCAGTCATATTTTATTTCGTTCTGTGGCAGTTTAAGTAGTTATAACACCAATTTAACACCGTTGCCATATTCGGCGTCCATTTTTTTCTTTCAGATTGTTCGGCAAGATGTTTACACCGACATCAATGTTGTTCCCATCCTCCGTCTGAAAGAATACAACTCAGTTGGAAGTGTTCTACCCTTGAATGCTTATGCTCTGGATTTTTTCAAACACGGGTCTGCCAAAGTCATTGAGAAAGAAAACGGGTCAGTAAATAAATCACAGATGTATTTGTTAAAGTGCACCAGTGAAAGAAGCGAGGATGCATCTTGATCACTGGATCGAGGAGAGGTCGGTTTTTAGAGCTAAACACTTTCATCACAGTGCCACTCTTCACCTACGAGTACAAAGTGTTTGAGAAATCCACTGAAATGCTTAGACAACCCACAGTGGACTAAAATCCCATTCTAAGAGGAACACGCCTTTACCTTGGGACGCCTCATGCTTTGAAGCACCCTGCGACAGTTATAACTCACCTGCCTTTGAATTTTTACTGACTAATCAAGTCTTCCTTTACTCGTAAGCCTCTGCTTGTCGATTGATGAACATTAGGGGAAAAAGTGCATCGTAAACTAACTATAAAGCTAATCCCCCATGGCTAGAGAGACACTATGTACCGTACTAGTTAACATTTGGTGCACTTAGCTAAAAGATTGGAGGAAACTTGCTATATGCTTGCATATCTTTTAGTGGGTCACATGCCACTACTGTTCATACGGATCTTTAGGAGTTGTCTTCAGGTATGACTAACCGTCGAATGCTCGTTTATTTCGCAGAATCAAGGCTGGAGAAGTTTTTCACGTATTAAAGGATTTTTTCCTAACCATCAAGTCAATCAGGTAAATAATGGTTGTACGTGATGCAGTGTCGACGTTTCAATGTTCTAAGACTAGTGAACATCCAGTTTCATTTCACGAAACTTTACGAGATATTTGTAAAGGGCGAGTGTTAAAGTTAACGTTGTACATGAGAAGGAAAGAAAACAATGGGTTAAGTGTTGTTGTTGTTGTAGTTTTTGTCCATAGTTCCAACCGTTGTGGTCGAAAGCTATGACACGTTTACGGACACTTAACTTTACTGTTTCGTTCAGCTGCAACCACTAAGAAATTAAACGATAAATTCCAAAAGTCGCATGGCAGGAGGTCTTGGCTGAGTAAGTTTAGGCCAGGAAGAATAGGGGTATTTATTAGGAAAATAATTTTGAACTTTTTCTTTTTTCTCAGTATTTCTCTTGAAGAGCTGGGTTCTGAAAGGGATAATGTGGTTTCAGCTTTCAAGCAGCTCTCCCAGGAGTATGAAAACAAGTTTAGAAAGCAGTTTTGATGCGGACATTTAAAATAATCCTCGCAATAGTTGATTAAATGTCTCTTAAAAAATAGCCAAGTCGACGAAAGAAATGATTTTTGATGACAACCATAGGAGATTAATGCGAAAAACACTTGTCTTATAAAGGGAGAGTAAGCAATATATTTGCAACGGTAATCGTATTCTGATAAAATTCGTGATTATCTTTGAGAGTCAACCTCAAACCGACGAAGGTAAAATTTCTTGCGATAAAAAAACTATTTTGGTCTGACATTTGTTCCGACAAAGTCAACCGTGTTTGTAGCACAATAAAACAACGTGAGTCGTCTATGTTTTCATTGTTTTGACTGCCTTCTGCCATTTCTGCGGCACTGTCCAAAAATTACAAACTTTGTATGCCCGCTCCACGCAAGTTTTTTCCTTGCGCGAAATGAAAGCGGGTGAGATGGGCTCGGTTAGCCAATCAGAACACAGTATTCGCTACATAGTGCCCAATGGCGCTGCCAGCAATATGATAACATGTAGGGCGATCCACTTAAATATTTCGTTTAAACTACAATCCTAGAAATAGGTTGGCGTAGATCTATTAAACATACTGTTAAAAGCAATTTCCTATCACTCGTCTTTAAGTTGATTATTTCTTTTATTCTCTCTTTTATTACTCAAGTTATTACAACGGGGACTAGCTCTGATCTCTCAAGGAAAGTGTGGGTCACCGCTTATAAAGGTGACGCTTACTGAGCTTTTCACTCTCTAATCTTCGTCATGCTTTTACACTTAACTAGCGAATCACGCTAAACTAAGCAGAGCGGAGTACGCATACTACATACTACTTTGCAAAATGACTTTCTACCCTAAGTTTCTTAGTCTTACAGTCAAGGTCGAGTGAAACAAAAACAAGATTGACAATATAAAAATTATAATAAACTTACTAAAAGAATTAAAATCATACTTGAGAGGATATCTCAAGAGAAAATAGCTCTTGAAGGCTGCTACATATCGGCAGAATAAACAGAAAATTCGGAGAAGAAAGGACGTACCTAAGGTACCGTCCTTAAAAAAGAGCTACGTGCTAGCCGTATAAGTTATCTGATTACAAATTCAGTGCGGAAGCTGAAAAGTACTACATGTTTATACCTAAAGTCACCTCTAACTAAAAGGGGTGTCGAGCGTGCTAAATTATACCTGTAAGATAAGACCGCTGAAAGGAATAAGAAATGATCATCTTGCTTATTGTAATTTTTACTGAGTGGCTTGTGCTAATATATTATTCCCATTCATTTTCAACGTTCCAATAAGTAAAAAAAACACCTATAATGAAAATTATTGCTAGATGCCAATTTTGTCTTTTAACAATACGTTCAAAATCAGATTAACTTCACTCGTACTTACCAAAGGTCCACTGATTTTACAAATTACCTTATTTTTACTTCATTTGGCGCTTTTGGCGAGACGGTATTTCTCGGGGTTTTACTTTCGTGACTTTACTTTCACGAAAGATATTCCAAGGTTTTTTTAATAGCGGAGCTCGCAGCGCAGTTCCATGATTATACAAAATATTAGTAACCCATCATGCCGAAAAAAATTGGACTAGACACCGTACGGGCGTCCGTACAAGGTGCTACTTTTAGCATGTGCGGCTAACTGCAGTGCAGGCACTATCTTAGCCATTAGGTTATGGAAGAGCGAAGGAGAAGGTAACGCGCAGGCGCGATTGTGTGCGTAACTAGGATACCTCATTAGTGTGCGCCAGAAGACACCGTCAAATCACAATGAAGTGCACATACCCGAGTGCCGAGCTTTAGTGCAGCGTACGGCGGGTACACAGTCAGGCATTACACGAGGGGTTCACGTGGGCTTGTAGATGTGAGGCCGCGTGAGCAAATAATTTGCAACACCCGTTTTGAGCGGGAAATCAAATTAGTGAGGTTGTAGTTGAACAGTATTTCTCAGTATTTTGGATTTTTTTAAATCGACACGCAAAGCAACAATACCGGCAGAGCTAAAGCTTTGTCAACCGCAGGAAATTGTTATAATTCAAGTTTGCGGAGAGAGGGTTTTGAGTGAAAATAGGCCGCAAAGAAATAGACAGAGCGGCCAAAGAAAGCCAGAAGTAAAAGGCGTCAAGCGAGTCGAGAATAACGCGCAAGAAAGTTAGAAAGGATGCTAAGATAAGTAGAAAACGGCGAGGGGAACACGAAAGAGAACAAGAAAAGGCATATGTAAAAAGGCGAATATCCAGCGAAGTGCAACGAGAGAAGGAAATACAAAGAGTTCCATAAAACAAACTGAAAAGTGGTTATCATCAAAGAGAAGCGAACCACTAAGGTTCCGAGAAAGAAGAGGAGGTAACTCGTGTCTCATCTGGGTTTTCTCTCACACTAAGGCCCAGAAAAATTCAAATATTTTTTCCCAATCTCCGTTTGATACTTGCTTCAGTTTATAATTTAAATCACGTTTCGGTAAAACAATGACGTTTGTATTCATCGCTTTAAAACACTCGCGCAGGTTCATCGCTCGAATAACATTTCGAAGTGTTCGTATTCTTAAAATTATTTCTTGTCTTACCTTTACGAATGTTTAGCACAGTCGTGGTGTTTAGGGGAAGTGAGTTAACTTGCGGATTATGTCTTGCCTGAAAAGTTTTAAAATGATAGCGAACGGCGTGAGCAAGCTTCTATCATTCTCTCTTCAGTTAGCTATCGCATGGTTTAAATTATTCACTTAAAAAAAGTCGCGTTTTGTCAAAGATTTGTTGTTTTACTCTAAGAACGACGTGATAGCTTTTCCCAAAACTGAAATATAATGACATTGAGTCAGCGATGTTCATGTTTACATTAAGCCTGACCCGGTAATTTGATTTTGAAAGTATTGTCATGTGAGAGTCCGTCAAACATCTAAGAATTAAATTACCGAGAGCGAAATGTGTAGTGCAAACAAACTCACGGGTGAAATGGTATTAATCTTACCAGGGGAGGAGTGAATGGCATTGTTTGGTTATGGTACTTTTTAGCACAATGTTTTCATGCTTTCTACTCGATTCGTTGGAACTTCAAGAAATGGTTTGTCTCACCAAAAATGGAGCCACTTTCTCTTCGCTCGACATCGCAAGGCGTAACTAATGCTCGGGTTATGATGAACATACTTGCGATACGATAAATTTTTCCTAATGCTAGAAACTGAAGAATCCATCTCTAAAATTGATAGTCATCACGTTTTTCAAGAAGCATCCGAGCTTTGATCATGTAATTAAACGGGCTCCTGGCAATATGAACTCACAAGCACGCTGGTAAGCACATGGTTAGCGTAAATAATTGTTGTTTAAAGTTGTCGAATTCGAGTTTTTGAGAGTCCATTTCTGTGACCTTCCTGGCTGTTTTATTTTAAAATATTTTCATCTCCCTCATTAGAAAGGTGATTCAGTTTGTATTCATTCATCTTTCTCCAGTCTGGCAGCTGAAAAGAAGTAACTCGCCAATAAAACAAGGAAAGTGGTTTTTTGTAAACCTTTTAATTTTTCTAATTTCAAGATTATCACATACAGGAGACCAACTCACAGCAACTTAATTGTATAAATTGCCTAAGCCCATGACCGTTTTCGTCTAATTATTCAGGCTTTCTTTAGGGGTTGGTTATTCAAACAAGGTCCAGCTGTTACTTAACAAAAACGTGTCTTAAACAATCCTCGAGTTAGCTGGACATTTTATCTGAACATTCATTGTTATGAACAGAAGAAACAGAGTACGAATATTTATTCGATTAAATCAACACTCTTTTATAGAAAGTCTGAGACCTACTGATAACTTAATACCGTACGGTTGAATTGGACTTCGTGAAAATAACCGACTCTCGGAGTTACTCAAGATCAAATAATACTTCCTTTATTTAGCGCGACTCCAGGCGATGTCCTTTCGTGCCTTACAATGTATAGTAAATAATTCAATTAATTATAAAAAATGGGGGAAAAATTACATTTGCAAGCTTAAGGAAAATGTCTTACAGGCGAAATGTCAAAATTTGGTAAAATATCTCATATATCTCTCATAAAAATGCTTGTCTAAAGGGTCTAAAAAGATAACTCATAGATTTTTCTTAAGAACATTCAGATCGTCAAGGTTAAAAATAAAATGTTTAATGGGTTAAATGTAATAATAGGTGAGAGGAAATGTGAGGATTGAAAATCACGTTCCGATTGAAGTGTGGTTAGGGTGTTAATAAAGAGAGGACCAGCGGAACCAGCGGAATTTTGTTTAAAAAATAATATTGATATGAAATAAAAACTAAAATTATTTTAAAACTGTTCTATATTTCGCTTTCGGGTGCAAGGAAAACGACGTTAAAAGAGTAACCAACCACGGGAAACCTAAGTTCACACTGAGCCTCTGTGAATATGCAAATATGTTCACGTTACACAATTGGTGAAATAAAAGGATTTGCATGGAAATTAGCATTCGCGCTCTCAACCTTTTAAAGGTGTGGACTAGTTTTGAGTAACGATTACTTTACCCCGCTCAAGTGGTTGTTCTTTTAAATTGTGTGAATTTCTGATTAAGGGAAATTTAGGGAAATTTAGCTCGGCTTCAGTACATCTGTCTAGCCCTCTACATAATCCTGTCCAAGATACTATGAGTAATGCCAAGAAAACGAATCAACTGGAAGCAAACCAATGTAAATTCGCGAATACAGATCCCCCAATCACCCCGAATTTCTAGAGGCACGTAGCCGAAGTCGCGCGTCATTGTCATTATTTATTTAATAATATCCAAACGCTACGGCACTAAACATGAGTAACAAAATACAAATAAAATAACAAAAAAATTACAAATGAACTCACGATAAAAAAGTAACTATTTACCTTAACGGTGCATAACTTTACAGGCAAAAAAACGACGACGCTGCTTTTTAAAAAGTGGTCATGAAAACTGTTCCACAGGACTAAATTTATACCCAAAACCTGATAAATTACTCGACATAGTTACATAAAATCACGCAATGGTACAAACATCAACCACAGGTATGTGATACAACTACTGAAACGGACTTCTCTTTCTATACCTTTACGTTTATCAGTAATTTAGATTGTGGAAGCCTTCGAATACTCCAAGCAACAGTCTGTAAACTAGTCTTAGGATAAACGCTCTGATTTCAAAAATTGAATAATTCAAGTGACACTCCTTTGAAATTGATCAATGGGACGTAGATTTGTTAAAAAAATTAACATCTGTATCACCGTCGCAATATGTTTATCTATTCAGAGTTCCCCAGGAAAGCAAGTGCTACCCGCGTCATTCCAAAAGATTTTCAGCAAACACTAATCTTTTAAATTCGACAAGTCTAGAAAACGCGTAAACGAACTCTTTCAAATAAACTTAAACTTGTATTTCCTATGCCTCATGTTCAAACTGGTCTCTGAACTTCTCTCCGTACTCCTGAGCCAGCTGCTTAAAAGCCAATACCACATTGTCAGTTTTAGGACCCAGCTCTTCCAGTGAACAACTATAAAACGAGAAAGCAAGTTACTTCCTTGTAACTTAATCGATCGACAATGATTATGAAGTGTCATTAAATTGTGCATATTAAAAATGGTAGAAATGCTGCCTTTTTGTCTATCGCGAGTCTTTTTGATGAAAGAAAATTAGTTTACAGTCCTATTTGAGCGACGAAATATTTGGAAAGACAAATCTGCAGGGTGTAATTCCTGCATCCAAGAGGAAAAATAATATAAAGATGGTTACTATGGTACTCACAAGAAAAAATATCTTTTAGCCACGTTTCTCAGGTGAAAAGGATATCTCAACAAACTTTGACGAGAAAAATTAAATATCAGAATATCTCTGATATTTGAACTTTAGGTAGTGTTCTATCACTATACTATCACCTCCTTCAACCCAGCGTATTCTTTGGATATTAAGAAGAATTACCTGATTGACTTAATGGTAAGGTAAAACTCCCTCAGAGCATTGTAAACGTCGCCAGCCAGCATGCTGTGAAATCATAGCACATAGTTAAAATCAAAGTGAATGTTTCAAATATCACAGAGAACTGGAAATGAAATAAAAAGCAGGAGTAGAGCGCCTTAAAGAAAAGTGATAGCTTTTGATGTATTCTTAATATTTAGCACATGGATGATTTATTGATTAAGCGATAAAAATGCATTAATTACAAGACAAAGAAAGGTCCGAATAAAGAAAGAGCAATATTCAAGTCAGTAATGAATTTATTTTCTAGCACAGTGGGTAATAAATCTGTGTTACTTTCTTACCCATTTTCTTTCTCTATAACTTTGGCGGATCCGTGTTTGAAAAAATCCAATGCATAAGCATTTAAGGGTGGCCTATTCCTGAGTCGAAGAATAGGAACGAGATTCATGTCCGTGTAGATATCTTGACGAATGATCTAAACAAATAGGAAAAAAATTCCTGACGCCCACTTTGGTATCAACGAAAATTTATATCATAAACTGTATCCTACACACACTTTTGATTGGTTTTTACTTATGATCTATCGGAGGAGCATAGATGACCATTAACAACATTTTTTTTATCATATGATACAAATAAATTCCTTGTTGACATGGGTTTGTTCAGTAAGAGATCACAGATTATTTCAAAATGTGGTAAGAGCATCAGCGAATCACTTGGCCGCGCCTAATGTACCACTTTTTTAATTTTATACCACATTTTGACTTTACATTTGATCTGTTATTGAACAAACCCATGGAATCAATTTTTTTAAATTAAAAGAATTATAGATTTATATTTCTTGAACCCAAAATCCCAAATAAGGCTAGTCTAGATTGTAAAGAGTCATTTTGTCCCAAATGGTCTGCTGAGAAAAAATGAAAAAAGCCGTGAAGGAAACAGCGAAACTAAAACAGTCTAATTTTCACCTTGTGCATATCTCTTAGTGGCTCTTCCTCCCATTCTTCCTCATCGCTATCAACTTCATCTTCACTCTGATCGCCTGGTATTTGGCTGGTATGATGTAACTGTGAGTCTGTATTCCCTGACAGCGTAGCGAAGTAAGAACAAGCCAAAGGCTTGATGGAAGTGTTTGCAAGGACTTTGATCATATCGTGCTCGGCAATGCCATCGATGCTGGCTTCATTTGGAAATTCTGCGGCAGAAATACTTTTATTACACGAATACAGCAATCTACGTGTTTTCCATAATTTAAATCTCTATGATAAACTGAATGATATGCTCATTTTGATTGTTTCTTACATATGATCTATTGGAGGACAAACTAAAAGATTTGCTAAAAGAAATAGACTCCAGGTTACCGTGCATAATGTCAGTAACAAATCACAGATGGCGCCAAAATGTGTTGATAACATTAGTGTCAGACTGGCCTGCGCCTCGTGTGCCATATTTATGTACTTACCACACTTTGACGTCAACTGTGATTTATTGCTGAACAGACAGACGCACAGCAGCATGGAATCTCTTACCGAACTGACGTATTCTCTGAAAATATATTCCGGTTTAAGCAAATATAAAATTATGCGAACTAGAATGCGCATTGGATATTTCTTACCTATTCCTGATAGGGGGAGCTTGTAATTCTCTCCTCTTCCCTCTCCCAACCACTTAGCCACTGTGGCAAGGTACTGACTAAAGATATCGGTGACCTCACGGTTGTAGCTTTCGAGTACCTTAGCAAATTCACTCGGGAGATCCTCCAAAATCAACTGCATTAAGTTCAAAATGCAAAAGCGTCCATGATTTATATAACGAAGAAGCTTAACAGTTACTGTAAAAACCATCCCTCGACCCAGGCCGCCTCGTCAACATTTATTTCAGTAATTCAGTCTGCGTCACATTGTTCATCATCGCTGTCAAGTTTCTTTCACGTCTGGACGATTTAGTTGTGTTTGCTTAGTTAAAAGGTTTCCTTGTGCTCGATTTCCCCGAGTAAATTCTTTTTTTTAAAACCACATGATTTTTTAAATCGAATGTATTGCTGGTGTGCGTCGTCTATAGTTACAGTAACTCGCTGCACATCTCTTTTGACGAGTTAGAGAAAAACCAAATGTTTTTTTTTAAATGATTTTTTCCGAATGTATTGTAATTCGTGCATGTGACCCATGCCTAAATTCAAGTAAACCTTTTCAGAAAACATAATTAAGAGCAATTTTCCCTTTCTGAAAAAGACTAACTTTATAATAACTCACCAACAATAGACTCGTTTTCAAGATGAGCCATTCCGCAGTCTGTGATTCATAACAAACTAAATTGAAAGGTAAACCAATAGATCCTCCGAGGGAAGGTAATACTGAGGAATCAGTCTTTAGGGGAGGGGGAAGATGGTTGGGGATTTTGGTTGTGTCTCCATAAAATTTACTTAATTTCTCCCCTCACATAAGACTCTGTGATGATGTTATTTTGATCTCCCCACATTAGTTGCTAGCTGGTAGTCAATTGTCCGTGGTCTTACCTTTATGCTCTTTTGATGGTCCCCCTCAAAACCCTCCACCTCCCCCCTGGGTATAAACAATAAATAGTCACTTACTTTTGATGAAGATCGATCCCTGAGCATCAAAGAGGGGTGAACATAAGTCCTTCCAATTAAGTGGCTGAGAACAAGTACCATTTTTCTCATAACGTCTACAGAAAATTTTCCTGTCAAAGGGGGAAAAAGGAAAATCAACGTAAACTGAAACGAGATGAACGGGTCAAAAGTTCGCTAAAGAGCACTACGCCAACGGTAGCAATGAAGATCAAAAACTCCTCAGAGATAAATCTGAGACGCAGTAGTTAACGTGCTGGACTTTGTGTTAAGAGGTCTGGGCTGGAAAACCGGCTGATCCTGACTTGGTCATTGTGTTGTATTTTTGGGTAACTGATACACTAAAAATGTCTCTCTCCTTACGAGAGTAGAGTATTGAGTTATGAACTGTCAGGAAAACTGCAAATAACCTGCCATGGATTGAAATTCCATCCATGCGAGCGTAGAAATACTCTTACTCACTTCATACAAACTAAAATCTTCGATTTTCCAAGTTAGAGACATATAACCCTCCTTTTTGATGATGCTATCACATACAATCATATTTCAAGATATCGTTTTCCCCTGAGCGTCTGAAAAGTGGGATGTTCACAAAAGGCTCTTAAAATGTGCCCTAATCTAATCGAATCAGTCGCTGTGCTTAAAGAAGCTATCAAAAACTTTAGGTCGGCTTACCCTTTGTCCTTGGCTGACAAAGCTTGTGGAAGAGACCACTTCGTAGAAAGCTGATTAGGACAAAGTTGGACGGTTCATGGTAATGAAGATGGGTTGCCAGTCCGGCCATTTCCTGTGGAGCTCCGGTTTCTTTGTTTATAAGAGACTGGAATTAAACGAGTAATCAAAGACTTTAGCCACAAATGTCTTTGTGCAGGCTTTCGATTGGCTCTGAAATTTTCTTTATCAGACGGTTATATGTTATATATATAATATTCTCTCTCATCTAAGATACCACACCTCACTAAATATGCAGAAAAGTTATTACGGCACGGCCAAGAAAAATGTGTCAACTTAAGAGATGAAAACTTTTGGTCATTCCACTCACCAATCTAACCAGAAGTTCAACGCTGAAGAGGAAATGTAACTTGATCTGGATTTCCAGTTGAGGGTATTTTCGACAGATAAAAGGATGAGACAGTAATGCTAGGGCCTGAAAAATCAGGGTAATTTAGTAGTTTTATTTATCGAATGAGTTGATAACGTAGATTGGTTACCATAAAGAGTTTCAAAGCTGACGGTTCAAACGTTAGCCCTTCGTCATTCGCTTTTGTTATTATGTAGTCTCCCACCGACGCGGCAGCACATTATCTATAGAAACACACCCCCTTTTTTCACCTGAAAAAATATACACGAGTATATGTATGGTGGTACAATCTATGGTGGCTTAGATTGCTCGCACAAATGTAACGCATGGAAACTAACTCTTTACATTGTAAATACATGTCGTACGTGTGAATTATGTAGTCTTCATTTCAATTTATAAGCGTCAGTCGAGCAAAAGAGGCACACCTACTGCCTGAAGGTATCTAATCTATTGCATAAAAAGGAAACTATGAATTAAGAATACATTCTTGATATATTCTTCCAAACCTTAGTGAGGGCGTCTTTCTTGTCATCTGCTTGAGTCGTCATCAGAAGCAGCCGCAGAACCAGTGAAACAGTGATGGGGAAGTTGCCAACAAGCTTTGGGATATTTGCAGTCATGAGGCGCTGGACTTTACGGTAAGGAATTCCAAAGAAAATGACATTTCCCACGGGGTCAAAACCTCTCCGACCCGCCCTACCAGACATCTGAAAATAACAAGTAAACCTCTGTGTCATGTTATCCTTGAATGGAAAGAGATATATCACATGAATAATTGTTATCCACCACCACAACGCTTTATCAGAAAGCTGATGATTAGTGAGGTTATATCTCCCATTTACCTGTCGGTACTGCAGCGAATTTAAGTAGGACGAGTCTCCGGCAAACACCACTGACTTACAAGGCATATGGATGCCGAGAGCCAACGTGGACGTTGCATTGACCACCTAACAAGTTAAATGAGTATTGTAAGGCGAAGCGTCAGATTTCAAACTTTGTGACTAAAAGCATGGTCACTATTTAATATGCATTTCCTACAAAACTAGTTAATCAAATCCTGAGGCGGTATCATCAGCGGATCCAGGGAAAACACCTCTTTAATAATGATGCCTTATGGCCTAAATCTTCAATTTGAATTATTATTTAGGTAAAAATGTTGAAAGTCAAGGACTTTTTGTGAGTCCACGAATGTGAAACATGTGCCTTTTTTGATATTTTACATACCGATAATGAAATCTAACCTGAAGGTATTTGCCTCTGAATAACATTTCCACCACAGAACGTTTATTAGCGCTACATCCACTATGATGAAAGCCGATTCCTCGTTTTAGAGCCCGCTTGAATAACGATTTTTCAGAGATGAACCTGATTCTCTTCATTATCTCGTCGTAATCCTGAAAATGAATTAATGCGGTCAATTCTTGTTTCTTTTTTCTTTTAATAACTGCGTCAGAATAAATCTTTCAATTGTGTTCATTACCATTTAGCTCCTGCAAGAGAATATCTTCTCTTGGCTGCTGTCAACATTGTATAATTCAGATGAGCAGTTGCTCTATTGATCAGAAAAAAAGTAAAACGGCTCTACGTTTGCAACCTAAATAAACTCAAAAACTGATATACTGGGTGAAAAAGAAACGAAGTCGCAGAAGACTTATTATTTTCATTATTGAAACAGCATTTGTTTATACTTCCTACCTCTTTTCCAATCCCAGTATTTAATGCCAATGTGCACTGCGGTAGAACCTCGTTCAAGGCTGAAAGAGAACCCCTCTCATCTTGCTTATCTGGTTGGCTTTTTGATCTTGTGGAGAGCAGTGATACCCTTTAGTATAAAAGCACAGCAAACAAACGACAACAAGAAAAGCAAACAACCACAAGAAATATAAACAAGCAGTAATTCATCATATACAAAAGAACCTTCATATCTAGAAAGACAGTTCGGAAACAGAACAGTCTTAACATAGGTTAAGCAAAAGAATGGACAGGAAATTTACTAAATGGAAAATGGTGAGTCACAGAGGTTCTACTGTAGTTTTACTGTCATAAGTCATTTCAGAATGACCAAATTACTGAACTGACTACCTTTTCTCTTTTTCTTTCTGCATTTCATCTCTTTTTCTGTGCAAACTTTTTTCAGCTTTTCCTTGTCTCTTCTGTGCAAGTTTTGCCTCTTTTGTGTTGCCTTTTCTCCTGATAATTTGTTCCTTGCTTTCTAGTTTCTGAGCATAACCGATTGCCAGCTCTTCGCAGAGTTTACGATCATTGCTACGTAGGAAAACCAAAGAGAGTGCTCAACACGAACATTTCGATTACCGTATGAATAACCATGACCTTTTCTTACGTAGTTAACTAACCTTTTGCCTGCAATTTCAATTACTGGAGATTAGGCCTCTGTCATTCAATTGACACGTCTACTCTGGGTAATCCTGTAAACTAATACGTTTACTCGCAGTTTTTATCCTTTTCCAAATTAAAAAAAGAAATCGATTGTATCTCTGGCTAAATATCTATGAAAAATGTTTGAAATGGCCATGTGAAGAACATATCAGATAAGAATACTAATTTCCTATTAAGCTGTCTTTCACTCCGCACATCTGTATTTAACATTATGTTGCACATTACTTCCCCTTACTAACTTCCTAATTAAGAAGAAATGAATGGAGAAATTATGAGCAATTACAATTTAGAGTTTTTAAGTAACTTTGTTCCTTTATAATTCCAACTTACCTAAACACTAAGGCAGGCAGTTTGTCCTGGGCTCTGAGCTCGTCAATGAGTTTTGCAAAATTGTTCTTTATGAACTGTTTACCAGAAAAAGTCATTCCCAATCCACCCCATTGTTCTTCAGTTAAAGAGTGATTTTCCAAGAAAACTGACTTTAAAGAATTTATAACTGACTGAACCTGACAAAAAAGTAATAATTCTATTCAAAACACATTAAAAATTAGAGCCTTTATCCTACAAAGTGCGTGCTACGTTTCAACGTTGCACATTTTTCCCTTTCTTTTTGAGCATGGTTAGACCTAACGAAACAAAGAAAACCAAATAAATTTTTTTCACCTTTGTCAATTCTCTGCTGTCTGCCCAAGACTTGAATTCCCTCTTCAGGTCACTCTCGTATTGCCGAGCATGACCCTTTTGGATCAATTTATTTTCAATGAAATATGTCTCAGGAGAAAGATTCTGCCAAGAGAAATTTAACTTACATTATCCAGTGTTCCTCATCTGTAATTTACCAATAAGATTGAAATATTAATAACTACTCCGCTGACCTGGAGTGATTCACAGTCAGGCCACACGCTAACCATAGTGTCATATAATTGTAGAGATTCTTTTGGTGTAAGTGCCATATCACCTGGTAAACCTTTTTGGCGAAGCTGTGTAAAAGAAGGAACAGGTAAGACTTTTAGCCAAAGACCTAACTTATAAATTTTTCCTAAATGTCTCGGACAAATCGTCGATTCCATGTTGCGTATATTATGTAATTGATCCCAGATGACGTCAAAATGTAGTATGAACAAAAAAAGTGGCACTCGAGGGGCAACCGAGTTGTCATTGCAGCTCTTACCGCGCTTTATCGTCTCCTGTGATCTATTTCAGTACAGAACCACGGCAGTGTCGATTCTATTTGTTTAATATGATAGCAAAAAGCAAACTTCTGTTGATGGCGACATAATCTATGCGTCCGTCCTGCCCATAAGTAAGAACTGATAACAAATTGCGGGTATAATTCAGCTTATCATACAAACTAATCTGATCCCAAAGAAGAATCTTGAATCTAGATTGAAAGCGAAGGAGCAAACGAACTTCAAAAGAAAAAAATATATATTGATGATTTATATACATCATCATCAAACAAAATACCAAAGTGAGGGTGTCTTCATTTTTAGACTGAGGGAAAAGCAATCAACTCTCGATTATTGATTATTATCATTGGTAAGATGCACCCTTTTGTTGTGCTATGTCAATAAAAGTACGCTTGTAAAATATTGAATGTACTCAGGAATAGTTAAAAACGCTAACCTGTTGGTGTCTTAGCTGGCCGCAAGGATGAAGCCTCACGAATGCCTCGTTGTTGTAATCATCGTATCCTTTTTCACAATTATTTGGAAGGTAAATGCTCTTTTCTAGATCGGAGTACCGTCCTTCAAATTTGACTTAAAAATAAGCGAAGGAATTAGAAGCAATCAACAAAATTTAGAGAAGTAACGATAAGTTCTGAAATAAATATACTCGAGTTCAACAAAAGTGATATATTGGCGAAACGTTTGTCACCAATAACATTAATTGGAAGCAAGTAGCTCTTCGTTGAGAGAAATTCTGTGAAAAGCACTTTCGACATGAATGTTTTTGTTCACGCGGAGGAGGAGGAATGTTTTTCGTTTTCTTTGTTCTTATTTTTTTAGTGCATTTGTGATCATTTTAAACGTCATTTCGCTTCATTTTATTCTAGTAAAGTACAAAAGCACGCAACAAGAAACATTTCATAGCATTCCAATACACTAATTTCTCTCCTACCTAACCTGATGCGATATGACTTCCTCAGATTTTCTTTATTTTCTTTGTCTTGCTTTTCACGAAAGTCTTGAGCAGCTTGCAACCAGCTATACACAAGAAAATGAATTCTTCAACCTCTGCTATCAATAAGAAGGCCACGGCAAAAATGTTTCCAGTTGTTCATCAAAAGTCGTCGGTGAATAAATTAATATCTCTACTTAAACTCTTACCGTCTTAGATCCTCTGGGTTTCCAATGGTTGCGGAGAGCGCCAGGAAGGGACAGCGAATCATAAGTAGGAGATGCTCCCAGACTTCAGCTCCAGTTTCTGATCCAATACAGTGAACCTATGCAAACCAAGAAAGAATCTACTTCAGTCTAAAGTTATCATTACTAAATTCTTAACTTACTGGCGAGGGTTGGAAATTGATAAATTGATAATGACACAGAACTTCATGGAAACACAAACTAAAAAGAAAACAGACATGTATTAAGTAGCATTTCCTAGCTCGAACAATAAACTAGTCTTATAAATTCAACAATAAATCTCAGGGAAATTGTATGTACGTTCAGCAAACCTTTACTGGTTGACTGGCAAAAGAACGATATGACGATCTTTTACCTCATCAAAAATCACATATTTGACATTCTTCGTCCAATGCTGTCTGTGTGGAGAAATAAAGAGGATCTCCAAACACTGTGGGACTGTAACAAGAATCTGCGGGAAAAGAGTTACACAGACAATCTCATATTGTAATAAGATTAACTTTGAAAGTGTTTCCAAAAAACACGCAAGTTACTAAACCAATGAGATCTGAGGCATTCCTCATACTTTTTCCATATTTTCAAAGGATGTATAACAAAGATGAGTTGATCCAAAGAAAGATAAACGGATATTAGCGTTACTGATTTTCCAAATTCAGATCCAGTAACCTGGGAATTTAGCGTGTTGTGACGATAGTCTCTCGTGAAAACACCGAACACTGATCTTCCCTCTGGCATCTGTTTTTCAAACCGTGCATAAATTGTAGCAACGACTTGATTGACCAAAGCCTAAAAGAAACATAGAACATAATTGACCAGGCTGTACAAAAAAAAAGCATAAACAGTTTTCTTTATCAAAAGGGTGGCTTCACAGTTTCTTTTTTCCTTTTTTTTTTTTGCGTGTTGCAACTTTGACTGATAATGATCAGGGCTAAAGGGAACACTCTTTATACAATACACTTAAATGAACCGTAGATTTTATTCAACCAGAACATAGCAAACAAGTTTTTGAAAAAGGGCTAATGCTCGAAACGTCAGCTTCAGAAACTCTCTATGGTGGCCAATTCACATTATGAACCAAGTTATCTTGTAAAAGCCTCCACCAACGCGGCACCACAGTTTCTTTAGAACACCACCTCCTTCAGACAAATTCGGCCGAGGTTTTGGTAGTATTTGGATTTTGAAGCTGTTCTCTACAGGAAGTTCATATGCAGAATATAAAGAAGTAGTATGCTTCAGGAATCATATAATGTTTTCCTCTTCCATTCAAAGGTATAAACAACATCCTGTCACTGACCAGGTCTTGAAACTCCGAAAATTGTTTTCAAAGTTGCTGAAAATTATACTACGGTGGCCACACATTTTTAGTTTGGTTATTTTGGTGAGCAGTACATTTTTTTATATTCTTTTAATGGCAGAAAAAAATTCTGAACAATATGGTTTATGGGGCTCATTCCTCCTCGAACCTCGCCCTGATATAAAAAATATTTAGGGAAAGAAGATGACATAGACAGACACTTTACCTTTGTTGGTGCAACGTAGACCACTACACTATCATTATCCTTCCTAAGAATTTTCTCCATGCAGTAGTACGAGGCGTAAGTCTTTCCTGAAGAGGTTGGTGCCACTATCACTGCTGATTCATTGTTATCGACGGCATCGAGAAGTTGGCGCTTCGAAATATAGACAAAACATACCGGCATAAAATTGCACAACTGCCTTCAAAAAGGAGATCTCTTCGCACCTTTCCTGAAGCTTTATGAAGTAATGTCAAAAAGGACCCTGGTAAAGACACTCTACAACCTTCTACTGAACCATTATCGTTTAAAACATACGTCCAGCTACCATTTTTTCATTACGTATGGAAATGGATACATATTCATGCATACCTGCCATGTATCCGGAATAAAATGTTCAACCCGAGAGTCCGGATCAGTTCTCACTTCCCGTTTCAGCAAATGTCCCATGTATTCAAGTTGGAATCTTGTACTTGTGGTGTGAACAAAATGCTGTTCATTCTAGGATCAAGAGGCATTTCTGACTTATAATTCTGAGGTGCTCAACATCTTTACCTCAAAAGTCTTCATTACTATTTCCTCTGACGATATCTTGGGACAAAGGGATATCTTTAAAAAATCTACTATTAACATTATTATCAACAATTAAGAACTATGAAAGCAAATTTTTATGACATTCCTTACATGCTCATTCACGTGTCACATGTCCCGTCATAGGCTTCTTCCCTGTAATTTGTTTTATTACAGCTCATATCCGATGATCATTTATTCCTTAGTAACTTTTATGGTTTATAATTTTAATCTCGCATGATGATTAATGTATAATGCTGTCTTTGAGATTTAAGATTCGACAAGGTTAAGAGAGTCGTTTGAAACGTAATTCATCCCTATCTAAACAGTTCTCATCAGTCTCATTGGTATTTAACTTTTATGATATCTTTGGAAAAGATGTAAGTAACGGTTTAAGAACTCTCAGTGACAACTGAGTGAAATAATTTTTTACTCGAGTCACGTCAAAGCTTGAATTCTCGAAGGCTTCTTTCCTGCAGTTTCTTTCATTGCAGCTTATCTCCGTCGGACGGATATTTTGTTACTTGGAATCCTCCATGATCACCGTCACGAATATAGACATTGTTGTCTATGAGATTTAAGTTTCGTTACATTAAACAAGGTTAAGAAGGTCATTTTAAGGAGATATTAGCGGTGAAACAGATGGATGAATTTAGATGCTCGATATCATTAGAGTTTCTTTAGTTTACATAGTAGTGTTCATTAACTGGAAAAGGTGAAAAGTGCTTTTTTTGCATAGAAAGAGTGAAGTCTATAGGCAAATCGATTTTCGTTGACTTTGGCATGTACTGAGAGTATTAATCCTTTAACTCCCATGAGTGACCAAGACAGAATTTCTCCTTACTATACATTACAGTATCAACCAGACAAGTGATGAAGAAAAATATCAATTAAGGGATAATTAGTTGATCCAATACTAAATTCTTTGACCTAATATTATAGGAATTGTATGGTTGACAGTAAGGAGAATTACAAATTTGATCCGGGAGTTAAAGGGTTAAGAAAACATTCAACAAAATAGGATTCTCGTGCTTCTGTTGAATATTTGATATGGAATGGATGGGATATTTACCTTTTTCTCACGATCTGGTGGCATTTCACAAAACAAGGGCACGAGGTCGTCAAATCCCAGCTTTTGCATAATTTTAGCCAGTTTCTTCTTGTTCTTATCGGTAAGAACACTTGGTAGGTCTTGAACAATTTTATGAACGCTTTCCATCAAAATGATAGGATATTTCATGTCATTAGATTCTGGGTCGGAGGTTCCTATAAGGAAAATGTTTAAACCGCATCAACTCTAGCATCCTTGTGGTGAAGATGGACGCTTTAATATTTTATTTTTAAAATCTCGTCCCGTTTCTCTCTGAGAGCGTTTTCACTCCCGTTTTGAGTAGCTAAGGTAAATATATTGGATGAAATGAAATAATTTATCTGTGAAGGATTCAAATCCTAGAAAACTGACTTCGGAAACCAACATGACTGCCGGTCTGTTTTTCTGCTTTACCAACATAGCAATTGTAATGTAAAATGAAAACACTTCGTTTTACTTTAACGTACTTGTCTGTTTCCAGCCTTCAAAGCAACTATCGACTTTTTTTATGAGCGCGTGAAGACGAAGTTTTGGAGATTTGCAATCTATTAGATATTTATCAATCAATTTCAGAACATCGCTGAAGTTATCTCTCCTCAGATTTGTTTCGATGTCCCTCACAATGCCATCCCACTTCTCTTGATCTTTCAATTCCGCTTTCTCTGTTTAAAAAATACCAAAAATAAAAGACCATCCTAAGTTTATTGAAATCAAGTATAATACATCAGTTTTGCCAATTACTACACAAGCATCTCAGGCGAGAGAACAGGTTTCTTTCTTCCTCTTGACCCGACTTGTGAGGGTCAGTTCCTGGCCGGTTATCTTTTCCACAGATCAAAAGGTGCATGATTTGTTTTAGGTATGATGCATGATATAAGCATGTGGTAAGCCGACATGCAAGGATAATATAGGATGTGTGCCCTTTTCACGGGCAAACATACAACTCACCTCTGCTTTTTTTAAGACTTTCCTCGATAATTTTTGCAGCGTTTTTGCTCTGTTTGAAAATTAGGAGTGAAAATGTTACTTGAGAGAAGCTAAAGAAATACCTTCCTTAGACTGAAAGGGATTTTCTGCTAAAAATTTGTAATGCATCCAGTGAATTTGCTTCTCTGCATACCCGGGTAGAGTGAAATAGGGTGCGTAGATATTATAGTCACGCTCACAAACAGACAAAAACAAAAAATAAAACACAAACAAACCAGAAAATGATCGACGCAAAACAGCCAAGAAATCCCATATCTCGATTCGAATCTAACTTTCCAGCGATGTAAAAAAAAGACTTAATGAGAGACTTTATTTTAAAATAATTGACTTTTATAATAGTCTTCTTAACAAAACTAACCTGCTTATTTTCCTTTCTTTTTCCCGTTTTCTTTTTTGACCCTGACACTGTGACAGTGATGATTTTTTGTTGATCAATGCCACCAACCAGTGAGTTGCCGTAGAATCTTTGAAAGCGAATATATTTTTGCTTATCTTGAAAATACCGTTTCCTTTGCCAAGGATTGTCTGGAGGATTATCTTAATAAAAAAGTATTAACAATATCATATAAAGATGGCAGTGCTGCCTTGGAGTGGAAATACTTAGGATTAAAAATCAGTATTCAAGCAATTGCGCACTTACCTCTCCCCTAACCCTACATTAACCCCAACTTGTTACTTAGTTGACGTTTTTGGGTTAGGGGAGGGGTAAGTGGTAGGTACACAGTTGCTCGGGTAATGACATTGATCATCAGGTTCTTTTCTGGTTCAACTTTAATAAGCTTGGAGGTATTTTACCTGTAATAGATTTCTTCGTTCTATCGTAATCATCAGAAAGTGGTCTAAGAGAATGCCAGTGGTATCGTTCATCAAATTCCCGACCAATATTAGGTATATCGTCGTCACTTGTTTCTCTGCAGAACATGAACAAGCCGGGCAAAAAATTCCACAAAACTACAAACTAAAATTACACAAGAGTTACAGGTTTTTTTCAATTTAGTTCTCTATTAAGTTCAATCCAGTAAACTCGTCAGTTCTCGTATTCTCTTTGGAATGCACTCCTAATGCTCGGAAACTTGTTGAAGTCGTTATTATTAATTTGAAGCGAAAGGTTCTGAAGCTTCAATGTTGACATCTTTCATGATCAAGGGTGACCGTGCATAACTTAGTGCTCCAACTGTGCTTAATTCTTCCAGTCTTTGACTTTTACCGGCTTTCCAAACCAAGTCTCAACTCATTTGAAATGAGGACGACCTGGCAAACGAAGCACAAGATCAATGGACACAACTGAACGACACACAGAAGCATCAATGAAGATAAAACCAGCTTAAAACCACTCGAAAGACAAGGCTCTATCTTTTTATCAACTTACTCTGCCATGGCATTAATTTCTGATCGAATATCCCCAGCATAATCATTCACAAGAACGCTTTGCACCTCAGTAAGTCGCCTGAGCTTCATGGTAGAGTCTGCATCTGAACGCATCACTGAAACTGTTGTAACATAACAAAATAAGCGCTTAATATGTGCAATTCCTGTCGCCCACTCAGTAAGAGTATAAGTGTTCCACTTTTAAAAGAATGAAGTTTTGCCGTCTGCAGGTGTAACCACCAATATTGAACTTCTTTGATGTGAACAGGGCCAACATGGTATGTCGTTTAACTTTGTCATATTTGAATGATCCAATGTCTGACTTGTTTTCGCCCGATCAATTCAGATAGAGCATAATTTAGACTTGTTCAAGTTCTTTTAAGAACCTTAAAACCTTTCAAATTGCAAAAGTTTTTTATGACTATACTCATTTAGAGACAAGTTCAAAAATAGTTCTTTCACGTGCAACAGGAAAAAGAGGAAAACAATGTTTCCATGATTCAAAGAACAGTAATCATGGAAACTTCACGGTCCATTCTCAAAGAAAAGAAACAAAACCCCTTACCCAGAAAACGCAGATATAAATCAAGAAAAAGAGATAGAAATAAGGAAAATAATTCGCACATAAGAACCCGCTGGTGGACATTTCTCACCTTCTCCTTCATGAAAGTCTAACACATCTTCAGCAAAGGGAAAAAATTGGGCTTTAAGGGAGTGAGTACCACATGACTCGTTCACAATATTTACAGCCTTTTTCCACGCATCTTCTACTTCCTTGATGACATCCTCCGGTAGACTGAGTCCTAGTGCCAGAGTAAAATCATACCAAATTTAAGAGGTACTAGGCTTCCGTGTATCCGTGGGCTCTCCATAAAAAGCGGAACATAAAAAAGCAAATGAAACATAAACAAGAAAAAAAATTCAGGCTAAATAAAACAACGCCAACAACAAATAAACATGAAAGCCCGAACGGTCCTAACCGTCCAAAGAATTTCTGTGTCACCATCAGGGATTTCCCATACACGCAATGATTGCCCCATTGACCTCACCATTTTCATAACCCACCTTCAACGCCTTTTGACCTTTGCTGCAAGACAACGGAAAAGAGAGTATGGACCAGACGCCCATCCATTAAATCTGCCACTGACTTAAAAAAGTCATTGCCTGTTTGGTTTGTACTTGCATATTCCTGCACAACTTGTACTGCCTTTAAAATCTCCCATAAACACATGTGGATCTGTTAGCAGATAATAAACGTACCACGCTTCTTTTAGTCACTGACATAACAGTTTCGTATATCTTGAGAAATCTAGCCTGATTTTCAAGTGTTTTCTTTTTGTTAATTTTTTGCACAGACAATTCATATTAAATTCTACATCTTTGTCGATAAATTTTCCGACTGTCACCTAAAGGTATGTTTTTTTATCCTATTGTAATTTTTTTGTCATTTTTTAATTGTTTTTGCATCCCAAAAGCCCCGAGAAACGTTACAAAGCTCCTTTTTACATAAATTCTCTCGATTGCAAAACTGCAAATTAGATGTGTGCAAAATATTTCTTAATCGAAAATAGAAGTATGATATTATAAGAAATGTTGTTGTTCATAGTAGCTTAGTATATAAATGAATGTTTCATTGTTTGCCTCACGTTGTAAGAGTCAGGCTAATCAAACGCCTAGTGTGTTGATCTCGACGTTTTGTCTGGTGTACTGCTAATCTCCGTCTGACGACGATGTCGAAAGTTTGCTTATAGCTGACATTTAAAAGTGAATTCAGTTACTGAGCATTGCTTATTCATAGGATGGGATAGAATACCTCCTTTATGCCGAATTCTTCGGGAAATTCTTCACCTTCAGTATTTTCCTTATTATTTGTTTAGGAAAAGGAAATTAGGAAAAATAAATGGTGTCTTTGCCTAGCCTAGTCACTATGCAAAACTCTGCAATGCATTTTATCTATGGTTGTCTAGGAAACGATATTCTTGAAGTTGCATTAGGACAGTGTCAATTGTGAGGGAGACCACTGTACGATAATTTGTTACATAGCCTCACTAACCTCGTTAAAGGGATAGACGTTACCGTCCTTTGTTCTGCAGAATTCATTTAACAAGTTCTCGTCTATGAAGTGAGCTCTATACTTCAACGGCAGTTTGTTCAGTACTGCAATGTGAAGTAAAAAAAGCTTCATTCTGTCCTCTACAGTTTTCATCGTTTCCTGTAAGCGCAGTGGGAAGATAAACCCTCGTATCATTCCGTGAGTAATATATTCGAATAAATCATTGTTAAGAAAGTTCTCAAATTCCATTAAATGTGTCCCTTTCGTACGTACCTTGGTGCTTCTAGAGTCCTTGAGAGCTTTAAAGAGGATCAGTGCACACCCAAGGACTGCGGCAACCTGTCGACAGCCGCCTTTTGGTGGAAGCTGAAGAGCTTTGTAAACTTCTGCTTCTATGTCAATCTGAGGTACGTCCAAGTGATGAAGTGAGAACATAAATAAATCCGCTTCTTCTGGTCAATCATCAGTAGTCGAAAATGTTAAAGAACAACCTTATCCGTACATAAATCAAGGTCAAGCGGCCTCCTTTATTTGGTATGATTGAAGTCAGGAGATTAGTATGGGCCAAATATTTTCTCTTAATGAAATTCTTCATTTTTAGTTTGAATCTAAAAGCAGTTTCCCAATCATAGCCACATTTGCATACATTCATATATGCGCAATGAAAAGTGGTTTTCAAAGACTAGAGCATCGAATTATTTGGTCAGATTTCACAGATTGCAGAATGATCCCATCTTTTGAGTTGGAATAAAAAAATTGAATTACTTGGACCACGAGAAAATTAATTTTGCGTTTTTGATGTTTTGGCATCGAATTAACTGAACACTCAGCAATAAGACTTTTTCCAAATGTATATTTCACCATAAAACCTTTACTGTGCGCCTCAAATTTATCGAATGTCATGAAATGTAAAAACACCTGATCATCCAGAGGAAACGCGTCCTTCCATCTGGGTGAGCTCTTAGACTCCTGGTCGTGCCTGAAATTCATCAGATATTGCCACGTTCTCCGTAGTCGCTGTTCATGCTAAAAAAAACAATCAACGTATTTGCAAGTTTGAAAATCTCATTGCCCTTTGAGAAGATTTTTTTGGGGAAAATAATGATTCCATATAAAGGAAAGAGGGAGAAACCGCCTCAATCATATATTGAAGCAAATTAGTACGCATGTGCATTGGGTGTTACATGTATGATAAATCCGTGACCAAATTAAATCAAAACAAAGATCCAACAGGAACTTTTTAAACGAGATGGAAGCCAACGGTGTGAAATGAGGGGGAGAAGTGAGTGGCCGAGTCGAGTTTGGATTTTGTTTTGAAACTGAGCAGTTAGCTAGGGAAGATGAGTTTCCTCGACCAATCACGAAGCGGTTTAGAGCAAATCGAAGAAATAACGAATTTCTTTTGACAGTGAATTGAGCATTATTCTGACGTAAACATGGATCAATCTACACCTCTAGTGCAAAAATACGAGGTATTCAGTTTTTTACATAATTCAGTTTCATCAGAAAAGTTGATGTGGTGTAATGTGAATTTACAAAAAGCTGACGTTTTGATTGTCAGTCTAAGAAGCCTTTGTACGATGGCCAATTTACATTATCGACTCAGTTGATAAAACCAAATTATCGTGTAACATACCCAACCGACACTACACCACAGTTTCTTCAGAAACTTACTCCATTATAATCATCATAATTTGTTAGTCTCCCAAGAGAATAATTTTTACCTTCGTAAAGAACTTTTTGTGAATGGCAGAGGAATCCATGTAAAATCCCATCACTTTTGTCGCAGTTGTCTGGATGCCCGAAATGAAAACACAATTCAATCCATGTGCGAGACAATGATACAAGAGACACCGGAAAAAAAATTCAATTGTTTTTTTTAGCTTTTCATCCTGGCAAGGAATGTTTTCAGCATCCGTCAACAGGAAAAACGCAGGGACCTCGTCTTCAACGTAATCTTTCCACCTCTGTCCCCAAAGATTCACCATTGAGGTTTTTACGGTAAAATCTGTGTTGTGCTGGAGATGAAAAATAAGCGCTTCCCGAGCGAGCAGCATGGACGGATTACCTCTCCAGATTATCTCCATATCTTTGAAAAAAACGACATGGAAAACGCCGCCTAAAGAAAGAATAAGTGTGGAATAGCTTTTCATCCTAGTGATAAATTAGTTATGTGTGTTTATCTAGAAAGTCCACCAATCGTAAAACCCAACATAGGGAAGAAAAACTCATACGACTTATAACTACGCAGGGAATCCTACACCCCAAGGAGTTGCGATAATTTTTTTCTTTTTTGCTTTTGTCCTGTGGTAAAGAGGGAACTAAACTGAGGCTTGTAAGTATGATTTTTGAATTTTTGAGAATTTAATTTTTTGAGGACCCAAAACCTTTCGACCGCCGGCTAGATGCGGTACGGCTGAGGTGTAGGAGACCCATGTGTATTCTTTTGGCATATGCCGTTATGAAAGCGTCCAGTTGTCTTTCCACTAACCTTTTTCTGTAAACTTTTGCAAAAATCGCTCCGTTAAATATGCAAGATGCAGAAATTGTCCACCGTTACTCCAATCCAAGCTTTCCTCGCCAAGAATTTCTAGAAGCAAGGAGTCGCCATCAATGAGGAAAATCTTTGCGTCTGCAAAGTCCGTCAGGATGTTGACAAACCTGTTTAGTAGAGCACGAATAGTGAGTATTTCTTGCTTGTGGAAACAAATTTTCGTTCTCGTGCACGCTCGTTCCAAAATTAGATAGATTTCATAATCGATTAATTTACTTATTCGCTATTTAAACGATTTTCACACGCATTATATTTCCACTCTCCATTTTCTTCTTTTTCTTCTTCTTCATTCATTCTTGTCGTACCTCTTTCTATTTTGAAACTACTAATGAGGATCTTTAAAATGTATAAAGAATAACAAGGCCAGACCACAACACTGGGAGCTACGTTCCCTACTCTCTGCGAGAAGTGAGTGGGTTTTCTGACGTCCCCTGCTAACCAGTCCAGGAAAGATGCAGGAGACGGAGCTCATGACTTAACGTCCTTATCCGTGAAGACTAAAATGTCTAACCATTTGCAGATGTCATAGAAAAGGCAGCACATTCTCTTAAGTTATTTTAAGATCCTGAGTATTGATCCGGTCTGGGGCTTGAGCCTTGGATCTCCCGCCGCACGGCATTTGGGCGCTCTGCAACATAAGCTGACCAAGCGCAGTCCGATCAATATACTAACTTGGTATTCACTCCTCGGCCATAAAAACTCTTTCTGACCAAACGCATAACGTTGGAGAAGTTAGGCAGAAATTTATGAGGTTTTTCATTCTTGTCAACGCCAATCCCAGGTAGCTCCTCTGGTCTTCCACCTACGTCAATCAAATAGGTTGGTGTAACTAAATGTTTTATAATCTTCACAATAGTTCAATTATTCTCCTTGTCGACTTGATTACAGAGTCCCACAGCACGGCTTCTCCAGTGATATCGTTCAAAAAATGCTTTGTAATGGAACTGAATTCTTTTCCATCACTTTATAATTAGTAGAGTAGCATTATTTTCCCAAAAACGAGAGCAATCATCTAATTAGGGACGCAGAATATGCCTCATTATTTTCTGTGCTTGTTTGGGGGCGGGAAAAGTTAGCTAGCAAAAAGATGATTTGAGCCAAGTCTGTTTACCTTCATTCAGCTGCACTGGCTTTTTAGCAGATTGTCCTTCTTCATCCTCGTCACTTTGCTCTTCGTCTATATCTTCCAGTTGAAATTCTTCCTCTTCGTCGTCACTGTCAGCTATATCAATAAAAACAAATTAGATTTCTACGCAAGTGACACTTTCAAAAAACAGTTTGTGTGCAAGGAATGAAACCGCACGAAACGTATTATTTCATTATTACCATTAGATTTTTATTTGTAGTAGAGAAGTCCATCATGTGTGGTGAAACCACATTTTAATTGCCCCTTGCAATTGAGATGAACCGCGCTTTCAAAAACGAAGTACAATTTTATGATTTTTGCATGGATTGTTAGGGGTGAAAATGTTGAAAATAGTGCAAAAGTTTCAGTATATTGTGTTGTGTTATATCTTTATCTTTATTCTAATGAAAGATTGATAGAAAGCCGAGACATAATAATGTTTCAACTGACAGCTATTTGATAAAGGAAATAGGCCGCATCTCCATTCGATTACCTATACTCTTAATGAACAATCATTGTATGAGGCTGTTGTGATATCCAGAATAATCAAAGTCGAGGCATGGGTTATCATCCCAAGCCTCATCACAAAAACCGAATTGAACAAAAAAAAAATGGTGACGATCATTTACTTGTAAAAATATACAAATCAGCAAGCAACACCAATCGCGCGAACTTGACATGGTTACCCTCAGAAATCATGCACCGCGGTCATACATAACATGATTACCCGTGAACTTCGGTGTCATTGACATGATGATTATTATATAATCTGCAGCTAAATGACGTCCCAGGCGCAGTTTCAAAATTCACTGTACGCTTTCGGTCAATCAGAGAAGAGATAGTGAGTAGAATGTATATAATACCCATAATTGAGGCACTAAACAAACTCAGTTCTAAAATCATTAGCGTTCCAATAATACTACAACAGAGAACAACTTCTTAATTTTCTTACAAAGGTTCTCAACATCGTCATCTTCACTTGAGTCCTCAGTGACATCGTCGCTGCCACTTTCACCATCACTTGAGTCAAACACAGGGTCATCAGAGTCCTGATCAGATGTTGAATCGTAATCTTCGCCTTCCTCCGCCATCCTGCGTGTAAATTTAATATTGAATTTATTCCGCTGAATTACAACCTGACCGAACATTTGTCGAACTGAGCTATTGTCAGCACGATAGTACTTGCGTTTCCTCTCCCTTACAGGCAAATTTTGAAAACTGACAGCTTGCAAAAACTCAAAAGCCACATCGACTGCACGGCTTCCGTTGCCGAACGTGATGTCACATAAAATTGAACAAACTAATTCTTTGCTCCTATCGATAACATTGAGTTAGTCCAGTTCATTGTCTGTGATAGTTTACCTGAGGTTTTCGGAAATTACAAAAGGCAAAATGTTCCAATATTTTCCTGAACGGCGAAAAATTGTTTGCTTCGAGACAAAATTACAAATTCCTAACAACTAAACTCTATAAAACACAGCAGCTCTTATTGCAAAGAAAAACAAAAAACTTACTAGGGGGAGACCGGTGTGACAGCTACCGTTATTTAGCCATTTAACTCCTGGAAGTAATTAACAATTAACTTCTCCGTATAATATCTAAACATTATCTAGCAGACAAGTCATGAAAATATTCATACTTATCAGGTCAAAGTTATCTCGATCTGGCACCAAATTCTCGTAACTTATTTACGAAGAAATGTGTAGCATCTAGAGGGGAGAATTAACAATCAGATCTCGGGGGTTAGGGTTGAGACAGAAAATGCCAAGAAAACAGAGGACCCCTTAGTCGTTTATATCGAAATAATAAGTGGCAACTCCGTGAAAGAGCAAAATTATGATGATAATGATAACGAGAGCTTTCCTATTTCTATTTCCTATTTCCGATTTATTTAAACTTTCTATTAACAGAAAGAAAACTATTGCTTGGAACCTTCTCTATGAATTAATTTAACCCTAAAGACTGACGTCAATTTTAAGCACTTTTAACTGAAACGTCTTAAGAGGAAAGATGTCACAAAAAAAAAACAACTTCCTTTCTTTAAATTGCATGTTAAAGCAAGGCTTATTTCTGAAAATAAATATCAAGTTTTATGTAAGCTGTTTTATTTTTTATATGAAAAGTTTTTGAACTTAATATTGCCTCCTAAAGCACTTGTCATAAGTAATAAAAGCAGAGAATGAGTTCAACACTTGGAGTTCACGTGACTCTTTAAGAAGTAAACATAAGGAATGTGTTTATGTCTGTCTTGCTTTTCACCAATTTGAAAATACAACTCGAGCGCGATATAATCAGCGTTTCTTCCGTCATTTTTACAGTACAATAGTGATAAGTTTTGTCCATCAAAACTTGTGTTGGATGGAAGACGAGAAACATATTTCAATTAAGGATCGTCGACCGTTCATTTAACTAACCGCGGAACAGATCAAAACATGGGCGAATTTCGTTTTTAAACTGAAAGGATTAATACTCCGTTTAAGGTTTTAAAGCTAGAGAAATCGCTCAGCATGTTGTAGATGCTTTTTTTTTATTACTGTCAATAGCTCTTGTTATCTTATCTAAGAGGGAAACGTTGCCTTAAATCAACTGTTCTCACAAATTTCACTAGCACTTGTTCTTGTACAAATCGCTGCCGCCATATTGTCCTCAGTTTAGAGCAGACTTGAAACGAGACTTAAGCGTGCTATTTTTGATCATCACAAGCTTCCGTCAATCGCAGGTTTCATTCAGGAACACCGAATACAAATCGGGAAGATGTATCGAGAACAATAAAAACCAGACAAATTACCGTGCTTTAAATGTTACAAAGCTTACCTGAGAAGCAGCTTCGTCGAAGTCTGAAAGCCTATCGGCCTTTAAAGCCTCGTGTCTATCGAATAATGATGTCTTAACCTTTTTTAATTCAATCTTTCGCTGTCTAACAAAGCGGCGAATTTTCGTAGGAATTTGAATACCACACGTCCACTAGAAAGTGAGGTCAGAAGAACGACCATCACAAAGACTGAAACAAAAACTATTAATTTTAATATACTGAAAGTTGATTTTATGAGAAATCAACTTCCAATCTCGAGCCTAGGTTGACAAGCTGCCAAAATGACCCTCGAGATTGGTTGGCTTCCCGTTTGCAAATCATGTCACGCTCCCCAGGCATGGTCACACAAGTCTAATAAAATAAAACTGCATGTAATTGCCCTATACGGATATATTTGATTTTGACTGCGCGATTACAGCGATATCGACTTGACATATTGCTATATATTATTGTGGCGCTACTCGCTGCCTCTTTTTGTTTACTTCATAACAGACATGACAGTATAAATGAGGAAGACGTATACGCGCTGTTTGTAATTACAACCTTACAATATTTTGCTATTTTCAAAATGACTTGGTATTCCTTCAATCTCAGGGTGATCATTTTTTTGTTCGAAGCTAAGAGTTTGAAGTCACAATTTGCATCATTACTCATTCTAAATAAGATCATGAGAGAATTTCCATAGATCAACTTAATACAGCGAAATCCGCAGCTGTCACACTGACCAAAACAAAGGCGTGGTATCGGGATTACCATTCTCCCCTTCTTAAAGTCTTTCAGTTAAAAAGCCTTCCGTTGAGAGACTTCCTTTTTGAAAATAGATATATTTTAATGTTTTTTATACACTTGTAATTGATTGGAAATGAGACGAAAAGAAACTAGATGAATGTCGGTATCTGAGCAATTGCGCACCTACCCCTCCCCTAATCCAACAGCAGTTGACTGATAACAAGTTTGGGTTAATGTTGGGCAAGGGGAGGGGTAGGTGCGCGGTTTCTCCGATACTGAATTTGCACTCGTGATTGAAGATTCCAAGTATGTATATCTTTATGCCTCTACAATTGAAACTCTGTTAGTTCATTCGCTTTATATAGGCAAATCCGATGCGTAAGCTTTTCATTATTTGCCACAGCGATTTATTGTTGATAACCAGGTTATAGTTATTTTGGCGAAGTGACTGACGTAATTACATGCTTGCTTGCACACTGCCATGTGGAAAAATTGTTACTGCGAAAGTCTTGCCTACCGAGGCGTATGTTTAGTATTGCCGTAGGTTCCGTACAATGCGCACCAAATATAATACTGTGCTCAGCAAAATGTTTCAGATGAAATCAGTGCACTTTATTCTAATCATTTGCAACCAGAGATATAGATGAAAACAAACGGTACAGTATATCAACATGTAGATGTCACGGAAATGTGACTTGAATTCAACAGCAAATTAATTAAATCTCACAACTGTTCTCGTCAACGAGCTGTTTGTAAACTAGCTTCCCTTGAAGACTATTTTGAATGTTGCGGATGCCTGCTTCAGTAAATAAAAAACCTCCATCTACAGGGAGATTATATTTTCGTTAACATATCCATAAAAAGCGAGAAACAACATTTGAAACTAAATATATAGATGAAAACAAACGGAATAAACATGAACATACATGCCACGGAAATGTGCTCATTCTGATATATTCCGCTTTGTCTAGAGACTTGAATTCGATAGCAAATTATATCCCACAAATGTTCTCGTCAATAAAAAACTAGTTTCCCTTGAAGACTATTTTGAATGTTGCGGATACCTGCTTCAGTAACTAAAAACCGTCATTTACAGGGAGATTGTGTTTACGTTAACATATCCATTCAAATTACAAACGTTACGGTGTTTACGAGAGGTTGCATCAAAATAACGTCACGTTCTTTTTTTTGTCATGCAACGACCCACAGATTTACAGCTTTTTATGCAAGCATAAAGTGAACCAGATTGTTCAAGACAATATTGGTGAAATTTCTGCAATGTCCTGCTCTCCTCCGTCGTTATTTTCATTTGGATTTGGTCTGATGAGTTCCTTCCAAGGAAGGTATAACACGAGAAAGCTGGTAGATGACACAACAAGTATTATCTGTATGCTCAAGACCCAGATGTCCGACTTAAAGTCAATACTTACATGGATGACGTTTGAAGCTATTAGAAGCATCAAAACGCTCACTAGTATCAACACAATCATTGTGCTCCATTGTATTCCTTTCAGAACTCTTGTTGTTTTAACCATAAGAATTCCACTAGTGACCACATTAAAGGCAAACAAGAAAAGCTTGAATGCTCCATAGCTTGCACCTGTGGCCACTCCAAAATCGACAACAAGTTTGTAGCAGACAACCGGGATGGTCCCATTCTGAACGGCAGGACTACTGCAGTTCACAGAATCGTGTGGCCCAACTTTTCCTGCGATGCGTGCGAAGCAAACCCTTGTTGTGTCGTTTTCATCGCAGCTATGGCTCACCTCGAGCAGAAGAAGCTGCCAAAACATGGTCCCCACAACATAGGCTAACATAACAAGCGACAACGAAAACCCGTTTAAAGTCTTTGACAAGGTTTCTTTATCGGCCGCTAAATCAATGCCTTTTAACAGAAACACTGTCTCTCCGGAACCATCAGCCTTCTGCTCCTCTTTGAAAATGTCGCTGAACACGTTTTTAAGGACGAAGCGCTGGATACTTCTGGCATGGTTCTTAAAGAATAACCATATAAGCAAAAGGGCAATCAGCACAGAGAGTGTAACGAGAAGGAAAGGTGTCAATATGAGAAACGTAATGTAATCAGTCGGCCCCCACATGACAGAATACCACGAGGTACGCGCTACAACGTTTCAATGAATGGCTTGATGAATGAACCTCGTTGAATATGATTATGCAAGCCTCGTTTCGATTGAATCCCTTCAAACCGTATCGGAGGGATATTACTCTCTGAGTGTGGTGAGCTACTGAGTCAAGATACCATGCGTTAAAACTTTAATTAATGTTACGTTTATCACCGACGCAAGGAACTCTCTTTGTAGTATTAGACAACGCAGAAAAGGGAATAAAGAAATTTTACGAAAGGTGTTGAAATACAAGATAACACCTGAACCCAAGACAAATAAACAGAAGAAAATGATGCACTACTGTCGGCTTAGATAAAAGTGTCGAGTAATCTTGTCCTCAGGTTAAACGTTTGAAAGGTAAAGATGCAAAGTAGAAGGCATGTCGTCGATGCAAGGTAATTAAAGGAAAATCAGTGTTCTTCTACACGCTTGAATTCTTTGTAGTGAACCGAATCGCCCTCAAGCAAAACTGGAATGTCAGCTTGACAAGCGAACGACATGCAATATGTTAGCCGTTTGAGTTCTGTAATTATTAGTCAGAATAGAAATCTGGCTCTACAAATTAGCAAATTCAAATTACCATTGCTCTAAATGCTCAGTGATAAAGCCAGTCCGACGGAAAAGTGTCACTCATTTTATGGAAGAAATTCCTTCTTCTCTCGCCAAAATTTTCATTTTCACAGATAAATCATCACTCAAAAGACTTAAATGATATAGAAATCGGAGACAATCGAAATGGAATCTTTAATTAAGATTATAAACAACCTCAAGCTGAGAAGACAAAATTGTGAGTAAACGATCTTTTGTGCATAAAACAAGCTTTGTATGTTGGAAAGCTTTAACGATTTTGTGCTTTAAGGTTAGAATGAAGCTACATTTTGTTGAAAACTGTCAATTTTGTTTTGTTTTGCGATAATTGGTACGCTCTGCCGATCAAGGTTCTCAAATGACTGAATGACTGGAATGACCGGCTTGTCGAATATTTTTCAGAAATTTTAATAAATTGAGGCAACCTATTCAATTCAAAACTATCATATGTCGAGGAGAAACTGCTAGGCGATCCTGGGAAGATTTGCCACTTTCATGTCTAACGCTCGTTTTACGCTGGGCTAAGGATCAACATCCGTGATTTCATTCAGAAGCCAACTTCAATTGCGTTACATAGGGAAGGATATCCTGGTCAGGAATCCGCCAACTGTTGTGAACAATGCACAAGTTCAACTTCAAAAAGGGAACTACCACCATCCTTCATCACGAAGAGGGCCAATTATGCAGATTCCAGCACGGAATCTGCTGTACGTTTCTAATAAAGTTCTTTGCACGGCGTATATGGTATTCTCATGACAATATACCACAAAAATGTGCACAAAATGCAACAATATAGTGTCGGAATGACCACCTACCTCGTTTTCAATACGAGGGTTACGTATAACTTATGAGCCTCTCCATCACTTCGCTACAAACCTTTGCGTGGGCTTAACTACCATTAGCAGCTCAAGATATCATCATGAATTTAAACATGTATGGTCTTCTCACCGCATCACCACCTTTCTCGTTACTTTGATTCCCCCTATGAACTGCAGGCGCTGCTGTTCGAAATGGAACCATACACGTAATTCGTTACAAGATCGTTTTCAATTTTGGAGTTGCCATCGGTGCAAGCTATGGAGCATTCAAGCTTTCTTTGTTGGATGTTAATTTGGGCGCAATCGGATTGTTGATGATTGCAAATCCAAAAAATTTAAGGGCGACACAATTCGTTGTCGGATTTCTGTTTGTTACCGGGGCTATTTCGATGTTACTAATACTACTGTCAGAGCCATCATGCCTTCGGTTGCTATCTTTTTGTCAAATGACCTAACTACTTTCTTCTAGATAGTAGCGGTGGCAGGCATAGCAAGCGGCTTCATGTACCTTATTCCCTTGAACAACCTTATCATGCTGAATATCGCAAATATTGACGCGAAATACATAAGCTTAGAAATCTTGCTGCAAATACAGACGCCAGCTAGAGGCTTAAATCTTGATCTGAGTCGGATTAGTACATGAAAAAGTTGTTGAAACAGTGTTGCCGTAAAAGTTGACTGAAATTTTCCCGTTTTTCTAAGCATATTCATATACTGTAGGCTATCATATATATTGAAGTGTTAGATCGTTCACTCGATGCTATACTTTGGTCTCTTGTCTGAAGGGTAGTGCAGTGTTGTTACAAATTTAAACGAGAACGGTAACAAATGGTTTAGACTTCCCCATACCAAGGTACACAATTATATAAACTTCAAAAATGCTTATTTTGAGCACAGCCGCCCACTCTCGCGCAAGTATGTCGCTGCATTTTGTAAGCAAAATAAAAGGACTCTCTTAGGTTTATTGCGCTTTATAAAATGTTCAGAGAAATGCGCGCGCCCTGATTGGTCAGAACGAGTATGTCATATTTACATAAGGCACTTGCCTTACGTCACACGAGTGCACTTCTCTCGTGTTCTTAAAAATTCCCACGTGCCTATAGAACTCAACAATGCACTTGGCGCGTTTTTTACTTCTGTAACAAAAACAGCTGGCTTAAATTTCTTTCCCGGTTCTAGCGACAAACAATTCGTATTTGATTCTTATTAACTAAAGCGAAATATGTTTTCAATATAATAAATCTTTATAGACCAAGCTTATTCGGTCAAGATGACTGGATATTAGACCCGTTCTCTTCGGGTGTTTTAATAAAAACGCGGAAGAAAATCTTTGCTTCACGCTCGGTCAATAACGCATGGTATTGTGCAACGGTGTTTTGTCTACTGTGTAAAGCGTAATTAGCATATTTTGTGTTTACATTTAACAAAGACATCATGCAGATGCTAGTCATTCGTAGTTGGACAGTGTACAAGTCGTATCGAATAAAACTCGCTACTTCGGCATTATACCTCGATGTGTCCTAACTGTCAAAAATCATAGAACCCATGGGAACACTGAAAGTCAGATCTGTCGCGTAGATGTGGGATCTTTGAAAAACCGCGCGCGCGGCATGATCCAAGCATCGGAAGCGAACAATTTCGGCGGAATATATTCAAAACGTGCAAGCAAAGATGCATTGGCAGTTTTTTTTAAAACGACTGTCTGTATCATCTCATACGTATGGGGTCAGAGAGATTTCTGTCAATAAAAAAAAGTGTCAAGGGAAGACTGTCTATCAGTTATCTCCAATGTAATTATTTCAAGTTTTAATTCAACAGCCGAGAAGTACCTTTGCAGTAAAACTCATAAATTCGCGAACAGCAAAAATATTTAAGCAATGTGTTTATGTTTTCAAGAAAAGTGAGCCATGGGTTAGGAAACAAGACTGAATATTCTCTTGGCACAAATGCATTAGCGTCGTCAACTGAAAAAGAGTATCAACGATGGTCTATCAAAGAACGTTACTTGAACTTACCACATCCGAATCCATAGCCATCCATTACCAGTCTTCTTTGGAGTCTTTTTGACACGGCTGCAGAGGACTGGAAAAGGCTAGAGACAAAATAAGGTTCTCTTGAGATCTAAACATGGCGGACAGCGGGGTGGAAACGGATCTTTTGTCCGAAATACAGAACGCTTTTCTCAGCGAAAAACAAAATCTTGTAGTTCAAAACGTTGGAACTCAATATGATCCAGTCGAAGTTTGTCTGGACAGAAGTGTGGCCGAAACAGTCAATCATGTCTTCAAACACAAGGTAAGAGAAACGGACCAACGCTCTCGGGTACAGTTTGTACCTTTATGTTCCGGATGATACGAGTTTTGTAGCTTAATTATTGCGCCTGGCTTTGAACCAATCGCACGTTTACACTGTCGTGCTGCAAAATTTTTTATTTTTTTTAATTTAAAAAGTATTTTGATTGCCCATTTTTTAGTTTTAAACTTTGACTCGTTGAAATTCCCGGCTACGACCAACGTAGGTTCGTTGCTTTATCAGTAATCATGTGATGTTGCTTGAGGGATTAATTTCACTCGGGAATTTCTCATTTTCATGCCTGTTAGTACCTTTAGAGTCATTTGAGATAAGGCATCAAAACCCCAGTGAAGTGAATGTGATTTGATGTTTGGGTGATTGGCATACATTGCACGATTATTTCTTTAGGACTCGATGTATATTTGAGTCAGTCAGTTGCATCATTAAGGTTTGTGAAGGACCCTCAACCAACTGTGATAAATCGCATTTTTCCCCATACTCTTTTTTTTATGAAGATGGGGAGAGATGTCATACCTGAAACTCAACACTAATTTGGATTTTTGTCAGAATTAGTAGTTATTTATTACTGGTTGCAGGTACCAGTTTTGAAGAGAGTTTTTCTCCAAACAACAAAGATATTCGTGAGATATTTTGTTCCTGGTGCCATTCTTTGAGATTGGAACATGATGCCTTATATCATAAAAATTCTTAGCCCTTTCATTTCCAAAATCTCATTAGTTTATCTCCTCACTGTCTGCCATAAAATTCTTAATGAGTTAGTTTGAAGAATTCTGTATTAGATCAATTAATAATCCTCTTCTTTATATTTTTGTTTATCCCCATCACTTCTCTGCTTGATATAATACTGATATTATAAGGAGAAATTCTGTTTTGGTCACTCAGGGGACTGTTAAAAGGTTCAGCGTGATTTGATTTTATGTTGGATATATTGAAATTTGAATGAGTAAGTGTGTTTTAGATGTTAAGGATAAAAGACATACTTTATTAATATTTCAGGTCAATGAAGTTAAACCAGTAACAAACCAAAGGGCATCTGGACGATGCTGGATATTTGCATTTTTGAATGCAATTCGCCAAAAATTTGTGCAACACTTTAACCTGGAAGACTTTGAGTTTAGTCAACAGTTTCTCTACTTCTGGGACAGAATTGAAAGGTCATATTTTTTCATAAATACTTATGAAGAACTGGCTCGCAAAGGGGAAGAACCTGATGGGCGATTGATGATGTTTCTTTTATCCAACCCTTTAAATGACGGTGGTCAGTGGGACATGCTTATCAACCTGGTGGAAAAGTATGGCCTGGTGCCAAAGGTAGTCTGGCCTGAAGCATTTACATCTAACAGGTCCATGCGATTGAGGAGGATAATCAATCACAAGGTATGCTATAAAAAACACAAAACTATGGTATGATCTCAAAGTTTGAAATCACGAACCCCACTTTTTCTATGAATTCAACATATTAATGATATAGCAGAGACAAAAATGAATTCAAGCCAGGGGGTGTTGAGGAAATTTGGCAAGGGTTCCAGATACAGAAACATCTTGAAGGGTCTTTCTTTCCCCAGCTTCATTTGAATTGAATATTAAAACTGAATTTGTCCATTGCCATGGACTGATCTTGCCCACTTGAGCTACTGACATCTGTACAGTCATGTAAGAACAGCTAGAGATGCATTGAAATCATTAGGAATTGAGACGAAATAGGGAGTTGTTGCATATAATCGGCCCATTCCATGCAGTAGTTAAGTAATTTCATATAACTGAAAGTCACAATGCATATGGAAGACAGTGTCAAATTGAGGGTGCTAAGAAGATGTTTCACATGACATGCACCACATTAGTTATAAAAGGACAATGATGTTGAAGTTTTTTCCTGATTCACATGGAACAATATCATACATACAATCACAATGACTTCCCACATTAGCTGATAGACTCAGCATTCACTCTGTGAAAATAATCTCTTGTGAGAATCCAAATGATGAACTAAGAAAAAATAATGAAACAGCCACAAGAAATGTATACAAAATGTTTCCTTCACTGTCATGCCTTGGTAGATGATAAAATCTTATCTTTCCACCATCCTGGTATCAAGCTTGCCCATGACTTAATGTTGTCTTTGCAGCTGCGAGAATATGCTGTGCAGCTTAAAGAACTGGTGGACAAGAAATGCAATGAAGAGGAAATGAAACAAGCTAAGAAGAAAATGATGACAGAGGTGAAATAAGTCATTTCTGTCTTGTCCTAGTTTACACCTTTGAGCTTCTTTTGATCAGATTCTCTCCAGGTTGATGTTGATAATAAAGATGCAGTGATTATTGATGTACCACAAGGACAGAGATTCTAATGGAAAGTTCTACTTATTTTGCTTATTACATTTTTTTTTTTACAATCTTAGGTATATAGGATAACAAGCATATGCCTTGGCACTCCACCCAAGACTTTTGAGTGGGAGTATATTGACAAAAGTAAAAAATATTGCAAGCTTTCAGGATTAACTCCGCTTCAATTTTACAATGAGCATGTCAAACCAGTTTACAACCCACTTGACAAGGTATGCAATGCACTTGTATATGGACAATGATATGTTTAGCTCTTCCGATTGATCACCCCTGAATCACATAGTAAGGTCAAGAGAATGAAGAAAATGATCACCAACTAAAGATGCTTTAGATTGTAAAACAAATTCTCCTCATCAGCACCTTCAGAAATGTATAGAGAACAGTATGGAGAATATGCATGCTGATGTTAAGGTGTAAAGGGTTAATTGCTATACAGTCCAGTTTAAATGAATCATGTTCTGTGATAGAGCTTCTAGGTTACAGGCTGGTTAACCTAAGCTTATTGTTTATTTAATTGTTATAATTCAGATCTTCATTATTGATTCTTAGCTTTTGATAGCAAATCAGTGTTTATCACCATTTTGTTTTCTTCTTTAATAAACCAATGTCTTTTATGATTATAAAATTGGAAAGATTACTTTCTACTGAAGATTTTACCCCAGACCCTAACAATGCAACAGGAGATATACTGGCCCTAATGTTAGCAAATGAACTTAACCCTTTAACCCTCATATCAAATTTGTTATTCTCCTTACTGTCAACCATACAATCTTGTTATGTTAGTTCAGAGAATTTAGTATTAAATCAACTAATTATCCCCAAATTGATATTTTCCTTTATTCTCATCACTTATCTGGTTGATATTGTATTGATATTGTCGGGAGAAATTCTGTCTTGGTCACTCGGTCACTCGTGAGAGTTAAAGGGTTAAAAGAGAACCAGTCGAGAAAGGATTTCACCGATTGAAAATGACCAAATTGGAAAAATTGTACAACATTTTGTCATGATGAATAGAACGTGCTAATTTAGTTCCTTCAAGATAACCCTCACTGACCCTTCAGAGATCTTACCAATATTGTAGGCTTTAACCACTAGGTGATTTGATCTTTGTTACATACATGTATTACAGGTGTGCCTAGTGAACGACCCTCGAAATCCTTACAGCAAACTGCTGACAGTAGAGTACCTCAGTAATATGGTGAATGGACGGCGTGTCTTATACAATAATCAACCTGTGGAAGTTCTCAAGAAGTTGACAGCTGCGTCTCTTAGGGACAACGAGGTAAGGGATATGATATGTTTCCTTCTCCAAATGCAGAAGACAAGTGCTGCCTCTTGTTGCCACTGTTGGTGTATTTACAGGCCCTTTTTGAGTTTTGGTGTTTTTTTTCCCTTGTAATGAACTAGTTGGCTAACACATAATCTTGTTACGAGTGTGCTATCAACCAATCTTAAAGTGGGCTGTGAGATAGTTTACTCACTCTGGTTGGCAGACAGAACTCAGTATTTATTTCAGTTTCCCCCCTTGCAAGGCCAGTTATTAATTTAGAAAAGTAGTTATTTCCTTGATGTACAGTGTATTAAGTATGCTGTTTGATTCTTTACCATGAGAAGATGTTTGGTTAAATTGGTATGCCAGAGCGAACAGCCTTGTTGCAAAAAAGACTGATTAAAAGAAAAAAAATGGACTAAATGGCAAAATGTTTCCCAGGTTGTGAGCAGTCACCAATTGACTATTAGAGGTTTTTTTTCGTGAGCTGTTGTCACACATGAAGAACAACATGACTGCTATCAAAATATTGTGGTCAATGGCAGTCAATTTTCTGTTGGTTTGGGAACCAGCTATTTTTTTTTTATTTTTAATTACCAGTTTTGTACTTTTTTATTTGGAACTCCTAAAGCACTGTGCACGTAAAGGTATATTTAAAATAGTTTGTAGAGCATTGGCAAACACAACTTTCCAGTAAATCTCATTGTCTTTTTGAAGAAATTAACTAGTACTTTGTCTTTTCTTCAGGCAGTTTGGTTTGGATGTGATGTTGACAAACATTTTGAAAGAAAGATCGGAGCACTTCATTTGGACATGTGAGTTTACAACATTGCTTTTATATTCACTTCTCTATCCGCAGTTCACATGTATGATTTTCATATAATCTCAGTTATTTATTTATCACTTCATGGGTTTATTGTTGGCTTGTTGGCTCAGTTGGTAGAGCACTGCGCCGGTATCGTAGAGGTCATGTGTTCAAATCCCGTACAAGCCTGAATTTTTTTCAGGCCTTATTTCCATTACTGCTCAAGTAGTGTTCATTACTGCGAATATCGCTTTCGTATTCACTTCTTTATCTGCGGTTCACTTAATTGATTTCCATATATTCAAAGTTATTAGTGACATTCTTTTTTAGAAAGTTTGTTTTTATGGCGTTAGAAAGTAAAACGACATGTTTCATACATAGAAAGATAAATAAATTAAGAAAGTTTATCAATAAGTTGATTTTTTTTCTATTCGTTGTTACACGGTTTCTGTCACTTTCTCTGTCTCTAGAAGCTCGACACCATAATATTATATTTCCTGTTTTTTTCCTCTGCAGTCATAGTTATGAGTTGACATTTGGCATTTCCATGAAGTATTTAAACAAAGCTCAGCGTTTGCTGTATGGTGGATCGCTCATGACCCATGCTATGGTGTTCACTGGATTTTCCTGGGAGGTGAGGATTGTCTGTTCCAGGCTTTCAGTTAGAAAAACGGCCGCGCGATAGCAAACAACGGGACAGTATCGATGGAGCGAAAAAACACGGTGGTGCTGGGTCGGATCATGTGACGTTCGTCACTCGACCTGACCCGAATCACATTCGTCTTTTTTTCTCCGTCGCTACTATAACACTCCGTTTTACTTCCTAAACATCTGAACCATGCAACGGTGAGGAGCAAAACAAGGATGCAGTGAACTCTATGTGCAAAACTGTTCTTGGACTTTTAATCCTCTCTTTGCCTCACATCGACAAAGTGTTGAAATGTGTGGAGAGAAGGAAAGCTCACAAAAGTGACCATGGTAATTTTATTTTTTTAAAGCAGCATGGTGTACTTTCAAGAGAAGAGGTAGAAGAGACATTGTATGGAAGAAATGATAAGGATAGAGAAATAGGGTAAAAAGTTTGCGTGGGAAAACACTTGCTCTCAATTAAGACTGAAAAATCTGAAAAATGAACTACAAGAAGTCTTGGAGGAATATGATCGCCTTTTACAATTTGTTCTTTCCTTGGATTTTCAGGAAAACACCAAAACTACAGACACTGAAGATCATTCAAAACCAGTAGAGGAAGGTGCTGCAGTGGACATTAAAACCATGAAATGGCGTGTGGAGAATTCCTGGGGTGATGAGAAAGACAAGCCAGGCTACCTTATGATGACGGACAGCTGGTACTCAGAATATGTCTATGAGGTTGTTATAGACAAGAAATATGTTCCGGATGATGTGTTGGGTGTCCTGCAACAGGAACCAATAGTGCTGCCTGCTTGGGATCCAATGGGGTCCCTGGCGTGTGTTTCGTGTGACAATGAGGTACAAATATCTCATTTGTAATAATTAGTCATGATCTCTTGTATTGATAATTTTGCATGGCTCGTTTTCATGGTATTTAGCAAATATGTATCTTATTTGTGATAATTAGATAATTCACTATTATTCTTATTGATAATATTGTAATGCACGTTTTTATGATATGCAGCAAATGTTGAGTGGATAGAGGGTGATCTCATAATTCTTTTCCTGGGCGTTCCGGCTGACAATTACATGCCAAGTATTTGATCGAATAAGCGCCCACGCTCTAGTAAGCGCCCTTCACGGAACAAGCGCCCACCCCTCGGGCTATAATGTCAAATAAGCGCCCCCCTCCCCCTCCTCCCTCACTTTCTTTAAAAAAAAGTAGGGATTCAAGAATATCTAGCCATGAAAATTCAAGAAGGAAAGTAGCTTGGAAGGCAAGTTTTAACTTTTTTTGTCGAGATAACAAAATAAAGGTAAACAAGTTTACATTTCAGAACTTTGCGTCACGGACTTTTGCACTGAGTTCAGGTGGTGCTAGACCAAACAACTTCAACATTCTTCGAGATAAATAGCTCCTTGGTACTGGAAAAAAAAACTGCTTCAGATTTTGACAATTTGGTTTTTGGAGAACCCTTGCCATTTATTAAAATATTGTTTTTAACAAGTATTGTAAAATTACTAATTGTCACGTCATTTTATGTTTTCTCTCCCGGTGAAAATTGTGTTTAAAATATTATTACCGTAAGGAATACATGTTGTTCTTTCAGACGGTAAAAAATAAGAGATCAATAAGAAAAGATGTAAGTACCAGACCTGCAATGTAGATGGTAATATCGGATGAAAAAGGAGAATTATAGTGACGCAGGTGACCCAAGCATTTTTGCGAAACATGGTGGCCTTTGACTCGATTTAACCGATATCGAAGTCGTTCGGAACCAAATTCAGACAAACCTACGGCTCTCAGCCTATATCAGAGTTTTTTAGTTAAAAAAAAAAAAAAAAAAAAAAAAAAACAGCTTTCTTGTGAGAACCAGATGTTGACAATGAATGCATTGTTAGGGATTGAGTAATTGGCATGCTGACTGCAGTAATAAAACTGGAAAAAATGATTACTTTTTAAGCACATACTCGGGTGGATTTGTAATTACTTATAGTTTTACCTGATTGCAGTTTAGGCTGTGGGATGTCTATCTTTTTTTTATCTTTTATACAATTTTTTCCTGATTGAATTTTCTACCCTTGGTGATGAAAATTGTATTTATTTGATTATGTTATATGACTGATAATTGACGGTTGTAGCTACAAGCTATCGTGAGCAAGGATCCTCTAAGGTAGATCTGTAGGGGGCCATGAAATCGTCATTTCTGCCCCTGTCGTTTAACAGTTGGTAATCATGGACTGTCATTGTACCAACGCTGGTACCCATAAGCTCCCAGCTCGGTTTTTTTTTTTTTTTTTTTTTTTCACCTTCTCCCTCTTCAGTCCCTAAAAAAGCGTGTGAGGAATGCTCGGCCGAAGGTGTTATTTGCCCCCCAAAACAGTGAACTTGTACCTCTCAGTCATCAGATGCTAATGATGTTGTATGTTTGTGTCTGAGGAAAAAAAAAAACAACTGCATATCGATAATAAAAAGAGAAACTTCTGCCACTAAATTGTCATTAATGCTTTATTTGTGCCCTAGACTACATGTACAATCGAAATAACAGAGTATACTGGCAACTTCAAATCTATCCTCTGAAGCTTGTCTCTCGTTGACGATTGAAGTAACTTGTGCCTCCTTCGCCATCTTGCTTTTCTTAGAGCGCCGCTAAAACAAAATGATAATGTCATTTTAAAATTAATTTGTTCAAGTAAAACTGTGAAATGAGTAAATAATAACAAGACTATATAATAGCGGAGCTCGCAGAGCGTAGCCCCATAATTATACAAAATAGTAACCCATCAAGCCGAAAAAATTTGGATGTACGACAGTGCGACTGTACAAGGTGACAAGGTGCTACTTTTGACATGTGTGGTCAACTGTACCGCGGGCACGCCAACGCCTCGGCTTTGTTCAGTAGTCCAGTGGTCAGTGCACTGTCCAAAGGTGCCGCGCTCTACCAGCTGAGATAACAAGCCCACTGGGAGCTGGTCATTACGTTGGTTCCAAATATACGTAGATTAAGAAATGAATATGGAAGCGATCAGTTGGTAGAGCACTGCACCGGTATCGCACGGGTCATAAGTTCAAATCCCTACAGGCCTGAATTTTTCCAGGCCTATTTTTGTCACTACTGCTTAAGTTTGGTGTTCATTACTGCGAAGATCGCTTCCATATTCATTTCGCTATCCGCAGTTCACATGTACAGTATTTAGTATAACCATAATAACAGTGATGACATTATAACCACTAAAAGTGATAATAATTAATGATGATAGTAGGCTTGATCAGAGCATTCAAGGATGATAAAATTCCTGTTTCAACCTAACTAAAATTTCATTTTTAGCGAGAATTCCGGTAAGCACAGTTTCGTGCTGAGACGTTGGGGTCATTAAGCCACTGAATCATTCATGCTCAAAATCTACAAAAATTATTACTGTCATGCAGTCAAACTGGAACATTTTCTGGTAATGACGTACTATCTGAACAAGATGCAATGCGACTGCATTATATCTCGTCCGGAATATTTGCTGGTGATGACAAACAGTTTGACAAATTAAAGTTTCTTACATGTTTCGGCAAAAACGGGGTTACGAATTGTCATCGTGGGTTTATACATTTTCTATATGAGATACAATCGTTTGTGTCACAATGCATTAATTTCGTCGCGTTTCAAATTTATACTACGAGACCCATTCAGGCGATCTGTATAAGACTTAGAACAGTACCATAGAAATTACAGAAGAATGGATGCCGATGATCAAAAATACAACATCGGAAGTGCCGTGCCACAGCACGCCAGGATAGACATAGCTGGCTGCTTGGCTGCAAATTAATTTAAAGTAATAACGATGGTACTTCTTCTAAAAAAGGTGAATCTTTAAATATTCTGACTGGGAATGTTCTCTAGCATTAAAAAAAAAACAAACCTGAAGGTATCAGTATCATTCTGTGTAAAAAAAAAAAAAACTGTTCACACATAAAGATACACTCGATTATTTTGTGATTATGGTACATACCTAGCCGTAAAGGGTGTGATAATCACCAACTCGTATTTGCTGTTGATACAAATCAAGAGAAATGGAAATAAACTTCCTACTGATCGTTTTTTGAAAATGAAGAAGAATTGGAGAAAATATCGAGACAGATGACGAGAACTTAAATCATGAGATCTTAGTATCTTTCTTAGTCCTTTGACCCTCAAGAATGACCAGCAACTAATATCTCCTAACAGTATCACCCCTCAATAGCACATTAAGTTATGAGAATACAAGAAATGATCACTAACGAAAGGAGTTCCTGATTGTTGATCAAATTCTCCTCGTCAGCACCCTAGGGGAACAGAGTGGAGAAAATGCATACTGATGTTGGGGAGAGTTCGTCCTTTTTTCGTCACAGAGCCTTTCAACTAATATTGATCCCAACAGTATGCCAAACACTTGTCACACATGAATTTAGTTTACGGCTTAGCCGAACGTAGCTCACGTAAGACCTCTTTGAAATTTAGCTCCTAGAGCAACTCATCGTTAACTCTCAGAACCTGACGTTTGAATCCTCGAGGGGAGGGGGTGGGGGCTTTCTATTAGTTCTTTGATTGGAGGAAAATCGAAGATTCCAAAAAACGCTGGGTCATAGCAAATATTATGAAGCAGATATGATAAAACAACTTATTTCCTGCGCTTTAATGGCTGGTTGACAGGAGCAGTGACAAATACCGAAAAACAATTAATTGCTTACCGCTGTATGGACGGTTTGATCAGACTTAGTAGATGTTGCATCCCTGAAATGGGTAGTTGAGTAGAACAAAGGTTTGATGATACTCAAGAAAGACATTTCTATTTGAGTTTTAACTATTTGAATAGGTAGAAATATAGAGCATTTATCGCTGAATTTCGAATGCTATCAAGTATTTCTTGATTCGTTTACTGCTTCATTTCGATATATGATCTGTGATTGGTCCAGAAAACTTGCACCTACTACTACTCTATCAGGTGTAAAACTTAAACCAAATGCGACTTGATCACTCGAGTTTTTCCACGCTTCAAAGCGTTTCCTTGTTTTGATTCTGTGTTCTAACTGGCTCCTTGTGATTGGTCGTGGTACTTAATTCTGGTTTTCTGATCTCAGTCAGACTGTGTTGTGTGACCTGTCAGGTTACTTTGTGTTGTGTTTGAGCAGAGAACAACGTTTTTAAAGAACGGAAGGACCTTTACTCGCTAGATACACAACTGCTAACTTACTTAACTTAACCTAACCCAAAAAACATAGACAACTAATTACATATTTATACTGCCGCTGCATAACATTACGTAATGAAAGGCGATCACAAGTTCACAATACATGATGAGCACTGATTTTAGGGCCTATTTACAATCGACACCACACTTTGGGCTTTTACAGAAACTCTTTATGTTGTGAATGTGCAGTGATTCCGGAAGTATGAGTTTTACCTGTAATCCGGTCCCTCAATCTTTACTCATCAAGGTTTCCTATTACTTCCTCTGCTCTATTTCGCATAGAACCCAGCTGATGATTTGAATTCTCTTTCAAGTGGCAATTTTTTCTTTTATGTGTCGCAGGAATAAGAGAAAAATCCTAACTTTTCTCCTTTGAAGGCATACAAATTTTCAACGAAAGGAAACTTCCCCTAACAACCAGTGGCTGCAAGATCCTTCGGGCGTCTAAAAATGGTATGTCTTCTGGAAACATTAGCTGGTTTTCACTGCTGACTGAAAGGAGGTTGTAGCCTTCATATGCTACTTGTCCTACCCAACGTTAACATCTTTAAGGTTTTGGTTTGCAGTAACCAAACATTATTTAATTGATATACAAGTCTGATCATGTTCAGAAGGCTTCTGCTCCTACTTACCTGTCAGTCTTGGCCTGTTCGGTTTCCACTGTATCTCCCGTCTTGTCAATAAAAAAAAATTAAAGAAGAAAATACAATAAGATATTTAGATCAGAATGATCTGCATTCAAAGCTTAGATCACACGGTCCTTTTACGGAACTCAAATAAGTTGAATCAAGATGATTTTGGCGCTTGCGAAACAATGAAAAGTCGTACCTGCAACTTCTGCGTCGATGTGACTTGAAAAACTGCAAGAAGAATGAATAACGCAAAATAATTGAAAGAAATCGCACGGCGGAACATGATGCCTCTAACGCAAATGCGAAAGAGACAGTCGAAGTTTTTCTGTGAAACGTATGCTGTCTTGAAGCAGTTTTAAAAACTGTTAGTGCACGATAAGTTAAGACTGGATAGAGAAGGTCTCTGAAATAAAGTTATCTATGTGCGAGGATCTTTAAATTAAATTTCTCTGATTCTGTTCAGTCATTTGTTGAGGAGGGACAAACTAATTTAACTATCGATGATGAAACAGAGATATTGAAGGTTCCCTTTGTGAGAAAATTCTATACGTTTTTAACTGATATCATTCATTTGCTAACTCTAATATAATTTTGTTAGAAAAGGCCTTTTAACTCAGTAAATAAAACTATGATAGCTGACTGCGCAACTTAAGAAGTTATGGGTATGCATTGAAACAAGGCCTCACGGACAGAATTTTCGAGAGGGGGTTGCGTTTTTTATATACGACGATGCAAAGCCAGCAGGACTCTGACTGATATAGATCTATGAGTGGGTTCCACAACTTTGTTTTCATTCATTTCCTTGTCAGCAAGCTGCTCAATACAAACTGAATGAGATATGTAGTTCCTCTCGTTGGTACCCCTGCACCCTAAAACATGCTGAAGTATTGAGAAACTAGCGATTTGACCTTGACACATCCAACAACGTTGTGACAAAACTATGTTCGCGTTCAACGAGTAGGTCGAGATTTCAGTTTTTGGAATCTATTGTTCTGACTTCTGTCTGGTTTTCATTGTGTGGATGTTGTCGGCTTGAGTAGAAGCCCTGCAGGGTTTGGTTGACTTATAATTTATTGGAATCTACTGTTCTGACTTCTGTTTGGTTTTCATTGTGTAGATGTTGTCGGCTTGAATAGATACCCTGCAGGTTTTTTTTTACTTTTAATATGATAGAATCTACTGTTCTGACTTCTGTTTGGTTTTCATTGTACGGATGTTGTTGGGCTAATTAGATACCCTGCAGGTTTTGGTTGACTTTTAATTTGTTAGAAAATACTGTTCTGACTTCTGTTTGGTTTTCATTGTGTAGATGTTGTCGGCTTAAGTAGAAGCCCTGCAGGGTTTGGTTGACTTTTAATTTGTTAGAATCTACTGTTCTGACTTCTGTTTGGTTTTCATTGTGTGGAGGTCGTCGGCGTAAGTAGAAGCCCAGAAGGTTTTTGTCAAGATTTAACTTTTCTCTTTCCTTTCTATAACATACTAATTTTGTGTCAATTTTTACTTTTTGATAATTTACTCCACGTTTATCGAAAAATTATCCTTTTTTTAATCCTTAAAACAGCCATTAAACATATATATGAATCCTCTTAATTTAATAGCTCACATTCATTGTTTGCTCTGCTTACTAGAAATATTACAATGCAAAACGTAACCACAGATTTTCAGGGATGCCTTTATTTCAATAAAGTTTGGCTACATTTTAGAACAACCAAGCGACATATGCATCTTTTACTCTTCATAACATTAGTACAAATAGTGTTTCGTTCATCGTCGACTGTGATATCTGTCGGGTCTTGCTTCTGACTTGTCTCTCTTCACCTATTGACAATAAATAGTGGGGGACTTGAATAGTCTTAATCAGAGGATAACATTTTGGGAAACTTCTATTTGTGGAATGGAGTGGCTCTGAATAAACAAAAATGATCTTAAACATTGGTTGGCATAGATAAGAAAGAGGGACTTAAAGCGTGAAGAGATCCAAACAGTGTGCACCGCCATGTTGGATCGTACGACGTTTTACGCTTCATTTTACTATTTGCACTATCCCCTTGGGACTAATGCAAACCAATGAGCTTTTTCCATATAATTAAAAAAAAAAAGGTCATGCGCCTCAAGTTCATCTGTAAATAAAGATCCGTCCATTTTGACAGACCTTGCCATTTTTTTTGTAGTTATAGTAACAAGTAGCTGTCCTCAATACCTATGTCAGTATTCTTGATCATAAATTTTCTTACCTTTAGTTCTTCCTTCAACTTCCTTTTACCAAGTAACGACGTGATTATAGCTCCCCGGCGTATTGTAATGGTTTGGATTCTATGAAAAGGAGGAAAATGTGTAATATTGTAAATGAAAATTACATACCAAGCTGAAAGGCAGTTGTCAAGGATATATCGATTTTCTTGATGAATTTCCCTCCCACTTCCCTTCCATATGCTGCTGGCTGTTTGAACGGGTTTGAAGCTGCAGAGCCTCCATAGGAATGAAAAGCGAAAGGGTTAGGGGAGAAAATTAAGAAACAGATCCATTCTCCTTTCGCAGCTCGTTACATCGTTTTTGCAATTTCGTCGCTTTCATTTCCACCAGATACCTGAAAATTTATTTGTCGTGGCGGTTACATCAATTGCGCACTCAAATCATGCAGCCCTCGATAAACGTAAATCTCCCATCTAGCTGTTACACATTTCATTGTAATTTAGTTAAAAGAATTCAATGTTATATCATGATAATAACCTCCAATCTCATAACTTGTCGTTAGATAATGTATGGATATTGTAGGGAGAAGTTACATGCAAATCACTTCTGGGAGTTTATGGGTTAAAGTTCTTGTTTGGTAATAAGGATGACAGTGCTTGCCTTGATATGTAAACTCATTATGATGATGTGGGAAGCAAGGCTTTCAAACCTCTTTAAAAACAATCAAGATTCCTTTTACCTTGTGTATCTTTTTACGGAAATATTGCAACACAAAATAGGGATTTAAAAAACCAAACACGCAATATTTACCCTTCCAGCTGGATTCATTTTGTCCACTTTGTCCATAGCTGAATTCAAGATTTGAAAAAATGACAAGTTCGTCAGACTTTCCGTATGAGAGTAAATGGAATAAGGGAGATGGCTGTTTGAGAAAGATGTTTTAAGTCCTAGATACAAAATCTGAACATTATGTCTTTCCCACAATCTTATCTCTCGATGAAGCAGTAGCCCTCGGAAAAGTAATCGGAAGTGGGTACATCGTGGGCAACGCTACCAGTCTAGGAACATGTTTCTTTTTTTCCAACAGAGAAGCGTCTATGCGATGATGTCATCGCCCGTTACCTTAGACGAGAGGTTTCAACTTATGCAAGTAAATCCTACCACTGCTTATAATGAATCTCCTTGAAATGATATATATTCAGAAAATCCTCTAGGAAAATTGATCATAAGAGATCTTAAACCACTTGTTCCTTAACAATACTATTGATTTTCTAGCAAAGAGTCGAAAATGGTACTTATATTACCATTCTTAACGAAGCGTCGAAACCCTCTACCTTGAGTTGGCCCAGAGAGCCACTTATTTCAGTAGGGAAGACTAAGGCTATTCCAATAAGAGTGATGCCTGCAAAGCTATCATCAAGTAATCAAGGCGGAATTGAAGCTGATCACGTAACATTAGGCCAGATATCTTTTTAAAGATTCCTCTCTTGTTCTTGGTTGCTGTAAAACCTTCTGGTACCTGCAGTGAAAGAGGATGATGATGATGCTGCCGCTAGAAGCTTAACATGATGATGATCAAGTTATGTGATGCGTATTTATTTGCGCTCTAAACGAAAGTGAAGATAAGGAAGTTCTTTCCATCAAGCAGTCAGTAATATTACTACAATACTTTGCCAGGGCTATGTAGCTGATCATGAAAAATAGAGCTTACCTGTTTTAGCCTTCGTGGCGTTGTCTGATGAAACAGCAAGAAAATAGATAATGCTAAGAGAAAGAAATAAAATTTTCCGCTAAACATGATGCCTCTGAATTATAACTTTGTCAGAGTTGAAATTGCGTTATCGTAAATACGTGATAAACTGATAAATAGCTAAGTCACTGAGCTTACATTAGAGGAGGAAGTCTGACAAAAAGGCGGTTTGTTATGACACATTTCCAAATGGGAAAAATTAAAAAGGAAAGAAAAAATAACCTAAGTGAAGCTGCGCCGTGAATTATGTTTTGATCAATTTGTATTTTGACGTGAAGTGACCTTTTTTTTTGTTGGGGGGAGGAGGAGGGATCAAATTGAGATTATGGCGCCAATTTATCAGATACCACTCAGACCCCAACGTTGAAAAATTGAAACAATGAAACAAAACAGAAAATAGTTGTTTTGAGAATCTTTAAAAAGCAGTTTTTACTCTGATATGAATTTCATGGCGCCTTGAAGAGAACAAATCCTGCGTGTTTTGAAACGATAACCGATTGTGTTCTTTTGAGCTTAAAGTATACTTTTATCATTAAATTTTCATATCATCATTTTTTCTGGAAGTGTTGAAAAAATAACAATTTTTACTTTTTGAAAGAGGCAATGGATGAGGAAGTCCCCCGGACTGGTTTATTAATTTCCAAGTCAGAGATAACAAAAGAGTAAAAGAAGTTATATATATTTTTTATTAATCTTTCAGTTGGTTCATTCTCTCTGGGAGATACTACTTGTGAGCAACTTGCATGGTGGCATTTCTTCACCTTTTGCTTAATCATCTATGTCAAAACAGTTCTCTCTCTCTCTAAAGCCTGATGAATGGAGATATAAAGTTAATCAAAATAAACAATCCAGTGACATTCGATCCAGTGATGAAGGTCATTCCTTTTAAATAAAACATGTATTGAGAGTTTTGTTAAACTTTACCAATTGGTGGTTTTCATACAGGAACCTTCATTGAGTTTTAAAAGCGGGGTCCCCTTTATTGTTTATTTCAGGAGCAGCTGTACTTTGTTCACTGATACAATGTAATACTTAAGTATGATTTCAACAAGGAACTGACTGATCATAAAGCAACTAACGATTAGCATAAAAAGCATCTCTCAGAGTGAAAACTCTCCCCAAACGCGGGTGGTCCTAACTTCCACACTAAAAAAAATAGCTGAAGCAATAGTAATTTTAATGACTGGAGGGTATTTTGGTCTGGAATCATACTAATGATTTTCAACATAACAGAACCGAAAAAGCTTATTTAAGAAAATTGAAAAACCAAAGTTTTTTGGAACAAACGTTTCAAATTCCTCACACCATAACTTCTTTGTCTTTCTTTTTCTTGCAATTTCATTAGTTACTTTTGAGAGGCCATGAAGTCTCATGGGTTGTTTCGTTCGGTTTTGTGTTGCCTTTTTATTGGCTCGGAAAAGATAGGATTTAGGGCAAAAATTGGTGCGATTCGTAAATAAGTCACACCCATGAGAGCCAATCAGATTTCAAAGTTCACCAGTGATTCGAAAATGGATTTTTTAAGGAATAAAACAGTAGTGATATTGACGATGATAGGATCTTGGCGATTTTGATGACGATAAATGATAATAAAGTGAATTGTGAAAGGGTTTGACTAATACCTCAACTGAGTGTTCCCGTTTGGACAACGCACTGTCGTAGCTCGCGGGCCCATGCCAGCCCCCTGGAGGAAGCTATGAAGGGAAAAGCAATTGAATACTTTTAAAAATGGGTGAGAATTGCTTGAGAATTGATGCCCTCGGAAGACTAAATAAGAAATATAACTTTAATGTTTTTAATTATACAGTTTTTTTCGCACAACAACTAATAACTATGAGTTATAGGAGTTACATGCATACCCAAGAGCTCATATAGATATTACCAATAAAAAGTCGCATCGGTTTCGAAAATTACATCTCATCAGAGAAAGTGAAGGAGAAAACAACTTAAAAATAACTTCACCTAGTGTACATAATCCTCAAAAGAGGACGTTAAATTACTTAAGTTGGACAAAGAACGATCCAAGCGATAGAAAGTAATAATTGTAAAATTAAGGCCATTGACTTACCAAAACGTCAACTACGCTTCTAAGAAGTCGTCTTTTAGTCCAAACTGCTTTGTAGTTATCAGGTACCTTAGATGAAAAAAAAAACCTAATGATACAATAAAAGCGATGATCCCAATTTTGATTTTGCAGACGAAATGGTCGTAAATTTGCAGACGATAGTCAACTTCTCGGATTTTAGGCTTATGACTGATGTTTATAAAAGACAAACCTACCTGTTGAAGACCTAGTGCCATATTCTGATGAAACAGCAGGAAAATAGATACGGTGAAGAGAACGAAGGAAAACTTTCCGTAGAACGTATCGTTACAGTCGGAAGTTAACGCGAAGTTCTTTGCGCTTTTTTCATTGAGTTGGGCAAACACGAGGCGAGCGTAAAAAGCGAGCCGTACAAGAGACCCGTGCGTGCCTCTGGTCACCAGGAGAGTGCAAAAAAAACAAAACAAAACAAAACAACAGGCTGGCACAATTGGCACCAGGAATATCTTGGCTGTCGTAAATACTAATTTGAATGAAATGATGTGTTGATTTTTATGTCCACGAAGAAATATCAACTTCGAAAGATTTCTGTATTTCTGAGTCAAGAGATGTCACGTACAGCTGCCATAATAATAAAAAAATTACACAAGTGCTGTCCAAAAAGTAGCAAAAAGGGGAAAAACATATTTTTTCAAAAATAGTCTAAAAAAAACTTCTGCATATGGAAATTCTTTGAAAAAGAATAGTTAAATTAGTAATTGTGTGAGTGTAAGTAATCTGCTCTATGGTTGAACCTAGTTGGACCAGTGCGGGGCTACTGTAGTGCTTCCTCACTTATTAATCGCTTTGTTTAATTTGTGAAAGATTCTTCAAAAATAAAATCCAAATAATCATGAACACCTGGGTCGATGCTTCACTACAGATGTTTGTGGTTGCTTTGCGGAATGGTTTTGACTCGGGCTCGATGCCAAATTCTAAAATTTAAGGGAGCCTCTCCGCATTGAATGAATACACGACTAGCAAAGTCAGCTTTTCGAGATAAATGATTAGTAGGACTCTCTGGACGCGGGTCACTTTTTAAAAGAATCTGAGATTACTGATAATCTACAACTTTCTCGTACTTTTGCTTGGACATGGCTAAAAAGCGAAAACATCAACCATATACAACCACGAGCATTTTGATTATGCTTTATTTCAAACAAGTTTGTATCCGTAACAAAAGAGTATGTTGGCCCTGAGGCTGAGTGACTTGAGCTATTCTAATAAAGCTCGCACACTGGCTCTCAATTGTTGCTTGTAAAAGTTTCTCATTAGTTCAGGTGCCTTGTCCCTTTTTCCCTAAAAAATTTTAAATGATTAGGAAAAGTTAAACATATTAACAGTTGGCCAAAGGTTACATCCGCAAACGGGAGAAACTAGTAGTATTCCTTGTTGCTTCATGTGGCATTAGTTACGAAGGTCGACCTCTTTGCTGACATGATACATTAACCGTCTGAGCTATGTTACCTACGCGCTTGGAACAATAATCATAAAGTTAACAGCCATTGCTTTATTACCAACCTAATAGCGCGGGTAATGACGACTGAATTCCATTGTTTCAATTTCTGCTGGCTGCTACATGAATCATGAAAATAACAAGGATAGTTGTGAAACGATGGAAACTATCACATCCCTATCAAGCCCATAGAAAACTGAGTGTTGTAGGACCGGATTGGTTGACGTGAGCCGGTCCAGGAAAAGCCGTCCGGTCCTGCACTTACACGGCTTTGTCGCAAAAACTTAAAAGAAAAAAGACCGAAAAAAGTCGCGTTTTTTCGATGAATTGTGTGTTTTTATTGTCCTGACTTGACGAGACCTCGATATGACCTTCGAACCAACTATTTTCCAGTCCGGCCCTCCCACTCAATCAATAAGTACATAATATTTCCGTAGTGAAAATGATGATATTGATTAGGATAATGTGAAGGAAATGATAATGATGGCCATAATGATATGATAATTATTTCTATGGTAACAATCATGTCAGTGATGATGAGGATGATGATGCTGATTATGATAATTGTGGCATCCAAATTGATTCTTATTTTAATGATAACGTCGCTGACAACGATATAAATGCATTACGTGGTGATGATAGTCCAATGAAAGTACCTGTTCCTTCACTTCTCCTAAATTCTGAGATCTTCCGTCTCCCCTGTAGTAGATAAAATGATCAATTACTTAAAATTAACTAACTAATACTGTACATGAAAAAAATTACGTGCTTCTGATCGGCTGAAAACTAGTAACACGAGTTTAAAGTTTAACGCGAGTGCAATTTACGAATGACGCGCACGCTTTCAAAATTTCTTGACTCTCTGTAATGTTTTTCATGTACATTATTGGCAAGTAGTAACATGATTTCTCTTCGCAATTTGGTGTTAATTAAAATAATCGCCTGTAAATTTTTCAATAACCTCACTAAAATACCAAGTGCTTCCGTCTTCGTTTGTACACGGAACATTGTACGATAATGTGACGGTATAATCCAACACCACATTCCCACAAACTCGTGCAACTACTTTATTAAACAGCGAGTAATGTTCTTGACAAGGAGCGACTTCTAAAAGCAGTACAATAGTTATCGTTAATAAACCTAATTAAGCCCACCACAGTCAATATCCTGGCTCACCACCGACACAATCTCACTGCTGTCTTCAAAGTTCTTTGAAATAAACGGCCTTCCGCAGTGACTCTCTCTCGGTATAGCTTTCAAAGCATTCGTCGCTCCGACAACAACAACTACTACTACTACCACTACACAAGTGAGTCTTAATATATCTTTACAAAGTGTTCTAGAACATTCCAGACGCTTACATAAGAACTATTTTAGAAGTAATACATAATAAATGCGCGACTTGATGAAATGTTCTGGAAAGTTCTATAGTATTCCAGTCAGCATGACTCAGCACTCTAGATATTTCTAGAAGCCTATATTTACAATAATAACTCGTAACAATAAAGACTGGACTCATTAAGTCCGGAAAAAAGTTAAACAATCAACAAATCGAAGGATCAGTAAAAGAACCAAGTCTATTGTTTTTATAGTTTTTGGTCACTTCAGACTATTTTGATCCTTAAAACATTATTTTGTGAGTAGCTATGAAATAATAGTAAATCTAGCTGATAACGTCGTTGTTTATGTACAGCTAAAACGTGCTTTTAATTTTTGTCCAACATTTGACGTTTAACATACCTTTGCACCTCTCTTTCTCCATCTTCTCCCTGTCAAAGTATAGACGAAACAAGAAATAAAAAGAGAGAAGAAGTTTTTTTAGTCAGCGTTTTTTTGTTCTAAAAGTTGAACGTGTGGGCTATTAAACGTCATGAAAAGTTGTCATTACACCGTTATCAATAGACCTTAAAACATCAAAAACTTTTCCATTTCTCATCAACTAACCAATTCGACAGAATAAAGAATGTTGAAAATGAATGTGTGCTACAGCCTTCATTAAATTGTGGCAGGTTTTATGAGAAATAAATGAGGCAATAGACTAAACCATGGTTAATGCAATCATGGTATCCTAACTTTCTAGGATAACTATGATTTAATTTTCATCAAATTGAAGGAACTAAGTCGCAGTTTCATATAAGTTCCTCAAATCCAATCGCTTTCAATCTTCTCGAAGCTCAAGAAGGGCAGCGGCAATCGAATGCTCCTCCTCCATCCCCCAACCCATCGCTTGTTTTGCTCCCTTTCACCCTGTGGTGCTTCGTAGCTCACGCTTATTACGCGTGGCTAAAGGGAGCTGGAAATGATTGTTGTGAAGACTATACCTTCTTCTTGTTATTCAGGTGTGTTTTTACTATTGCTACTAGGGGAGTAGTGTGGTTTTCCTTTCGCTGATGCCAAACGCCCGCCTTAAAATTTACTCAATACTCAATGCGACACAAACCTTATAATTCCTAGGCATGTAGTCTTTAAAGGGTCTTATTCGCAGACTCCAACCCTTGTGATCCTGCCGATAAGGGGAAGAACAGTTTTTTAACTGGACAGTCACTTCCTCTTATATTTAATCACTACCTTTCACGTTGTACTTCAAAGATTTTTCCAATTGAGTGACCTCATTTTGTCTTAATTTTTCGATCACGTCAATTATTGCTCCGTGTCTAGAGCACAGGGCAATTTAGAATTTATGACGTGGAGAAAAGCTCTAAAACCATCAGCAAGTGATAGCCAAGTGATAAGAAACAAAACAAAAATGCAAAATTAGAGTTTCAGTAATTTTCATAGATGTTATTCATACCTACTATAAAATAGCCTGATTTATTAACAAAAAAAATTACTGATCTAGAAACGTTTGTGTTTGGCAAGACCAAGAAACTTTCAATCTTCCCTGAAAACGCCATCAAACGCCTCCTTGATTGGCTGTGCATTTATATTTCAGGGCTGAGGTAGAGGGTGAAAATGTGTGCAAATAAATTTGAATTAAATCTTACCCGTGCCTCTGATTTTGAACCTGACAAGTTCAGAAGGAGTAAAAACGCGACCGTGGCGGGCAAAACTTTTTCACAAAACATGGCGCAAGTTCTGTTCAAGCCGGTGGCAAATTTGATATACCAAAAGCTGAGGGAGTTGTTTTGTCTTATGCTATATGTAATTACAATGAACGAAAAAGCCTTCTTTTGAGAATTGCTATTAAACCATTAAGAACCGCAAATAATCTAATTAAACACTTTCATAGTTTGCATCACAGGAGAGGAAATTTATATACAGGCAGCTAAATTGGGATATAAATATTGCAAATTCCCAAATCAATCTTTTCTTCGGCTGCCTAAGTTATTAATTTCTTGTATTCAGCGGGCAAAGCAATTAAATGAGTAATTGTGATTTTTCTTTAGCTATGCTGTAAACAAGAGTTGGGTTGGGAAACAGTATCTAGTAGTCTATAGCTTCTAGAAAGGACTAATTTAGTCTAAAATACTGAAAAACCAAATCTCTAATCAGCACAAGTTTTTTTTTTATTTCTACGAAATCGCTCTGGATGTCGTAAGGAGCTTTCTTTTTTACATTTATCGATTTTATCCCAAATGAAAACGACAATAATTTTTAGTGATGGTAATAGCATTGAGTGGGGTCCCATTCGGTCTGTAATCATACGAGTGATGACAAAATCAGACGACCGCGCAGCTGGAGACCGATTTGTTTATCACTTGTATGATTACAGACCAAATTGGACGACACGAAGTCTTATTATCAATTAATCATAAAAATAAGAATTTCGGAGAAAAGAAGAAGAGTCAAGTTGTCGTTATCGTCTGCAACAAACCATTTTGCAATCTTGAATGTATCAAGGGCAGTTTCGTTTCTTTGAAAGGAAATTTCATCAAAAAGTGAAAAGATCATAAATTCTGTTGAGTTTCAGCTTGATCTTCGGACGTTTTGAGAATTATTTAATTATCCTCGGCCTTTCAAGCTTACCAACAGCCCAAAGTTGTAAAAGGGATTTGAAAAGCAGACTTCTCCTCTAATTTGGTTTGTTTCTGTATTCATTTTTTTTTTCTTCGTCAAGCAAGAACTTGTCATGTAATATCTAAGCTGGGTTACAAATAATGGAATATGCTTCTGCGAGGCTGATGACCCATCAAAGTTTGCGATTAAAAAAAAACCCTAATTTATTACTTAAAATGTACCTTAAAATTCATGTTATGTTGAATAAAAGTCAACGTTTACTATATGTCCAGCGAGACATTTATTATATATATCATATCTCAAGACATTTTCAACCAAATTAATTCTTGAATGTTATCAATATGTCCCTTTGCTTTCGAATAGTCCTTTTCACGTGTGATGTGTATTTAGTTGCCAAGCCTTTGATTTGGAGTGACGCTGAAGGTGACCTTGTTGTGATAGAGACCAGTATCTAGTTAGCATGATAACAAAGTAATTTGCATTTGAAAAGCAGCAAGGTTTGTATCATAACAAGGTCAACTTTAGCCTCACTCCTGTTTTTAAAGGCTTGGCAACCAAGCACTCAATTGTAAAATGAACTATTAACGATTTTTCCTCGCCCATTAATGATTCTCCGCTGAACCTTGGTCTTATCACCTGAGTGGATGATATAAATCGGCCACAGTAAAGAACTCTGCTGCTGACGTTTCGAGCGCAAGCCCTTCGTCGAGAGAATAGAGGAATCGTGGAAAGTGTGTGATTTATATGCAAAAAATTGAGTTATGCTATTGGTGGGAACATGGTAACGTGAAATACACATGATGTTTTCGTTAAATGAAAAGTGTTTGTTGATACCGTGGGATTATGAATGCCGATTTGAAAGATAAATTTTTAATTTATTCTAGAGTTTTACCTGCCATATCTGGCTTGTAAAGATTTTGGAGATTAAGGCTAAGGCCGAGGCCAAGCATGTGTTTGAATATTAAGAAGCATCAGATTTCATGTCTTTCGTTCTCTTTCAATAAAAAAAATCAATATATTTTCCGCTCCCTAGTCTTTTAGGTCGTGTAAAAGTTCAATATTTTTTATTTCATAAAGACTAAAACTTAAAATTTTGTTTTGCCCAACTTATAACTGTAACTGGCAGTTAAATGTGAGCAAAAACGATCAATTGAGGGATAAGAATAGATAAATTGGGTACTAAAGACGTGAAGCATGCGAATAAGAATTCTTGGCTGCAATCGGGAGCCAAAATTATAGTTATACTCTAATTCGCTACTCCGCTCAAACGAATATAAAATATTTATCATGTAATAAGCTACCATAGTTGGGGTGTGTCAACACGAACCGTGTGCGACCCTCTTTATTATGTCTTGCACGAATAATTACAGAAACTCTTAAAGACTCAAAATACAACAACCGAACAACTAATAATACAATTAACGCACTGACTCGCGCATAATCTTTGTAAATGTGTATATGGAAACTGACAGCAAGGTTACAGAAACTCTGAAAGACTCCAAATAAAAGCAAACGACTGATAATACAATAAACCCACTGACTCTTATGCATACTCTTTGTAAATGTGTATATAGAAACTGACAGCCCCCACTGAGTATTGAGTATTTAATTTTGAGGGCGCAGAGACATTCGTTTGATGCGAATGAATATGAATGAAAGCAACGCAGTATGTATACAAACTCTCTGCTAATGAAAGCAATTGTCACGACATATACCATACAACACCCCACACAATAGGTTACGTAACCCATGTGAAATTCATATGCTGTCAAGTCCAAAAACATGAATGCAGGCAATACCAATTAAGCCTGCCATTTAAGAAAGAGGTCTATGATTAAATAGATTAATAAACGAAATAGATATTTAAGATTATTAATCATGAAGAGTTAGGAATTATATCTGAAGTTGTAATATGCAGAACGTATTACAAGCATTGGTAAATTGTACTTTTTGGCACTGTTTTAAACAAAGACAAACTGTGATAGCCATAGTTCGCAGTGGGTAAATCTTATAACGAACGTGTTAGAAAATGTGTATGTCTTTGTATTATTTTCAATCCAAAAATAGAAAAAGTCGAAGTTATCACTTATAACTGTATCTATTGCCAAAAGCAATGTCTTGGTTAAAGGATTAGTTACCTCGCAAAAATCAGTACCAAACCATGGCGAATGCCATCGACCTTATACTCAATTTGAGTAAAGAAAACACATTACCCGTACTTTGCAAATGAATATTTCTTCATGATTTCATTTGCACCGCATTTCATTAAAAAAAAAAAACATACTCTTACGACAGAGCATGTATAAGCAGACAGCGTGTTATAATACATCCTTCTCCGTCCTCGGGATGATTTCTAAAAGCTTTGGTTTGCAGCTCAAACCTTCCAGAATGGACTGATTTGTTGTCAGCGCGGACAGGGCCTGGTTCACATATTGCAGGCGTCAAAATGTTACCTGACAAACGCTATCTATGGAGATCACGTTCTTCAAAAGTCGATAAATACTTCTTCAACCCACAATCTCCCCTTAATTGCGTCATTGAAAGTGTTTGAAAGATCTGTCAATTGGCTTCACACTCTTCAAAGCGCCCCATAGAACAAACGCAACCTTTTGACACGATAGTTTTCACCTACTTTTCGGCACTGGCATGTACGAGAGAAATGGTGCGTAGTTGTTGCTTTATCTTAAACAGTGAAAAAATGATTGAAAATCGTACCCGTTGGAAATATAATCTAAGCAACATTATATCAAAACTTGATCGAGATTAAGAACCACGGTATACACCCAAAATTAATCTCACAGTGCACCCCTAATTACACTTTTGTAATCCTATGAATAGTTCACCAAATGACTTCACCTTTTCTCACACATGCAACGAAAGAAACTAAAAAAATTTTTTGGTAGAAAAGTTACCATTCACTCATTAATGATTCCCACAAAAGAATTGTTAGGAAAATTTTTTATTCTATCATTAGCAACTGAAGAAATGTAGAGGTGTGTTTTCCTTTTTATTAACGATCGTGGTTATGCGTCAAAGAGATCCTATTTTTCTTTTATTCACACATTGATTTGCATTTCTGACCCTGTAATTATCGACATTATAAATCTGACCATCTCTCTCCCCGTCCCACTTCAATTCACTTGCAGGCCAAGTGCAGTGCGTTTCCCAAGGTACGATCAATCTTAGTAAATTTTTATCTCATATAAAAAGGATAACAATCCATTAAGTGCTAAAACGGAACTTAAAAAACTCTCTTTGGATTTTTAAAACTGAGAGTGTCCTTCCTCATTAAGAAGGTGTTATTGTATACTTTACAACTTTTAACTAGCTCCTATTTCTAACATTTCAGTAATTTGTCATCGCAATTTGGTTCACGACTGTTGCGGGCCAAGTACAGTACGTTTACAAGGTGGGATCAGTTTTCTCCTTTTAATTTTTTTTATTTTTATTTTAGCTTCTTTAGATGCTTCACAAGATCTTCACTTAAAGGAGTCTTGAATTTTATCTCAAACAAATCTTTATTCTTAACCTCTAGTTGCAAAGTTTCGATGAATTTGGATCTTGAAAACTCAACGTGCCTAGTTACGGAAACAATAACCAAACCTGATAAAATTGACATAGAGATTACGAATATGCGTCATTTTGGAGTAAAAAATGAAAATACCGTCACCATTTGAAAAAAATTAGGCTTTTACTTTCACTTTTTTCTTCGTTTGCATGTCTTGATGGATTCTGTGAATAAAAACCCCTGTGTCAAGTACGATATCCATGAATTAAAAAGCTTTTCAATTTATTTTAAAACGATAATTGTAAAGGCCGAAAAGCTTGTGGGGTCATTTCATCTAATAGATTTATGAAAGTTTTTAATTTGTCTAAAACCTAAGAAACACAGCCATCTCGAGACACGCAAAATTAACTAAATTTCAAGCGAATTACAGTAATTCAAAGGTTTAACCTAACAGGTGTTATGTGCAAAAAAATCAATTGATCTCAAATTGCATATGGATGCAGGCGTCACTTAGAAAGTAAACATTTATCGTTTTTCTTAGTTCAGATTCCACAGTTACAGGAAATGTTTCGTTAAATTTGTTGATATCAAAATTGCGGGAAAAAATTGGAATTACAATGCTCAGTTTTGAAATGATAAATTTACAAAAACGACTTAAGTTATCAGGGAAACATCCAATTAAACACGACTGTCACAATATAGAAATAGTTAATGCATACTCCATTTATCAGCGTTATCATTATTACAATTTTTCTTTCACCTTTGGGGTTTTATTAAGTTTTCCTAGAAATCGATACAATTCTAATACTTATTCCATTACAGTAGATTAGAACACATTTCTTTGTTAACAATTCGGTAAAGATAAAAACATTAATGATATGAGAGGGACTCTTGGTTTTATCGCTCAGAGACGCTTTGAGGTGAAGGTGGAACGACGCATGGCAAAGTGAAAATGTGTGAAGCCAGTTTAAAAAAAATCTTTCCATTTACGCATTTTTTTTTTCAAATATTCAGATATTCTTAAGATGATTTCCATTTGGTTCATTGGCCTGTACCTCGTCACGTTTCAAGTGACGTGTGAGGGCGCCCCAGGTCCAAAAATTATTATACAGAACGACGTGGAGAAAAGAGGCAGTGAGTATATTTCAATTCTTGCCTATATATACACATCGTGATTGATTGAACCTTCCTTAAAACTGCTTTGAGTCAAGTGACAAGACCTTAACTATAAATTTTTGATTGGGGTGAAGCCTTCTGGATTTTTTTCATTTTCGCTTTAAGGAAATTGAGCTCTATCAGATTATTTGACGAACAAATCACGAGAACTTAGTTACCACCGAGATTGCTTAGCACTTGCACCTTTTGTGTTTCATGTTTTCTTAATACGTAAAAGATGATTTGCAGTTTATATTTTCTTGCAGTTTGTACTGAAAACCAAATGGACAAAAGTAGTGGCTGTCCACAGTGGCAAGGCGAAGGATTTTGTTCTCAGGATAGTGAATACTATCAGTTTATGATGGGAAACTGCTATGCAAGTTGTGGCCATTGCCAGCGTGAGTAAAATCATATTGTAAGACATAGTCAAACATAGACAACTAACTTTACAGTCAGGAAGATGCTGGAATGTAATGTTAGTTCGGTGATATGAAGATAAGAAACTAATGAAGTAAATCGGAATTTAGAACTTATTTCGCCCCAAATGTCACCGTCACATGTTTTAAAATCAACAAACTTTCTTTTGCAGTGCCTCCAACGGAAGCACCGAAAGGTGAAAATTTACTATTTTGTAATAACTATTATGTAATAAGCATTTTTACAAAAGAAGTTGAAATCAGGAAATAACCAGACTTCTCTTCGGGAGTCGTACCAAACAGCAGATTCAGTTTCATTAGCTCTTTCCATTCAAGATGAGCTCTCAAACAGAAGCCCGTTCCAAAGAAATTATGGTAACCTATCCAGGCAATAACTTTGGCTGCGCGCTCGTTGGCAAGTCCGTCTGTGCGCAAGCTGTATTTCGCATGCGTAGCAAGCTTTATTGTAAGTACTAAGTGCGCAAGCTGTATTTTGCATGCATAGCAAGCTGTATTGTTAGCAATAAGTGTGAAAAGAAACGTGGAACAATCTTGAGTTGCCTTTTGAGAAACAAAACGGGACTCCGGTCAAAGGCTTGACTTAGTCTACATCTGTCGATATATTTTTTTTACCTTTGGTGATACACGAGCATGTTTTCCACAGCGTGCACAGCCAACGAGATAGACAAAAAGGGTAGCTACTGCACTATGTGGAAAACAAATTATGGATGTACCGGCGGCATGGAACAGTTTATGAGAAAAAACTGTTATGCTACTTGTGGTCACTGTATAAGTAAGTGATATTAGAAATAGACAATGTGAACAAAATGTTTTGGGCAGTTTGAGATACTGAGGGAGCCAAGTGGAAGATTCAGAACCCAGTTTTTCTCTACTTGTTAATCATTAATTTTTGGAAGAAGCACATTTCGCTGAACATTGGCTCGCCTGTTAATAAGATTTCAGAGCAGTAGATGTGTGGTATGAGAAACGACTTCCAGTAGAAGTGGGGTCTAACCATTTTCAAAACAGTAATTGTTTTAGCCATTGGGGGGAATAGCATTCGTAGTAATCCAAGAAAAAGCTTTTTGAGTTTGAATTATATCTGCACAGGAATTCATTTCCATATAGCCACGTTATCACCCCTGTTAGAAATTTTACCTCATTTTAGAAGGTCTATCATCTCATTTTGAGTTAAGGAAAAAAATTAATGTATTTAGTATTGTATCGCAGTAAGGTAATTGAGTAAGCATGCACGTTTGCTGCGAAACGAGCATTTTTAGTCGATGTTGACAGCCTTTTTGTTCATTTATAACTCCTTTTTCATATGCAACTTAGTCAGGTGTACGCTTCTTTTTTCCTTGTTTTTTCAGTGGCGCCCACACCAATCCCACAAGGTGAGTTTTTAAGATCAAACTAGAATAGAACCAAACTAGAACAAAATCAAACTATCTAACATGCCAATAGAGGAACGGGCATGTCCGTATAACCACAGGTATAAGCTTACAACGGACAGGCATTCAAAGGCCAAAAGGCAATTAGGCGGGGGCAGCTAAAAGACAGTCAAACGGGCAGATTGATAGACGAACATACAGAGAGACAAATGGCTCACTCTGGAGATACATCATACTAAGCTAGACAGACATTATGGATGACTAACAGTCACTCAAATACCACACGCTGCAGATTTAAAGGCAGTCGAACACAGCATGGAATAGGTCTTGTGTGATGGCCTCCCGTTGCAGGACTATAAATTCTTGAGCAAAGGTTGAATAAGGGCAGACGGAATAAACTAACGTATTTTATTTATTTTGATAAACATTGTTTTTATCTCCAACTACGAAGTGGACCCAGATGCCTGCCTGCAAGCCCATAATGAAAAGCGGGCTCTTCATGGAGCCCCAGCTTTGGTGTGGGATAACAAACTGGCTCAGGATGCAAAGAACTGGGCAGATCATTTGGCTTCTATTGGACGCCTAGTCCACGCTAAAAACATTGCCGAAGGAGAAAACCTTTACTCAGGCTCGAGCGGATTTGTCAAATCCTGTTCAGATGCCGTAAAGTCCTGGTAGGCATATCTGCGTAAAAAAGGGTATACCAGGGAAATTTATCACAAATTTAGTATTATCGACAGATTATGAGTAGCAACTAATCAAAATGCACGTAAATTTAAATAGTTGGAGCTCAGGATATCTTGAAGTGTGATCTTTTAGAGTGAGAGGAGTTCTAAAACGGAATATTGTCAGTGACAGTGATCTAACTCTCAATACTTTGAACGGGAGTCATCATTAAGGTCAAAATAAGAACCAAGTTTTTTAATTAACCTCGATGAACATTTTCCACAAGCCTTTTTATAATCCTTGAAGACATGAGGAAAAGAAATCGTCGTGCGATCTTTTTCAGGAGAACACGAATATGGATGAATACATTAGGATAATGGGAACGTATAGGATACTTAGCCTCTAATGGGGTGCCTTCGCCTCCCTCCTGTCCACACAAAACCCCGCAGTAACATTAGATAAATTGAATGAGATAAATCACCTACATCAAGCAGTGACGCTTCCAGCCAATGGCTTTTAGAGCTTTTAGAACTTTGATTTCAATCGAAATTGTACTTTAAAGTGTTGGTTTTTTATTGAGGAAAGAAACCAAAGAACCCAGAGAAAAACCCCTCAGAGGACAGATGAGATTCAAGAGCAACCTCAACCCACGCGTGACGTTAGTTGTTGGAATCAAGCCAAGACTGCACGTACTCTAACCCCAATGCGCTCCTGTTCTCCCTCCCCCTCCCCACCTCCCAGCCCGAAAATGTTAGTATCGCCACTTGTTGCTCCACATTTGATTTTTTAAGCTCATAGGCAATTCCATCATGACATCGTCATAGCCGAGTTGTTTACGATTACATCCTGTCCTTTAACTGACATTTGCTTTATGTTGACTTTCCAAATCCTGAAGTAAACCGATTTTATTTTGTTCATTGGTAGGTACAATGAAATAAAGTTTTATGACTTCGATAATCCAGGATTTAGTTTCGCTACTGGACATTTCACAGCGGTAAGAACAAGACTCATCACCGGTGTCTGAGCACCTTAATTTCTCATCAAGATCGGAGAGGAATTTCCCATCCATTTTTCATATGTGTTGGTTACGCTAAAACTCAAAATTACGACGCTGTTTCAGCAATTTGATAACTTATTTGATCAAAAATCTAATCATAACATATTTATCAATCGGGAGTTTCTTTGGTACCTTAAAATTGGCCCATGACCGTTACGGAGTAGTGGCGTTGACTTAAGAAAAAATCGTACGTGGGCCAATTGCAGAGCAACCAGGGGCTGGAATTTTTCCGACATGGTAATGGCTTCGCTTTACTTGGCTCTTTACAAAGCCTCAATGTACCATCCTCCAAACAATCTTGATTTGCTCACCCACATTTTTCATGGCATCAGATATGTAGTCATCTTTTTTTAATTTTATTTCTCATCGGTTATAATTCTCATCCTAGTTCTGATTGCAATAAGCTGTTGCCATTACTACTTTCGTTTACAGTAATGATAATTGTAAAAATAATCATAATAACAATAGTAATGTTAATTACAGCACATTTCACGTGGTGGCTCTTCTTGTCCACTGTTTCAGGATCAAACTGGAATTTTTAATATTGGAGAAAAACCCTTAGAGTAAGGACGAGAACCAACTAACTTAACCCACGTTCGACGCCAGGTCCAGAAATCAAACTTGGGCCACAGCAGTGAGGGGCGAGAACTCTCACCATTGCAACATCCCCGCTTCCTGCAGCTAAATGACCCGTAATCGTATAGCTTTCCTAGTGAAGAAGAAGGATATGCACTTCAAAGCCAAATGTACGTTTACTTATTGTCAATGCTGCTTTCAGGTTGTATGGAAGAGCACCACCAAACTGGGCGCAGCTTTGACCAAAATAGTGTCAGACAACGGAGTCACTCACACATATGTTGTGGCACGCTATTCGCCTGCAGGAAATGTGATTGGCCGTTTTGCTGCAAACGTCAAGCCAAAGTCCTCATAGGTTTGTATATTTCTTAGTATGTGGTAACGACGTAGCTATATACACGACTTACGAGCCGGGTAACAATGGACAAACTTCGAGTTAGTCAGAGCAAAAAAAAATGTTTTTGTGAAAAAAGCTGAAAAATTCTCCACACAATGACATTATTGTCTTTCTCCAATTTCATACGTTACTGTAAGTAAGCCTTTTTTAAAAAGCCTTGATAAATTATTGATTTGTTCTTGCTTTCTTATTGGCTACAAAAGAGATACGATTTTTTGGGTTAGTCTCAGTAGCCTTGCTGCAACGATATCTTTTTTTGCCAACATCTTGTGAGGCACTCACATTTTCCAGAGATATATAATGATGATAAAATGCTGTTTTGTTTTTCATTTTTTAGAACCCAGCCGTGAGTTGAGAAATAATTGGATATCACTGAGTATGTCAAAAAAAAAATAATCTGTGATGGTTACAGACGAAAATTTGAATAAAACTTACTTCCGAGGGGGTTGTACAAATATCGTTTCCTCTTTTTATTGTCAGAAAACGTCCTACAGAAATTTTACACCAAATTCACTTCTCCCTTGATACCCTTATAGCCTACCGATCGAACAATTTTGGCCAATTTTTCTTCATCAATGATACCAACGATGCCAACCTCTTCCATTCCTGCTCGTCTAAGGACTACAGCGCTCATTCTGTTGTCTTCCAAATGCAACGGTGGATAATTTCGCTTTAACGTGCAATTTGATGCCAGACTATTTTTAAAAAAAAATTTACTTAACCGAGAATTCCAAACTATAGGTCTATTCGGAAAAAAAATAGAATAAGCAAGCTATGTAATGATATGCAAGTATACGTCTCCTTGAGGCGATATCTTTACCCTAATGATCTTGTCTGTGCCACACTTCACTGAAACAATTATTTTGGTACAAAAAATAAACGGACATCACCGCTATTGTAATTACGAGTGGTTCAACAAATGAATTTGACCAATCAAATCCATTAGACAAACAGCTGAAACAACATCCATTTACAACCTCGAAAACACGATATGGATAAATTTGCGCTCAAAATTTGGCGACACAAATGTCAGATAGGACAACTTTAACTTTATGAGAGAAGGCGAGCGGATCGGCTAAAAACAGAAATTCTTCAGTTTTATGTAGGCTTCAGGTTCAGGTTTATTTATATTTTTGTTTGTGACAACGATGATATCGACTACCATTTCTACACAATATTATACACTTGATATTTCCCCTCAGGGAAATAGTTAGTTTTGTTTCCCTAAGACTCTTAATATTTCCTGGGATACTTTTCAATCATTATTATGCTGGATCGGGTGATCACTATTCAGCCAATCACTATCGTCTTCAAAACAAAGGAAACCGTAAGAGCCCAACGACGTAAATAATTAACGGCAAGAAATGTAGGTGTAGTGGAGCGCCCTATTGCCATAATTGTCTGCAACTACTGCTTCCTTCTTGTCGTTCTCCTCAATTTTTGTTTGGACACTCAAAATTTACAAATTTTTTACAAATTTTCTCATACAAACTCTTAAAAATTTTCAGCCTTACTTTAGAAGCGATCTTTATAAAAGTGGATAATTTCACATTCGAGATAATTTTTTAAAAGTTTGTACTTTGGTAAAGGGCTTCGCATGTTCTCAGCTTGCATTGTCATGGCATATAAATCAAAATTTAAATCAACTTCATTGTTTCACGCTTTAATTAAGGGGTGACCACTCTGGACAGATAGCTAAAAATTGCGAGATAGTCACGTCAATTGAAAATTAACACTAATGTAGCCCGCTTACTTAGAAATTCAACTCAGTGCTATGTATTTCGATCAGTTCATAACATTAAACCTCAGCGTCAACATAAGAAGAAAGACCTTGCAAATATGACACATGCCTTTCAGTTTGTGTTTATATGATGCGACAAACAAAGCGTCGAATTATCTTTCATAAATCCTTTCCTATCGAGTGACTCCGAAACACATTCATCACGTAGTCCAGTTTCATAGAAATTTAAACCATTTATCAGTAGAGTCGTGTTGTAATGTTTTGAAATAATATACCCCAATAGGTTATTGGCAACTCTTCTGAATGGTGCTCCAGAAAAAAAATGCATGAAAATTGATTGCTTGAAAGAAAAATGTTTTGGTATACGACAGTGAGTGAAACTAGTAATTGACAACAAGTTAATTACTTTTTGTGCTCTGGGAGCTACGCATCACGTAGTCCAGTTTCATAGAAATTTAAACCATTTATCAGTAGAGTCGTGTTGCGATGTTTTGAAATCATATACCCCAATAAGTCATTGGCAACTCCTCTGAACCGTGCTCCAGAAAAAAAATGCATAAAAATTTACTGCTCCAAAGAAAAATGTTTTGGTAAACGACAGTGAGTGGAATTAGTAATTGACAACAAGTTAAATACTTTTTGTGCTCTGGGAGCTACGCATCTGCTTTCAGAACTTCGAAGAGGCAGGTTGCCAATTAAAATCACGTTTGAGACCTCACATGTTTATTCATTAATGAGAAGAAAGTTAAAAGGAAGTCAATTGAATTTTAATGACCGGCTGCAGTAGCAGCGCACAGACCTTCAGACAGCAAGCATAACCAGTTAACCCAACAAGAAAGAGAAAGAATCGCAGGTATGTCTAATTTTATAAATTGACGTTGATCATGAGTTTCTGACAACAACTATGCTTTTCGCATGAGGATATATCGTATTGTTGCACCTATTTCTGGGAATTTTTAAACATAGATTGATTTTAAAACTAAGAAACGGAGACCTTGGATACTTTCTCCTCATGAGTGTAGATAGGTCGTCGCTTAGAAGTCTGCGAGTGCCCATATACCTTCAAAACAAAGTAAATCTGAAGTTTTCTAGATAAGTTTTCGCTCTCGTATAACTGTGAACTATCGTGTGGTTCATTTTTACAGTTCTAGAAAGGCGTTCAGGTTTGTATTAAGACAACGATTTACAATTGTAGAGAGAAGACTAAAACTGATAACGATTGCAGAAACGTTATCTCGTGAAAACTTTGAACTGAAAAGTGTATTACAAGGACAGGCGTTTCAGGATGAAGTCCTGTAAGTTTAGAACTCCTTGCTTCACAAGTGTCTAGTTTCCTTTCCGCTAAACGATGTTACATGCAGGCCAACAGTTAAATAGACTAAACAAAACGTTGGATCAGGTCTTAAGAGCGGAATCAAGAAGCTTATACCTTTCCCTTTCGCAAGGTCAAACCGTGTTCACAACGATTGGGACGGTATAGCTATCACTGTTTACGATTTCAATTTTGGTGTAAATTGACTGATAACACTTTCGAAAGAAGAGCGTTGTACAATATATCGAATGCATTAATGAGGTACATTATCGTTTCTGATCAAAGTACCGAAACCAACCTTAATGCATGGCATACACATTTTGTACATCAACATTAGTGACGTTGATTATTGAGATGCGTGCATTCTTATCGGTCGAGCTCGGAACTGAAAGAAGCCTTTAAACGAACATTTTAATTCTCAAGAAGCTGCCAAGCACATTAAGTGTGTTTCGTTCATCCTTAATCAATGGACAAGTCATCACAGGAAGAATGTAAGCAAATAGTCTTTATTAAGCCGGCGGCTCGTGTTGTTCGCAAATTAAAAGTGTTGTAAGTTTAGAACGGACAATAACACAGCCTAAAGGTAAGAAGGTTGACTTCTCATATATTTTGTGCCAATTTTTTCTCTTTTTTATAACTATTTTTCTTGTTATCTCATGGACAAAACGAACAGAGATTTGATGTTAAATTAACTTGCATAACTCACATAAGGCTGTAACCAACGCAAAAGGCAAGAGGTTTCTGTGGGAATATCATTGCAATAACAAGAAGAGACCGATATAACTTCCCCCCCCCAAAAAAAAACAAAACAAAACAAAACAAAAATCTTTAATCAAACGTGGGAAAGCCTCTTCGACTGTGGCGAATTTTCGAAAAAAGAAATTTGATATTGGTGTATTGCTCCAGGCTAGGGCGAATTATAATAAACACCAGCCAGTGGGTAATGGAACATTCTCAAATAATTGTTTCGACTCCTTCTCGGAATAATTAACTAGAATTACTTTTAGCGAGTATTTGTCAGGTATTTTAATCTTTCTCGGCAATTTTTCAAAATTGCACACTTCTTAATTTGTTTTTCACTATTTCTTTTTTCTTATTATTATTTTTTTCGTCGCTAGCGGGGAGTTTGATTCAAGGAAAAAGATAAAGCCGTTCGATCTTTCCTCCTCGACTCACTAACTGTCTGATGGACTAAATTGAGAGACCTGCATGGTATGAATGTTTCGATTTAAGCTATAATTGAAGTTTGTTTAAAGCAATTCTGCATTTTAATGAGCTGTAATGGTCATAATGTTTTACATCATTGGGTGCATTAATAGCAAACGAGTACACTCCTTGTATTCTCTCTTGGAGTTAAGAAATAAGAGGTGTTGATTTTTACAAATTTCGACTATTGGTGCTTACACACCGTCCCTATAGTGTAGGCGAATCTTATTGGGTTACCAGTTGCTAAATTGCAGTTTATTACGAATGCATCTTGCCAAACAATTATCATATTTAGAACAGGTAGATGAAATTTATTTAATTTCCCATTGGAAAAAGACGGAGATAGAAATCACTTCGAAGGAGACTGAACTCGCTGAAATGAAAGCATAGGACAAATACACGGAGTGCTCTTGAAGTGGTTTGGACGAGATAGATTCTTACCTACCGGCCATCTTTAAGGTAAAAGAATAAGTACATAGCAAGCCGGCTTTTTCATTTCCATGCCTTTTGCATGCACATTTAATCGCTGGATACTAAGTTACTCGAAAAAAAAAGGAACTCTCGCTGCGATTTTTCTTATTCTGGCGATAACGCTGTGCATTAACAAAAAGGCTTCAGCGGTTTAGTCTTAAAAGTTGATCATCTTTTTAAATCTGAAATTGCGCTATGTGCTGTCACATAATATGTGACAACACAGAACTTTTTCATACTATCCTTGTGTCGAAGCCATATGAGACCCATCAACCCCCGGGGCTGGACATTAAAAGGAGTTAGAGGGCCATTATGTAAACATTTATAACATAATTAGAAAGTGCTCGGTTCTGACAAAAACAAAACGATTTTGAAACGTTATGTGCAAACCAGTTGTAATGAATTCGGATTGGCCCTCTGTTAACAGTCCTGGGATTTCGAGGTAAGCTTTCTAGATATTTTGCAATTTTTGTGATTTTTTAATGTTATATTTAACGAGACAAAATACAAGCGTCATATTTCGATAAACAATCCTCTCAATGTATGGTCTTTTTGTTTCTCGACGGAATATCGTAGTTATTTTCATGCGAACGTTTAATTGAATTTGGGAAAATTTTATTCGTTCGTGTGCCGAGTTTAAAGCTTCCAAACAAGATATTTTAATTAAATATTCCAATATAGGCAAGCTGACAACCCCCCGCTGTTTCAAAAACCGATTATGGAAATAGGTTAATTGGTCAAAATGCACTGAAATTATTCCTCTAATACCCTTCAAAAATTGAGAAAAAGATTCGTGTGGTCAGCAAAAAGTAATTTTACATGTTGGCAATCTTTGCAGGCTTTTAACAATACAATAGAATCTTCTTATAAATAAGGCTCCATGTTTCACTTGACGCCAATCACCCCAAAGAGCATACTGTAACCATGAATAAGCAAGAGCAAAGAAGAATTTGCTGCTGTGCAATAAGCACTTAACTCTGTGTCGAGGACTTCATCATAAAGGTGATATTTCATTGTTATAAGTAGCGACCGAGCACCTTATCGAAAATACAAAGAATAATTATGGTCAAAGTTAGGTACATTAATGAAGAATCATTATGTAAACATATCTTCTTTTTGCATAAATTATTTCAAAACATCAATTTTTTTTTAAGGAACGAAGAATGGATCATAAAACAAATTTGATAATATTTACAGTGTTTCTCTCGAGTTATTCGTGTTCAACTCCATCACAACATGATAATAACTCGAATTCGCCTGAATAAGTGTCTTGTAGCTTTCTCCCGTCGAGTATGAGACAAAATTGTCCATAATCACCTAAAATTCCCTTGAAGTTTCTCCCTGTGCCATCCGTAGATAGTGTTTTTCTTTTTAAATTACTGCAGGTAGCTTTAATTGTGCATTTTTCTTTTAGAGCATTGAAGTAATACAATCTTAATTATTCTTGTTTATAATAGTTTCGTGTACATGTGAAACGATGTGCTGCAAGTTAGTTATTCAAAACAGTAAGCCGTGTTTTTGGGGAAAAAAAAAACACTTTGTCAATTTACCAGTGATGCTCGAAAACATGACGTGGGAGTTGAGTTTAAGGATAATAATAATAAAAAAGCATCTTTGAGGCACAGAAGAACTATTTATTTGCGGCAACCGGCTTGATTCTTGATATTTGAGGGCTCATCGGCAGTTTTTTTTTTCGCCCAAGCCTCACTGCATTCGAGGGCCGCGTCTTTTTAGCAGGTCCCAGACATGCTGCAGATCTCTAATAAGAATTGGACGAGCCAAAAAGAGTGGAGGTCGGATATAATAATATGACAAAACCCATGCTTTAGATCAACTGTTTTGTTGCGTCGCTTAAACCTAAATTTGGGACTTCAAAGGTCTATTGTTTGATTTTGAGCTTGAGAAGGTCTGAGCGCGCGTTTTGTTCTTTGGAAAAGGTAACTGGTTAAAACTTTGGTGAAAAATTTTTAAAAATTATTTTATCTTTTGTCTAGTTCAAAAGGGAAGAAAGCGAATACCATTTTATAGCTTCATCAATTCCATGATCGACCCTAGAGGCGAATTCACATTAATGCTTTGCGTGCAACTGACATGTTTGTTATCCATTATCTCCCGCCATCAATAATATATTTTTGTTTTACACTGTTTTGACAAAATTATACTCATGATTCTGGTGTTTTTTTTTCTCTTATGAAAAGTTCAACTGAAAAAATTAGCATATACAGAATTTCGAGAGAGCAGAATTTTAGAAAAATTAACCTTTTAAAAGTTTTCACTTTATTTGTCCTAACCTTTTGTTTTCCATATTATTTTAGCGACGGAGGATCGTCGCGGGAGACCATTCACGCGGACTCCTACTTTTGATATTACCGACAGTTATTAAAGGTACGTTCGTAGTTAAATTTAGCTTTGAATTAAACACAATTGAAAGCCATCGAACAGTGTTTGTGTAGGTGTTAAGTCACTTTGTTTGCAGACGTTCTTTAATTAACATTCGAACGAGTCGATGTGACAACAAGGTTTAAAACGAATTCCGCGGAAATGAAACTTGGATGACCTGATAAAATTGGCTAGCACCTAATTGAGGACGAGGAACTTGGCTTGCTTTTTTTCGATTGCTTAAGAAAAAGAAGAAAGGGAATAGTTGTCAATCTCAATTTGTTCTTTCTACTGTACCTTGATGGATCAAAACTCGACGGCAGCAGCTGTAGAAGCTGGAAAATAAGATATTTTCATCATTGCTTTATTTTTCCTTTTCTCTCTAGTTTAGTTTTTTTAAGAGGTCTGGATTCAAACATGACAAGTGTTCCTCGAATTGTGAGGATTTTCTCCACATTTATTATGGCCATGACAACTTACGTGCTGGCAGACAGTGAATGCCCGGATGACAGTAACACAACACACCTTGACTCAGCAGGATGCCCGATTGAAGACATAAAGGTGGCAATGTTCCTTTCTCCTCCGTACCTTCTAGTGAAAGACGTAAACGACAACGGAACTGAACTTTATCCCTATGGCATTGTCTCCGACTACATTGGCGATACTTTGTTGGAATGCTGCCATGGGAAGACGGAATTCGTCATGACAAATGACGATATATTGAAATCTGACATAATCTTTCCTGTCAGTGAGAGCGATGAAACCAATCTAATTTTCTCAGGTGTTTCTTATACCTTCTATGATATCGTCAAGGTGGATGGTTTTGTGCTCATTGGCCTCATTGATCAGTACAACGCCAAAGCAAGAGGCTTGGTGTTGAGGTCTTTGTACGACTCTTGGCCAATTTTTGCGTTAACCTTTCTACTCACTGGAATTGCCGGAATTTTCATCTGGGCGCTGGTAAGCTGACTCGTGACTTTTTACCTCTAACCACAGTAACAATGGTTTATGTCTCGGTTGGGAACGTATTGATCCCCTTATATGGAACGCCTCATCATAACCGACCACCCATTCTGCCATTCTGGTTGAACAGTCTTTCTGGTGGGGTGAGGTTGCTGCAAAGGACACGTGGCTTCAGTTTCGGTCCAAAGTTTAACGTAAAGCTAGCAATTAGGACGCATACATTTTTTGTAGCAACTCGATGGTAGTTAAACTGAGAACCAAGTTTATCAAAAAGGTCACAGTGTCCCGCATAACACCACACATAGCTCTTTCATAACCACTTTTACTCAACAAATGGCATGCGGTCTGAGGTTCAATTGCCACTCGGTTATACTGACTGCTAACTGCTACCATTGATGTCGAAATTAACATTCAGACAACAAGTATTTCAGCTTTGCACTCACTTATGCTGAGATATAGCTAGTAAATTTAAATTCCCTCTTGGGTTATCAATAGGCGAGATTTGTCTCCATGCTTACCTTCCAGGAATACTACGTGAAAAACGAAGAATTTTCTTTGTCCTTTACAAGAGGTTCTTATGATGGATTTTGGTGGGCTTTCATCAGCATGACAACTGTTGGGTAGGAAATACCAAATAATCAATTATCTAGCCCTATTAGTATGTAAGGTGGCCATGTCTTTTGTAACAGAAGAGTAAAGGGGCTTTTTGTTGTACCCGTCAGACTTGTACCCAGTGATTTTGGTGCGCACACTCACGCGCCTCAAGGCTCCATTTCAGTTTATGTACATTCTAAAATCATATGGAAAACGAGTCCATGATTAATAATTGATAATTTGAACTTGGGAAATACAGCTGGAATATGATAAGCACTTACAATTTGATTAAGGTAGATAAACCGCTATTGAACGAATTTTGAAAAAGCCTACTTTGTTAACTTTAGCCCTTCGAGAAAAAATTTGTTTCTAAAGAAACCAATCGACTCACTGTTCCATTTATCTGAGTCATGTTGAAATTTTTATTGACGAATGACTGATAACAAGGATAACATCGTTTATTTTCCAAGATACGGAGACAAAAGTCCAAGATCGTTTTTTGGTCGTTTGTTTGGTGTGTTCTGGATTCTCATTGGCTTAGTCGTAATCACCATGTTTACCGCTACTGTGACGTCAGCTCTCACTCACAGCTCCTCGCCGGACTTTATCAATGCACTGGAGGGGTTAAAGGTAAGCGGTGTTGAACGGTTACTTGTAATTTCTAGAAAGATTGAAGTGAACCGGTGGAAAAACCCGTTCGGACATTTCACTTGAATTTATGATATTTGCAACTTCTGTTATCAGTACAGACCGATCTTGCATGCACATTCTCTTTTCCTGACGATTTTAAAATACGACGATTTACTGGTATAGCAAGTGATTTCAATGAGCTTTTAATTGAAATATCATACCAGTCTGGTTGGTTTTTCTCTTTAGGTGGCCGTGCTTAATGGCAGTTTTGCTGAGGCCGAAGCAACCTACCTGGGAGCAATATCCAGTCGTGAGTATGGGTGCAGTTCCTGTGATTTTCACCATTTCATGTAATTGTCATGAGGTCAATTCACAGATATGCGCCCATCATGTATATGTATTTTTAAGATTGCTGTATTTTAGGATTTTTCATAATCGCATGGCATACAAAATCCAAACTTAACATTGGTATAAGGTAGAATAAATCCACACAACTTGAATTTGGCGAAAGATGTGTTTTCGTCTTGGCTTAAGCATGGGACAAAAAATTCGCCACTTTCAGTTACATCATCATTGTGCATAAGAATTCCTATCCAAGCAGTATGCAGGAAGTTAGTCACCACGGACCTAGTTAAACGGCAAAGTCTGCCATGTCTACCAAATCTGCTAGTTTCGATTCCTACAAGGAGCACTCTTAGTTCTTTTTCTCCCAGTATGCCTGTGTTATTCACTGAATAATACCCTCTTTCAAAAAATGCCATACTTCTTATGACGCTTTTGACATTGCTACTCATGGTATTACGCTGGAAGTATGTCCCATATAACTTTCGAAAGGGCCTGGCTCATTGTGGATTCTTTGTGGCTCAGTGGTAGAGCATAATAGAGCGGAAACCAAAGGTCTCAGTTTCGATTCCTTTCGATTCGTCTTTTTCCCACGCTCGTGAAAAGACGGACATACGTCTTTTGATATTTCTATACTGAATTCAAAATTCACCTTCGTTCTCATTCTGTTAGCATAGAATTTAATGTTGAATTTATCACAAGATCCCCTAAAATGCATTTAACAACGCGACCTTCAAAAAAACACAGCTTTCCCTGATTAAAACGCGGATCGTAGCAATTTTCCTCTGATATTTCACTTAATCACGCATCGCCTTTCAGCGTACCCTGAATTTGAAGACATGCATGCTGCTATGGTTAAAGAAGAGGTAGAGGGCTTGTTCATGGAGAGACTCCAAGCTTACTACTTTTACAAAGATAAAAACGTCTACGATGGTGACAATTTGCGAGTGTTTCACACAGTCCCTACAAAAATTTCGCACAAGATGGCCTTCAAACAAGACACAACATGCCAGTTAATTGAGAAGAACTACTGCTTCAAACGTCGCTTGGAAAATCCTTTAATCAGTTCGTACGTTAGGAATTATACAACTCCATTAAAGGTATTGGGTTATGTCAGTTGCTTGTCTTAATCTTTTTACTCCTGATATTTCATTGGTAACTCTCCTTGCAGTTTGCCATACAATTTTTACGATATTAGTTCAGATAATTCGGCATCGAATCAAATAATGATCTCCTGATTGACATTTTTCCTTGTTCTCATCACTAGTCTGCTTCGAGCTATATTTTAAAAAAAGTGGTTAGTAGAAATTCTGTTTTGGTCACTGATGGGAGTTAAATGGTCATGCCTTTGACGAAGAATTAGAAAGTTCTCCCCGCGGACAACGCTTGTCTGTAGAACATTGTTAGAAAACCATGGCTGTAGGTGGCGAGATCTGGTTGGATTATAGGACAGATTAAATTTTAGTCACTCGCTATTTTCTACAATGTCCACCTATTGTGTCTTTCAGGCTTTTAACCCATCGGTGGATACAGTTGGTCTTTTGTCAGGCAATTCAAAAGGAACAAGTACTTTGTTACTCAGCCTGATGGGTGTGTTCTTCGGTTTGTGTGTTCTCGGCGTCTCGGTAGAGTTGTTCTTATGGAAATCTGCAACGCGGTGCACTAAGCCTGTTCCCTTTCGTAAGTATATCAGAAGTTCCATCTTGGTATCCTGGGCGTTTCTTAATAAATGTAATGGTGGCCGAAAAAAAAATCATTGCATTTGCTGACTTTGTATTTCTGCTTCATTCTTCTTAGAGACTAAAAGTGAAAGAACGCCGTCTGATGTAAATTCATTTCACCTGAACACGGTTTTATTGCAACTTAGAGGCTTCGAGGAGAATCTGGAAAAGCTTTCCAACCAAATACAGACAATAAAAGAAAATCTGACAGGTGCAACAAGGAAGACGACCCAAGAAAACGTCAAGCTTACGGAATTCAACTAATTATTACTTCAGTGTAGTCAAGGCTCGATTATCCTGACTGGTGGGGACTGGGCTAAGCATTCCGGAAAATATGAATATTAATGATCCAAAAATAATTCTGAATACGTATAATTTAATTAATATGTTTGGCACATACGGATATCGATCATACTTAAGTCTGCCGGTCGCGTGATTCATACTATGATATTTAAACCCTGACCTAAATAAAGGAAGTATTGTTTACCACTGGATTTTATAAAAAAAAATCTTACACCTGACGCAAAAAGAAACGCATGACATGCGTAGCAGTCAAAAAAATAAAAAGTTAATTTTATTTCATTTTTATCGATCGACGAAAGGGTAACTGTCGATATACTGCCATCCCATCATGCAAGGCCGACCGAAGTAGCAATACCCCCAGCTGTTCCATGTTACGAAAAGTTATGTGGACGACTTTGGATATATGAAAATCATATATTTGAACTGTGGTTAATAAATGAAGACGAGAGTGATCTTCGCTGTAATAATGAACACTACTTTAGTAGTAGTGAAAATGAAGTCTGAAGTCTGGCTGACCATTTCAGCTTTATCTTCATGACTGTTTAATTAGTCTTCATGACGGCGATATACCTCACAGAAATTATGGATGACGATTAAAGACTTTTATGGACTTGAAAAATAACAAAAATCCTAATAAACATGAACAGGTTTGTATTTTAGATACTAATGCCAATTGAGCATATATCCTAAAGCTGAAAAAGTTCTCGCAAATAAAGTAATTGGTCCTGGTGTTTGTAAAATACATTCAGTTGACTCTGTTAGGAATAATTGTTGTAAATAAGTATGGCTTGAAGACATTTGATTGGTTTATATGAAGCCTTCTGATAAAATTATGGAAATTAAGTAATAAACGATAACGATATGATTATCACCATACGTCATTTGACATAAACAGCTTACATGGTTAAACATTTGAAAAAGTTACAATTTCGTGAAAGTAAGGTCATTTTTATGTCATACAATTTGAATTAAAGGAATGAAAAGTTAAAAAAAATTCTAAACAGTTTAAAGATGTGTTTTATGTGATCTTATTTACTTTGTTAAATATTTCATAATCAATTTACCGCCCTGGTGGAATTGTAGAAGAATTGTGGTATTGAATGACGCGCCGAATCTCATCCACTATTCTCTTCGTAGTTCCAAGGACATGCTTCCAAGATAAAGTAGCGTAATAAGTGTAGTAAGCATCTGAATTTTTTTACATTTTATATTTTAATAATGTACATGAAAAAATTACTCAGTTCTGATTGGTTAAGATAAATACAGTTTTAAGGTAATTTAGAGCAGAAGAGGGTTAATTTAGTGCAAAGAAAGTAATTAATCAGACATTCTGATTGGTCAATAATCAAAGAAACTCACAGACAGCCAATCAAATGCGAGCCTTAGACGTCGCAACAAAATTTGAAAATTTGAAAAATTGCGAGCGAAACAATGGTCGGCGTTTTAGGTAGGTTTTCTTTCGCCACCGCGGCTGAAAAAAAGCTCAAACAACGAAAACATTGTAAAAGGTACTGCTTTTTGGTTGTCGGTTTGGAGAGAGTGGTGTTTAGGGAAGGGAATTGCCAAGGAAATCGAAAATTGCGCATCGACCCAGCCTAACACTTCGCTCGAGCGATCCAACGCCGAAATTAAAAACAAACATGGTTAAACATCGAGAACGACGATTGCATTTCATCGAAACTGATTCGGACACAGACTCAACAATTCCTTGAACTATTTAGGCGGACTTTGAACTTTTTTTCGCCTTAAAGATGTGAAGATATCATTGTATATTATTGTTTTGATCGTACACGGTTGTTTTGACCGAGCACACAATGTCAAAATTGCACGAGAAATCATGTGATTACCTAAACAAATTCCGGTAAATGGTTTGAACCCGGGGGTAGCATGTAATAGTGTAGTTTGATCGTCCGGGTGAGTGTAGTCCTGAGAAGGACTGTTGTTGGTAGTGGTGACTGACGTTTCGACAACCTGAGCGGAAGTCATCAGTCAGAGTCAAGGATACAAATTCCAATATACAGATCGTTGTTATGGAAAATAGGAAGTAACATTAGACGTCCCCCCGGGTCAGCTGGCAAGCCAGTTTCTTTCCATCCTTGAAAAAACTGTCTTGTCTTTCCTTTACAACTCAACCAAGACAAACAAGAGAATTGGCTATCACAATAAATATTCAATATCCGGTAGCGATCATCTCATGTTCTGTCTCTCTGTCTCTTGTGACAGCTTCTCGGCTTCTATAACACAGTAATGCATCTTTTACTGCTTTCCTGTATTTGGGATGTCTCCATGCGTAAATATAAGCATCTAGGGCAACCTTAAAGAACATGATCACGTCGCTCACACGAAGAACAATGCTGATCTTGAGCAGAAAGTCCCACGACATAGGCTTGGTATAGAGGTAAATGTAAAATGAGACGATGTGTGGAAAGGAACACAAAAGTAGCAGGGCAGATAACATGAGCGCCACAACCGTTAGTTGCTTCTGATGTTTTGCTTCGTTCTTACTACCTTGTGCCCCTTCTGAGCACTGATGCATGGATCGACTCAAAGAACTTCGCTCGCGGAACGCCTTAGACCTTTGGGAAAACCTTCGGAATGATTTGTACAGGAAAATGTGCGCCACAGTCAGTAGGACGCCAACAACAGTTGGGTGAAGGTGAAGATTTATCCTCAAATAGGTATCTGTTGGGATTTTCGTATACTGCAAGGAGCTGAAGATGGCGAAATAGACAAAATGACAACACACTGCAACAAGAACCCGCCTCTTGGTGAATAGCACCTTGTATCTATGAGGGAAGGTGATGGCAATGTATTGCGTTGTAGTTAAAGCCAGGACCAGAAAAAACGAAGAGCTTAGCATAATAACGGACAGGAATGCGCTTGTAGTGAACAGGTATTCAAATTGTTTGCCTGGATGGAACGTTTGGTAGAAATGGCAAGCGAAGTAGTAGACGGCGAAGAGAGGCTCAACAATCAGACCTGTCACGAGGTCAACAAGTGCCAAACTTATAATAAAGTAGGTGACTGGTGTCCGAAAGGATTTAAAAGGATCTCTGTAGATCGCCATCAAGAGGAGAGTATTGCTGACAACTGTGATAGGGGAGAAGAGTGAGAGAAGGAAAGCTGACACGTATAGTGTGGTGAGATAGGGCTTGTAGTCCAGGTCTTCCAGCGATGAATTGGCTACTGTGATATTTGCCATTTATTTTCAACAGTGTCTGTTTTCAGTTTCAATCCTCGTTATGTATGGAGTAAAGATTATCAGTCACAGATCTAGCGTCATCAAATTCTGGTTGCCCAAATATTTGAATGCTTGTCTCACATCAATGTGTGACCAACCTGATAAAAACAAATGATAATAATGTAGACAAAAAAAACAAAGAATGTATAATGACTGAAGAACCCTAATATACATTTTTATTGCCGGTTGGAATTGAAATATTCCATTGACACATAATGATCCCTAGATGTGGTTTGCTGTTCTCAGGCAAAAAGCAAACGCTGGGCCATAGTCATCAGTGGGCTTACAGACTACTGCTAATCAGTTATATATTTATAAAAATACCTTTTCTGTCTTGGCTCTCTTGGCAATGAAAATTGAAAATTTGAAAGCCACTCTCATAATTTATTGAAAGTCAAACATCATCTGATTTACTTCCAGAGGGTCATATTTTCTTCACGATTTTAGTCAAATCTTGGTGTTACCGATTACAAAAGAAATCCGATTCTCTATCAAGGATATGTTTGGAGAACTCAGAACGATTTGTAGCTTAAATATGAAATTATCGTCATAAACATATTTCCTCTACAGGTCTGTCGTCAACCGGCCTCGTTATACTATGGCTCTCTGTATTTCCACACACCTGCACTGAGTGGTAGGAAAAGCGCACGTGTCACTTCCAGTGAAGTAATTGAATAGCTCGAATGATTGAGATAATATAAAGCTGGTGTAATTAGTTTCAAACATAAATGTATTTCATTTAAATTATTTGATAAGAGTAGAAGCATCAAGAAAATAAAAACACTAGAATCATTGAAGAAGAAACAAAAAAATTCAGACGGTAAAAATAAGTAAATGAATGCACATTTCATGGTGCGATATGATTTTCTTAGATTTAGCCAGTAAAATTCCCAGGATTGATTTTAGCAAAAGATACAAAATTTCCAATTTGACCTTGGAGATAGCTCAATGCACAGAACAAAATATATACAAATACAAACTACAAAGGAATGGACAAAAACGAAAGATGGTTCCATCTATAGAGCTTAGAGATGCACACCATGGCCGGATTGGTCAAGCAGAAAAAAACTATTTTGTGGAGAGATAGATACATGTAATAATGGTTTAACTTAAGTAAGGGCTTTACGAGAGAAGTTCAATCGTGACTTTTAGCCGTAAATTAAATGCAACGACTTATTAAAAAGAAAAATTATCAAAAATAAAAAAAATTAACAAACTGATCAATTGCAGATAAAAAGAGGCCTAGCAATACTTTGATACCCTTTTTAAAAGTATCCTAATAATCTTGGAAGTCTAACGCGTCTGAGTTGAACTTAGAATCCACTTTCGTTATATCTTGTTAAAACATATATTCATGACAAGAATTTCCCGTTGTGCAGTTTTCGTGCAGTAGGTAAATTATTAGGCGTCCTATTAAAATGTTAGAAAGTTTGCCAACGGAAAGTAATACTGATAATCGTTTCTGTTTTCTCAGGTTTAATTTACTCAGTTAACATCATGCAAATCTTTGACAAATGTTGATAATATTGATTTTAAGATAAGCACGCAACCCTGAAACGTGCAAACGAAAGCATGGTGCATCCGCTACCGATTTTTATTTTTCTTTTTACTTTTTTTTTTTTGCACTAATTTATGTGTTTAATTATTGCAACCGGGCAAAAGTTGTACCTTAAAGTTAAAAGATTTCTCTTTAAATGACAGAAACAAGGTACTAATACAGGGTGTGATCGCAGCACGCGCATATATTATGACGTTGCAGATGTGGGAAAGGCAGTGGGGTTAATTACAGAATGATGAAACGGCTAAAAGTCGTAATATTATAGATTTGATTTTCAAAACATAGTTTTATCCTACAGAAACACTCCATGGCAAATATTGCATAAACTCCCAAAAAACTAAAACTTAGATTTAGCGAAGATCTTGCGGAATTAAAAGTAGCATGGCTTACTACACCTTTCATATATAGTATCTTAGGTTTTTCATGAGTCATCCAATGATTCTGCGAATACCACAAAAACGAATATTGAAAACTAGAGCTACACTATTTCTTTTGTCTTCCTTCTAATAAAATGCAAAATAAATCATGATTTAAGGAAACACCTTGGCAAGTTATTGTTAATGATCGTAAAACAAATATTAATCCAATCTACTTTCGGTTAACAGTGACTTATGCCACGAACTAAAAACGAAAGTATCACCTGTTGTATAAAAAAATAACCTTTGAATCTCCACTTTTATGGTAAATGTACGATGTAGTAATTCCTACTCCAATCATGCTCGATCCTAGCCACTTATTTCTTTTGAAGTAAAAGGAGGGTATTAATTAAAAAGCATAGTTGATCGAAAATCTTGTCCACATACAATAGGAGCGAAAGAAGAATTTCAAAAAGAAGGAATATTCATTGTCAAATGACAGTAGATACATAAAAAACACCATGTGTTGATCGCTTCAGTTCTTAAGGAAGACGGTAATTGAGATTTCCAATCACTTTTGTGCTTTTTAAAAGCCTTACCTTTTCTCGAGCCAATTTTGAATCAATGACTGATGTGATTTTCAATATGAATGATTCCAAATTCGATTTCCCTAAGTTCTTGAAAGCCTGATGCAGTTTGAATTGTCAACACCTTGGGAGAAATTAATCAAAATAAGTTCAAAAATTCAGTTCCGCCAGCCTTCAGAGAAGAGGAAATAAAAAGAGTAATTGACTGTAATAATGTATTCTAAATTAATTAAGTTTGCCTTTAATGTGATCTCTACTTATCAAATGATCTTTTCTTAAAAATGGACTTCCGCCTTTTAATGTCCAAAGTAAAACATCTTCTTGCTCTTTCTTTGCTAGTGAAAGGATTGGTTAGAAATGTTTGTAGATTTTCACTTCTGATATCGCCGAAAAATAACAATTAGATCCGTCGATGTGCCTACGGGAAAGAATCAAAGTAAAGAGTATGCCGAAACCTTTCCTTGGTGTGCAACAATATTGAGTAAGTCATACTTGTGAATTGGTCAAGTTGGTAAATAAGCTTTTTTGACCGTGATTGTTTTGAGGAGCAAAGCATTTTCTCAGTTACTAATAACAGCAAAAATTTTGCCGAGTAAATATGAAGTGTAAATTTGTTAGCTTTAGCAAACAAGATAGGAATATATGAATTAACCTTCTAGCTGTCGTTTATTATAATTTCTAACCTACGTGCTCGCCTAGTCATAAATTAAATAAATAGCTTGCGAGTGTACTGAGGTCGACCTGAAGATGGTTTTTAATTTGATCTAAAATTTAAAACTTGAGGATTTATTATATCTAATAACTACTTTAAAGGTTCTTCTTAAAGAGTATAATTCCTCTGCTTTTTAAAGAGGAAATTGATCTGATTCAGAATTGTTCGGTTGTACTTTTTTCCCCTGAGAGAATAGTTATATTAATGTTAACAATAAGACTAGAGTTTTTGCTATGGCAAGACAGAATATATTTTGTGAATATGGTATACTAAGACAATAAATTTCTCAGCAGAGATTAGAAATTCCAAAACGTTTCAAACGTTTGGGTGATTTTCCTCTAACAAGAGGAGCAAAACTACATTTGTGTAGTGCACTTATGTCATCGTATGAGGTTTCCTTCTGACCTCACATTTAAGTGCTCTGTTGCTTGAATATTGAATGTTTTTTTTTTATAGTTAAGTGCTCATGCGAAATTCAAAATCAGACAATATGCTTTATATCGATCAGTTAGTGAAGAAGATGAAATTTACTAAACCAAGATATATATGTTCGAAAGTAGTTAAATTATAATGTTTTTTTTTCTTTTCTCAAATCCGAACTTCCATGTTTTTAAACTTGGGGATGATCACAACTAAGAATTTTTGTATTTTTCTTTCTAACAAAGTAATCACAAAAAGGTAGCTTTTCAGTGAATCACAATGAAGCCGAACACTCAAAAGTCATACAGAATGGGATGCGGGTACCTCCATGTCTTTCATTTCTTTTGAAAACAAGTCTACACATCTTAAAACAGATTGAAGTGTCTCAATAGATGAGATTCTATTATGATACTTACATTGCAGTCCACAGCCACTATAGATAACGTCTGAGATCTCTTTGTTTTACAAGAGGCTTCGAATTAAATCTGAAAACTGACTCAGAGGAGTGTTTCTCGATAGCTTATTATAGTTGCAGGGCTTTCTTAAGGATGCTAATCTACGTTGCTAGCTTCTAAATAATTTCTTTTGAAATATCAACTGACTGAGGTTATTTATTCTACCACCAAGATTGAGAGAGGAATTCGGTTAAAATGTAATTATCAGGAGAAAGAGATCATAATTCTAAAATTAAGCTTGGTTATTAAGGTCTTTGATTTACCCCTGACGTTGCGTGTGATAATTGGCAGAAGTCTGAGAAGAAATAGATTTCAATAACATTTATGTTCCCCCATGTTTTGGAAAAATTATACTAAGAACTTCAACAAAGGAATATAGACACTGAATAAAGTATTGGAAATTGTGGTTAATTACTCCAAATTAGCAAAAGGAAAAGAAATAAAGAAATTTAATATTTTTTCATTACAATGATGCGTAATGTTCACAAAGCAAAGTTTCTGACTCCCAGATCGGTTTTGTCACTCATGTTTGTTTGTTTATTTGTATGTAATTAATTATTTAATCACAAAAAGAGATTTAAAACGTCAAGATATGCCTAAGTTTTTTCGTTTGAGTCTGTTTCCAATATATATATATATATATATATATACATTACCTTGTCCGTATTAAGACAAAGAAAAAGGCCAAAAAATTGCGTTTTATATTTTTTTGAGACCTCAGGGATTTGTCTGAGCTGTTGACAACTTTTAAGTATCAACATGTTTGGAATTTGCATATCAAGGACCTCACAGCTTTTGCAGGTCGGGGTATGAATGAGAAAATATATTGAAATATATGATACCTAACATATAGTTTTCATAGGCAAATCCTTA